CTCCCACCGCGGCTCGTCTGCTGGCTTCACCAGAGCAGCGTGTCCTGTTGAAAATGATTCTGTGATACAATTAGAACTGCTTCCTTTTTTTTAAGCTGCATAAATTTATTACAACTTTGAAGACGTTTACCAATTTACCATGTTTTGCTGTGAGCAATGCGCCCCTGTGCACACCGCGCCCCCACGATCTTGGGCACATGATCCACCGTGTTGTTATACCCGTGGGGTGTGATCATTATACCCGAGTATGACGCACACCCTTATTTTCCCCTCAAAAATTTGGGCCAAAAAGGACACATTCTATACAGCAAAATACAGTCCCGATGTCAGAAACATGAATTCTCCTGTGAACTCCAGAAGTGCAAGCAGTCCCTGGAATTCCGCTCAGAGGCTTTGAAAGGGGTTCCTGCAGCGAGGTCCGTGTCACCTTCTTTGTCACACTGGTGCTTGGAGCACTGTGACCGTCCCCGCTTCCCGCTGACCCCTGCCCTGACAAGTCAGCCAGCAGGAGTTCGGGGGATGGGGCAGGTGAGAGTCTCCCATCCCTGTTTACCCAAAGGCAGCCATCAGTGTGCGGTTTCCCGTGTGGCGGGGCGCGGCGTCTCTCTGCACACTCTGAGTGGGACCCCTTCGGACCCCTCCTCCCCATGCCAGGCCCTGGGTCCTCGCCCACAGCATCTGTGTCGGGACCGACACCTGGCGGCATTGCCACGACTGCCGTCTGTCTTGCTTCCGGGTGTGCTCGGCTGCTCCTTTTTCATCCGTGTCTCCATGAGCTCCCCTGAGTGTTTTTAAAAGGCCAAGGTGCAGATCAGTCTGACCACATTAAAATTAGGAGCTCCTCGTTAAAAGGCGTAGGCGAAGTTAGAGCCGAGCCGTGGGCCATGGGGAAGAGCTTGCACTGACAAGGCGCCAGTGGTCGGAGCAGGTGTTCGAGCCCCGCAAGTCAACCTGGTGAGGGGCAACGGGCCAGTTGACAAGGGCCAGAAGGCAGGGTGGGGCGTTTCTCAGACAGAATGTGGGCGCAGGCGGCCCACCACGTGTGGGGGCAGGCCAGCCCCACCTAGTTATCAGAGTGGGCAAGAGAGAGACCACCCGTCGTGCCCCGTGGCTACAGGAGTGAAGGCTTCCGGTGACGCCCAGCGTGGGTGTGGGCGCAGGGCCGTGGAAACCAGTGTGCCGCTTTTCGGGGAGCGGCGGGTACAGGCTGCACACAGATTGCAGGGCACACTTCTCTGCACCCCGGCTGCCGGGGCTCCGGGCCAGGGTGGGGGCGGGATGGGAACTCCTCTGGGCTCTGCAGACCGCGCTGGGTCTCGTCACACAGTTGTCCTCGTTCATTGTCTGTCCAACCTCGTAGAAGTCTGAACAGGAGCCTGACGGAAACAGGCTGCGGGCTGGGTCTGGCCCTGAGCTGGAAGGTGTGGCCTGGGGACACGTGTGCAAGTCGTGGGCTGCTGCACAGCAGTGGAAGTGAGTGAGGCCCGCCTGCCGCACACCGGAGACCCAGGAGGAAATCTGTGTGCACTTGGCCGAGGATGCAGATGGCACGGCATCATTTTTACGAAGTCACAAACAGGCACAAGTGTCCTGTGTAGGAAGAAACGTACGCAGCAAGAGAGTCATAAGTGCTGAGCTCAGACAGACGGGGACTTCTGGAGTGGCAGGCGATGGCCGAGGAAGGTGCGGACAGGGAGACAGCGCGTCGCGGGTCTGCTCCAACCTGGCACATGCCTTCTACATACAGTCACACGTGTCAGCTGATACACTTACTAGAAAGGACACCATCAGGGCAGGGCTTAGTACTGACCCCCCAAGCTCCCGGAAGCAGAACACCGGCCCCCGGACTCTGCCCAGTGGAGCCCCTGGGGGGGAGGGGGCAAGTGTCAGAGCTGCTGCTGCTGTGGGGTGACCGCCAGCCTGGCTTGGACGGAGGCCTGGAGGGGCTGTCTTCGTGCTCGGCTGCAGTGACGCTGCCAACTCTGAGTGCAGGGCACACGGCCCCTTCCCCTCGAGGGGTCTCGGCAGCCTTGTCCGACGCCCCGTGAGTGCGCCTGCAGGGCTCGCCTCTGCTTCGGGGTCTGTGCGTCTGTCCTCTGCCCGATGTTTTGCAGTGAGCGTGGAGTCAGTAGACGCGGGTTCTTCAGGGTTGTCGTTTTCTCCTTTCCGGGCCATTCTGCTCGCATCCGTACCACGTTCAGGTTCAGCAGGAACGCTCAGATGTCTGGTGTGGGCGGGCGGAGTCTGCAGCGGCTGGGGTGGTGCTGCCTTGGAGCTGTGCCGCGCCACCGACCTCCCATTTCTGGGCCCGCATCGCAACTGCGAGGTCGGGCGCACATCTCCTTCTGGTCGTTGGTTACGTTTATTCCTGGGTGTTTTATTCTTCCTGATGTTACGCTATTGCTTTTTTAAAGATTTGTTTCATTTATTTTTAGAGAGAGGAGAAGGAAGGGAGAGGGAGAGAAACATCGATGTGTGAGAGACACGTTGATTAGTTGCCTCTCACAAGCCCCTAACGGGGGACCCAGCCTGCAACCCAAGGCCGTGGCCTGACCGGGAATCAAACCGGCAACACCACCAGCTCGCAAGCAGCCTGGCACCACTGAACCACACCAGCCAGGGCTCTTTCTGATGTTACTTTAATGGGTTGTTTTCTTTTCCTGATCTTAACTATTCTTTTTTTTAATTGTATCTCCTTCCGTTACTATTTAGTCCACTTACACCCGTCCGTCACCACACTGCCGTCCACGTCCGTGAGTGCCTTTTCCTCCGCTTCCCCACCGGCTCCCCTCCCCGCAGGTGGACTGTTCTCTTCGTTTCGTTTGTGGGCGGTTCATCGCTGTGCACGAAACACCGTTGTCTGCATGTCGGTACGTCCGTGCCGAGGTGCACCCTGCAGCTCTGCCGAACCAGCCGTGTGAGTTGGGCTGGTGTTTGGTTTATTCCCTACCATGTCCTGCACTATGGCCTCTGAAAACAGAAATAGTTGTACTTCTTCCTTTCCGTCTGGATGCCTTTCATTTCTCTCTCTTGCCTGATCGCCGGGAAGGGGCATTGGAAGCGAGGTGCCAGGCATCTCGGACAAGGAGCAGTCGACGGGCTCCTGCCCCCGTTGGCCAGAGGGCGTTTCTCTGTGCGGCCTGTGCTGCAGGGGCGTCTGAGGTGGGGGGGGGTGGGAGGCGCTGTGCCGAGGACCCCCTCCCCCTCCCGTCGTAGTTGCCGATCGCCGTTTCTGAGTGTGTGCAGGGACGATCTTCAGGAAAAGCCCCCGCCCCCTGCACGCGCCGGCCCGCCCAGTTTTAAAACACGGTGCTCCATACAAATGTCACAAGTAAACCAAACCGGTGGAGTTGGTCGAGCTGGCCGAAGGGCCGTCCCTGTGGTTTGCAGTGGGTTGTGCAGACCCCACCGCGGCGCCGGGACACTCTCCTCCCCTCTGACAGGCCACGCGGGCACCACGTGCCTCCCCACTTGGCACCTGAGTGGACGGGTTCTGGTCAACAGCTCTGTGAGCAAAGGCTTGCTAGCCGTTCGAGGTCATTTCAAAAACTCCTTTTTTTGGTCACAAACGGACTTAACAGGAGGCCCCGTGCTTTGCACAGGTGTGCTGTGTTTACCCAGACTCATCCCGTGTGGCTGGAGTGCCCGCTCGCTTACCTGTGCCACGCGGGGCAGTGGCCCAAGTCCCCGCACCTCCTGCGGCGGAAGCATTCACTCCGTCAGCCTGGAGAGAGCTGGGCAGGCAGCGTGGGGAGCACAAGAGCCTAGACTGTGCGCCCCCCCCCCCCGGCCAGCCAAGCACCTTCACTGGGCAGAGCTCAGCCCCGGCAGAGCGGAGGGGCACCGCACGGCTGCACCCAGCCCTGGCTCCTGGCGGGGAGGGTGGGGACGGGCGGACGGCGGGATGTTGCGAGCAGGAGGAATTCAGAGGTAGAAGTAGACAGTGCGAGGACACCGCAGCCCTGGCCATGTGGCTCGGTTGGCTGGAGCGTCTTTCTGTGAATCAAAGGGCCGCTGGTTTGATTCCCCAGTCACGGCAGCTGACTGGGTGCCGCCCCGTCAGGGTGTGTGCGGAGGTGTGGCCAGTCCGTGTTTCCCTCGCTCTCTCTTCCTTCCTGTCTCTCTAAAATAATAAATTAGAAAAAAAATTTAGATGGAGCACAACGTAGTTTCAAGAGCTCGGCTGAGTTTAGAAGTAGCCTCCCCTGGGGGTCCCCAGACCCCCCCTCCGTGCATCCCAGCGGCAGGCTGCACAGACTGGCACCTCTGTGGTTTGTGTCTGGGCGCTGCTTTCTGGGTCTAAGAACGGTGACTTGCAGGTGGCAGACAGCCATCTGCACACTTGTTACCATCTGTGGGAAGAGACCTGTCCAGACCTGCTGATGACCCCCCATCAGCTCTGTCCCAGGCGTGGAGGCACCAACCAGTCCACGATGGGGAGGCAGGCCAGTGGGAGGCAAGGCCAGGTTTGTCATGCCCAGGCTGGGCACTGGAGGGGCCCTGGGGGTGCACCCCGAACACCGTAAGGGTGAGGAGTCTGTGGACAAGAGCAGGGTGCCAGGTGCCTGCTCTGACCACGGCCTGGTTGCGGGGCCACGCAGTGTGGCGGGCCGCCTGCACCGTAAACCCTGGAAGGTGCCCACAGCGAGGGTGACGTGGAGGTAAGGCTGGCAGGGAGTGGCCGCTGCTTCCGCTGGAACATCAGGATGAGGTGGAGGCGTGGCCCAGCAAACCCCGTCTGTGTTAAAACTCCTTAAAAAGAGCCTTCGATGTGCCGTTCACGCTGTTGGCGTTTTGAGTGAAGACAGGCGTGCAGTGGTGGGCGCCGCGGGAGGGCGGGGCGTGTTCAGCCGTCTGGTTCCCACTGTGCAGCGAAGTCCCACTGGCAGCTGGAAGGACGCGTGTCTCTCGGGCACGGCTGCGTCCCCTGAGCCGTGTGTGTGGTTCCTGGCGCAGGACAGCGGGATAGCACTCGACCAATTCACCGCTCTTTTTTCCAGCAGAGTTTCTCTTTCTTACAATGGAGCCGAGCAAAAAGACAGACGCTTCGGGCCCGCTGCCGACCAACCCGCCGCTCCGGCTGCAACCCGACCGCAGTGCGCCCGTGCTGGTGCCTGAGCAGGGCGGCTACAAGGAGCGCTTCGTGAAGCCCGTGGAGGACAAGTACAAGTGCGAGAAGTGCCGGCTGGTGCTGTGCAACCCGAAGCAGACCGAGTGTGGGCACCGCTTCTGCGACAGCTGCATGGCCGCCGTGCTGAGGTAGGCCCGCCCACGGCCCCCGCACTTCCCTGGGAAAGCGAGCTCTGCAGCTCTGTGGCCACCCACACGGACGCGTCACGGGGGGAAGCCCAGTGGGGCACACGCCCGAGGTGAGGGTGTCTGTGTGTTGTGGTCTGGACCCCTCAGCCGTCCTGCAGCCTTCCGTCTGTCCCTGGTGTCCCCTGCCGCGTTACTGAGTTTTGCTCAAGGAGCTCACAGGTCTGTGGCAGAGACGGACTGAGGAGCCCCACGGTGCGAGGGCTTTGGTGTGCGGGGCTGCGGCAGGCGGGGCCCGCAGGATGGGCAGGATGGACCGGCCTGACCAGAGTGGGGACCGGGTGTGTGTGTGCTGTCCTGGCAGGTGCCCCGTGGGCACCCTTGGGTGGCTGAGGGCTGACGCCACTGCAGATGCCACTGCAGAGCCACGGTGCAGGGGCCAGGGGGACCTCAGCAAAATGACACTGGCCGAGAAAGTGTCTCCCTTCACCCACAGGTATTTCCTGGGCCTAGTGCTACACCCTGGGGGTACGGCAGGGCACACCTACCTCTGTCCCCATGAGGCACAGCTGCCAGGGAACACTCCCCTCCTCATCCTGATACTGCCGAGCTCACCCCCAGTCTCCCTGCTCCTCCCCGTTAGCCTCCCCTGAGCCCTGCCAGCTGTGGTTCTGTCCACTGTCCCAAACAGTGAAGCCACTGCCCACCTGCGCCGCCGCCTCTCCCTGGCGGCGAGCGCGGACCCAGCTTTCCTCCTGTCCTCCCCGGTGGTCTCCAGCATTGGGTCCAGCGCAGCGCGGCTCGGGCTCTGGGCCTGAGCTCGGGGGCGGGGGCGGTCCAGGAGACGGGTTGCCTTCAGCCCTTGCTCCTGCAGCCCCTGCAGGGCACCACCTCGCCTCACGGTGGGCCCAGCTCCTGTGCCCTGGGTGCCCACCCCGAAGAGCCCTTACGGAGCTGGTTTTGATTTCTGAAATAAAATTTCACTTTCAACTGCAGGGGGCTTTCCAGTGGGGCCTGGCCTGGCTGTTCTGCTCACCTTCCTCATGGAAAGTTACCGCCGAGCTCGTTTTTCCCCTTTTCCTCCGGCTTCACCCACCAGCCTGGCCCTCCCTGGCACCCCAGAGCTCTGGCTGCAGCTGGATGCCCTGCGGCCCCTTGGCCCCCGGGAGGGACCGGCGCTGGATGCAGAGCGGGACTCGTGCGCTAACGAGCCTGTGTGTTTCCCCTCAGCTCCTCGGGCCCCAAGTGCACGGCGTGTCAAGAAGGCATCGTTAAAGACAAGGTATTGTTCCTGGGTTTTCAGTGAATTGTTCTGTCAAGTGTTTGCTGCTGGGCAGTCTGCACACGGCACTCTGGCGCTCCGTGTCATCTCGGTGTGGCCACTGGTGCGGCAGGGTCCCGTCAGTGCTGGGTCCTGCAGGCACCGGGACACACGGGGCAGGTCTGCTCTCTGCAAGATCTCACCCCCGAGCCTGCGCTCACCTGCTGCAGGTGTGGCGGCCTCCTGAGACCCGGGTAGGTGGGCAGGCACCTGTGCTGTCGCCTGTCTCCCCACCCCCTTGTGGCCTCTGGAAGTCACTGCACATGGCAGACGTCAGCACCCCCCCCCAGCCCTAAGTGACTGTACATGCCAGGGAAAGCTCACAGGTGTCACAGGGCCACCCTGCCAGGGCACAAGAGGCCACAGAGGCGGCCCACTGACTTCCCACCTGCGGCCCGGGTCCCCTCCTGAGGCGTCTCCGTGGCCATCCACATGCTGCTTGGTGCACCGGGAGTTTGCAGGGACCTAAACTATCAATCGCACTTAAAATATCAGTAAAAATCTGTGGTCCCCATGTTTTGATCAATGAGCCTGACAGTTTTTTTTAAGTGCAAGTCATTAAATTGTACAGTAAGGTTCCCTCTTGGGGGCTTTCCCGTCTAAAGCACGTGGCCGCCGGGTGCTGGCGGGGCAGCCGCCACCGGGCCCCGGGCTGCGGGGCAGGGCGTCAGGCGGAGCCCGCTCAGCAGGGCAGAGACACAGAATTGGCCCAATGTCCATCCACCTGTTCTCTCTAAGCATTTACCTGCTTCTGAAAACTTCGGTTGGTAACAGGGAAAGGGTCGTTTTTAAGAAAAACAAGTCACTTGACTCTACCCCTTCTCTTAACAAGGCCGCTAACCTGTTCCCTTGTTAATGTGACCCTGAGCGCTGTGGCTGAGAGGGGCCGGACCGTGGACGAGGTGGCCGCTGAGCACCTCCCTTTCACTCTGCTTCGTCACTCCCGTTTTCAGAGGCTTTGCCGCTGGGGAAGCTGCTTGTGTCCCCAAAGAGTCCCCCACCTGGGGGGCTAACGCCGTGGGTCCTTGAGGGAACGCCGGGCCCTGGGAGACTGAGGCCAGGTCACTGACGATGGGGCCCTGGGGTCCCCCCCCACCCCCCGTAGCCGGGTACAGCAGCCGCGAGCAAGCTGAGCCCCGTGCTCGGAAATGCTGCGCCTCCATCACCCTCCGTCGAAAAGGCAAACTCAGACGACACAAAATTTTGACACAAAAAGGAAGCTCATTTCTTACCAGTTAAAAATACCTGTTTTGTTGGCTTAATGTATCTGAAATTATGACCTTTTAAAAAAAAGTCACGTGACCTGAGTGTAGCTCAGTGGATTGAGTGTGGGCCCGCGAACCACGCGATCTTGGTTCGATTCCCAGTCAGGGCACATGCCTGGGTTGCAGGCCAGTGCTCAGCAGGGGACACACACGAGAGGCAACCACACATCGATGTTTCTCTCCCTCTCTCCTTCCCTTCCCCTCTGCAGATGAATAAATAAAATCTTTTTTTAAAAGTCACGTTTGTCCTGGTCGGTGTGGCTCAGTTGGTGGAGCGCCCCCGAGCCCCGTGTGGCGGGGTGTGTGGGAGGCGGCCAGCCGGTGTTTCTCTGCCCGGCCCCCCTCAAATCATAGACGTTTGTTAAAGTTTTTAAAAATATAAACAGTTGTTTTTCAACACAGTATTGGATTGGACTCCAAATAAGTTTATTTTTAACTCAGCAGCCTTGGGGGTTTCTCGGCCCACGGAGCCGAGGAGGGCGCACGGGCCCCCTGCCTGCGGGCGCGTCTTAGAGTTCGGCGCCTGTGGGCCGAGACGCGAGACTATGTTTTCAGAAGGCGTGAGCCTGCCGGTTCCCTCGAGGGGAAACAAAATTAAAGAAAGAAGGTTTTCATTGTGAAAGGGAAACAGTTTTATTATTGGATCAACTTCAGTCTGCAATGTGTATTTAAAAGGGTTTTTCTTTTAACTTTTAAAAAGATTTCACTTATTTATTTTTAGAGGGGAAGGGAGAGAGAAAGGGAGAAGAACACTGACTGGTGCCTCTCACTGCCCACCCCCCTCCCAGCCCAGGCATGTGCCCTGACTGGGAATCAAACAAGTGACCTTCCGCTTTGTGGGATGACCCCCAACCCACTGAGAACACTGGTCAGGGCTAAGAGAGGGGGTTTTTGGTATTTTTTTTGGTAGGGTATTTTGGTGGAAAATGAGTTGTGAGTGACTTAATCAGGAGAAGGAACCAAAATAAATGTTTCGCAAACCAACTTCGAGATGTCGTCTCTCACAGCCGAGACTCACACAGCAGCTTCCCTAGCAGGTCTTGCCCCGAGGCCCCTCCCGGTGCTGGCTGGCTCCTAGCAGTGTCCCGAGCACAGATGTGACCTCTGCGCCTGGCCTTGAGATCGTCACAGTGGCTCTGAAGTGTCAGGTGCCCCATGGTGATCTCCGAGGCTGCCGTGTGACGACCACAGTTAGCTTCTGTCACTTAGATCGTGTCTCTGAGTGGGCAGCTTCCTTCCGATGGTGCGTCACGCGCTCTGAGGCCACTAGAGGCGCTTTCAGGCTCTTTCAGGGCAGCTCTGCGCTGTCCAAAGTAGCAGCGTGTGGAGGCTGAGAAAGCCAACCCTCTGAAGCCGCTGTTCTTCCCCTTCCAGGTGTTCAAGGATAACTGCTGCAAGAGGGAGATTCTGGCGCTTCAGATCCACTGCAGGAACGAGGGTCGCGGCTGCACAGAGCAGCTGACGCTGGGCCACCTGCTGGTCAGTCCCGGGGTGACGTGGGGGGCCTCAAAACGCGCCCCAGCCGGGGGGGCAGACGCAGACCCCTGGGTGTGGAGTCCTGCTGGCGACATCTCAGCAGCGTCCGCGCCTGGCCGTTGAACTCCCCCAGCCTGGTTAGGACAGAAGGAAATCTGCTTTTAATTTGGAAGGCCCATTAAAAACCTCTTTTTCTTTGTTACCATCAGTTTCCACATAACTTCTTGTGTGTTTTTGTTGGATGAGCATCATTTTGTCATGGGAAGACATTGGAGTTAGAACGAGTCCTAGTCCTTAGCAGACTGCCATTCATTTATCCAGCAGGAGAAGTGGACTTCGTTACCCAGAGCAGCGCAGTCGGGGTGACCACTAATGAGGGCATGAGATCCAGCATCTGTTAACGCATAGGTCACTCACTGTGTGAACAGCGGGTCTGATGGTGGACAAACGCATTTCTGTAGGGTTCGATTGTGCAGAGGCTAAACTCTGGTGTTTCCGATGGCAGTTTCCCGATTCCGAATTTCAGGTTGTCTGCTTCCAGGTGCACTTGAAGAACGACTGCCAGTTTGAAGAGCTGCCCTGTGTGCGCCCTGACTGCAAAGAACGGGTCCTGAGAAGAGACCTGCGTGACCATGTGGACAAGGCCTGTAAATACCGAGAGGCCACGTGCAGCCACTGCAAGAGCCAGGTCCCCATGATCACGCTGCAGGTGCGTCCCACTGCGCCCCCCGCCCACGAGCGCGCCCCTGAGTCCGTCCGCAGCCCGGCTTGCTTCTGAATGACTGGCTTTGGCAGGAACAGAGAGCAAACACAGGAAGTGAACAGCAGCGCTCACCTGAGTTGATTTCAGAGTTAAGCCTTATTTGGTTTTCCTGTTTCTGTTTATGTAATTAACGTTGTCGTTGTCTTGGTTGACTGTCACTTGGGGTACCAACAAATGAAGACTAATTGTTCAAAAAAGGTGGCATTTTCACTTGTCTCGGGGAATGGGCTCAAATTCCTGTTGGGTCACTCCCCGTCTTTGCAGCTCTGTGAAAACGGTCACCTCAGCAGGCCATTTGTCCTGCGCCATTCAAGTGCAGCTGTCTGTCTGGCAGAGAGATGAGAACTCAACATTCTTTTCGCCCCGACTATTTTGGCGTGTTCAGTATCGTGCCCGTGATAGAATCAGATCCCTCATCTGTAAGTTACAGAGAGAGCCGTTAGGGTGGGGACGAACTGTAGACACATCGGGGTGTGGTAACTCTCAGAATGAGTCCCTTTGTCGCACAGATCCATGTGAAGTGCCGCTCTCGGGTCTGTGGGTTTCACAGTGAAGCTCACTGTCTGGAGGGAAGAGGCCGTGAACAGGCAGATGTGCGGTGTGTGGCGGTGACCGACTCTGTGTGAACCAGCGAACTGCCTCGGGGTGCAGGGTGGTCAGGGTGGCCTCTGGCCGGGTTGGCGACTGATGCAGGAAGCGGCTGGAGCAGAGGCAGTGGTGTGGGAGCCGGGCTCTGGGCTGGGACCGACCTGGCGGGTGGGTTTTAAGACCTGGAGAGGCCAGCTCATGCCCAGTGCAAACCCAGTTGAAGTGCTCGGGGGAGAGGAGGCAGACCAGGGGGCGGGGCAGCCTTAAGCTGGGGTGACACTGTCTGAGCCCCATGTCTCCTGCACCTCTCCAGCAGGTGTGGTAGGTGGGTGGCAGTGGGAGCGGGAAGCACGGCGTCAGCCTGGACGGGGAGAGAGGTTTTGAGGCTGTTTCCAGGGTAGAACCCGTGGCAGTGGCTGGTGGCTCAGGAATGCCTGGTGGATGTTCTGAAGCACTTAGTGACCAAGATGTAGGAAAAGCATTGGTTTTCTTCTATACTGGGCTTGATCACCTCCTTGTTTACTTCTTGTTTAACCTCCTCGGGCCTGTGGCTTTCTCCCATGGCGATGTGGTTCCCAGACGTTTCGGTTGTGAAGGACTTTTAGGAGCTGTGCCCTCCCCTTTGGAGAAGAGCAGCAGTATGTCATGGTGGAGCGACTCCATCAGCAGTTAAATCCAGGTGGCGGAGACGAGTGCCTCGCACACGCCTGGGCACTCCTGTCACAGGCGCGCTTTGCTTCCTGCAAGTCAGTCGCCTTCACTTGCAGAAGAGAACCCGGTACTGTTTCCACTGGAGAGAGACTTGTGGGGCGTGTCCGTCCGACGCCAGGCGAGGCCGCAAGGCAACCCATCGGAAGGAGTGCAGCGCTCGGACTCAGGTGGCGTCTGGGGGGCCTGCTGGGCCTCGGAGCTGCAGCTGCTGGCGCGGGAAGCACAGGTCACGAACGGCGGTCTGTCCCCTTTGGAGGCACGACAGGCGCAGAGGCACGAAGTGATAATTACCAAGTCTGGGGCCTGAGCGTGCAGATAGTGATTTCCTACAAGCTTGCCACGCCCTCGGGAAGAAAACTGGTTTCACATGGTTTTACTGACATTGAGGTGTGAGCGCCTGCCGATGTTCCTGTGGGGGGGGGCCTACGGGGGTCCCAGGCACACCTGCTGAGGCCCCAGCTCATGCACCGGGACCCTGACTCCAGCAGGGCAGTTGCACACTCACGCCCACGTACGCCACGGCCTCCTAGCCCATCATGGCGTGATTGGGCACCCAGGTCTTGTTTTTCCAACTCTGACACTCAGGCCCAGCCTCCCAGCCTGCAGTTGACGTAGGGAGAGCAGCCGCCTAGCCCCGGCCGGCCGAAGCGCCCGCTCTCCCGGGCGTCCCTGTGTTTCCCACGCTTCGCGTTGCATCCGGACATCACGTGCTGACGGAGCACAGGCGGACACAGCGCTGGCGCACGGGGCCGTGAGACCCCTTTTCTGTGTTTGTGTAAACTGTAGTGTTGATGATACATCAGCAGATCAGCGAGTCGGCGGAATCTTACATTTAGTCTAGAAATCATCGAATATTGGGCTTGTCATGCAGCTTTGTGCCTTTGTTAAGAAGTCAGAATTCTAGAGATCTCATTTTACTGGCGAATGGACACGTGGTCATGGGGGCATGGAGGCGCAGGTGCTTTGGGAACTCGCTGGCAGGGCATTCATGCGCTCAGCCAGCCTGCAGCCCCGCTCCTGCTGGGAAGGAGGGTGCACCCACCAGCCTTGGGGCCCCAGTGGACCGCGTTACGTGGTGGGGACGGCCATGGAAGGCGAGGACGGGCATCAGTGCACAGTGCGTGCGTTAGCCTGAGAAATCTGACCCTGAGCCAGGTCGCAAATTAGGCTGGAATTCTATTTTGATAAAAATTGAAGGTAATTGAAACAAGACAGGCTTTTGTCAGGCACAAGTACACATGTAAGGAAGCTTTTTGTTCCTAAACAAAGGTAGCAGATGCATAGAGTTTGGGGTTGTGCTTAATGGTCGCTCTCAGGGGAGGGGACGGGAGCACATGGAGCTGGGGGCTGTCACTCGGATCTGGCCCTGTGGCCATCACCAGGAAGCCCTGCTTCCAGCTGACTTGTGTGTGACGTTGCTCTGCGTGCCTGTCAGAGTTGCACTTAATTTTACAGACAGGCTAATGCCACGAACGTGCGGAGTTTTCACGGAGCAGCAGCCGATCTGTTTTTCTAAGGGCTGCGTCCTTTTCCTGGGGCTGCTCTAAGGGTTCGGGGCCACAGATTCCAAGGCTTATGGCAGCCGCCAGCCATTTATTCTCCAACAGTTTCGGAGGCCAGACCCCAAAGCCAAGGTGCCGTCCGGACCCACAGCCACACTGAAGGGAGCGGAGCTAGGCACCTGGCTTGCTCCTTGGAGGGGAGGCGTGTCCTTGGGCACTTGTATGGGCTACCTCGTCCTTGGTCCCCACACCTGCCTGGTCAGAATGAGGCACCAAGGTGCTTGGCTGGGCCAGTCCTCCCCCAGGGTGCCTCGTTGAGCCTGCAGCCCCACCTCCACTTGTCCCCTGCCTGCTGGTGCTCTGGCCCTCGCCTCGCTTACGGAAGGTGTGCTGCCCACGCGGCACCAAGTGTAGCTGCCCCTGGGTTGGCTAAAGCAGAGCTCACCCTGTTTTCCACGCATTAATGGTAATCTCAGTAAGAGGTCAGAGCAGCGATGTAAATACCCAGGGAGCCTCACTGTTCCAGGGTTTGAGAGCATCATTTCCAGACCCCAGACAGAGAGGCCAGCCAAAACCCGCCCACCTCACCAGCAAAGGCCCCCCCCAGGTCAGTCCTGGGCTGCCCTCACCTCGGCGTGGGTGCGGGGGGGCTGCTAATAGGGTGCTGGTCCCATGGGCGGGCACCGCCCCTCACCAGACCCGAGTTGGGTTTCCGTGATGCCTCAGGGCTCACACTCAGACCTCCTCAGTGTGAGGGCCCCTGTGAGCACCTGAGTCGGTGCAGCAGCGGCCGGCAGGCTGCTTCCTCTGGGTCACGTGGGGACGTTGGCAGGACCTGAGTGTCTCGCATTGACAGCACTTTCATTTTCTCTTCCAGAAACATGAAGACACTGACTGTCCCTGCGTGGTGGTGTCCTGCCCTCACAAGTGCAGAGTCCAGACCCTCCTGCGGAGCGAGGTGAGGGTGTGGCCGGGGCCTGGCGGCATCAGCGGGACTAGCGGGCTCCGTCGCTGCTCCTCCCCGATACAGCCAAGGCTGTAGGTCTCCGCAGGTCATGGCAGTGACGCGAGTGTAAAAACTAGTGAAACCTCGTGCTGTTTTCGGGAGTCAGAGGTTGAAGGGGCCTGCAGTTAAAAGTTACAAAGTAGTAAATTCAGAACAGAATATTGTTAAGAATTGAGAAAACAGGGGTTATAATGCAAGCAAAAATGACTTTTTTAAAAATCTATTTTAAAATCTGTTAAATTGGATTATCTCATGAAAATAATTTAGAGACCTGCAGAACCTCTCTGCCTCGCATGCTGTGCAGGGTTGGTGCTGGGAAGCGAGGGGTCGCTGGAGTGGCTGCCGCATGTTGGGGGGGCCGAGACACTGCCCTGAAGGTGGGCTGTGCGTGAACTTCACGTGATCAGGACATTCCCAGGTGGAAAGAATCCAAGCATTCTCAGTGTTTTTGCATCAGCCCTGACCTGGGCCCCTCAGGTTGCAGTTCAGGCGCCCCCTGGGGCTACGTGCGGCCTCTTCCTGGGAGCTCTGCGCCGAGGGGCCTGCGCACCTCGGTCTTTTCAGCAGCCTGGAATTTTGCCCCTGGATGTGAGGGGGGTGGTCAGTCTCATGTCCCCACTGAGCAAGAGACACAGAGTGCAGGGGCGACCCCAAGGGCCACTGTCACTTGAGGTGCATCTTCAAATAACCTGACAGCCTCGCGAGGGCAGGGTCTTCCCTGGGGACTGCTTCCTGGTCCCTGGTCCCTGGATGTGCTGCAGGGAGTGGCAGGAAGTGCATGCCTGGTGTCTCCACAGCTGGGAAGTCCCTGTCAAAGTGGACGTGTGATGCGTCTATGTCATCAGAATTATTTTGGGGTTTTACATGCTTCCCTAAGTTTTTACTCGAGGCTCTCTGAATTAGGGGTGAGCACTGCTTCCATTTGCTTGTAAACTGTAAGGCTCTGAGGAAACGGGGATAAAGCCAGCCTAGGGAAGGGCGTGAACCTGCAGCAGCCTGCTGAAAGCATCTTGCCGAGTCCCTGAGGCCGAGTGAGCACAGTGCTCACTGCCCCACACATGACTGAGTGTGGGCAGAGGTTGTGCCCTGCCAGTCCAGGTTGGTGCCCCAGTGCCCAGCACTGTCTCATGCTGGTCCCTGTATCACTGCCTGTGATGAGTCTTCTGAGCCCCGTTCCACGGGGCCAGGCCTGCACCCCCAGCTGGGTTCAGAGGAGCACCGGTGTTCTCAGCTGCCACATCGGCCACTGTGACTAAGGCCTGGGCTCAGAGGCCTTCTGCCGGCCTTGGCCCCGGTCAGGAGGGTCCCTCAGGCCACGCCCTCAGCACTGCCTTTTTGGTAACAGTTGCAACAGGGCGAGTGTGGGCCACTCTCCTCTTTCCCTAAAGAACTGACCCGAAGGGAGGGGCGTCTTTGTCCTCGCCAACCGAGGACCAACTACAACTTCCGTGCCCCTCGCCCCCGGGGTCTGTACTTGGTGTGTTGCTGACCTGTGAGCAGCACCCAATAAGCTGTCCTCTCCTTCTTCCTCCAAATCTCTCCCCTCATTGCAGGGGCGGGGGGGGGCAGTGTTGGGACTTATATTGTAAGGGTGACCTTAGCGGTCCTTGGAAGCTGCAGGAATGTGTGGCCACACAGAGGGGACAGTCTCTTAGAAGAAAGAAACGCTCTTCCAGTTATCTCAAGTACTGAGCCTAACGGTCCATCGTGTGAGCTTGCTTTGGAAATAGATTTATTTCTGTGTACTGTATATGAGGTGTGTGGCCAGTTGCATCCTGAATGCTTTCTTTTTTGTGTGTTTCATGCAATTTTTGTTTATAGTCTTTAAGTGTGCATTTCAGTTTACGTTTTTTCCTTTTTTTAATTCTGGCACTGCAGATGGCATGTCCCATTTTAAACAATTTTAAAGAAAACGCAAGTTTAAGCAGTGTTACAGTGAATGTACTTCTGTATATCGGTGTACATGCGTGTGCACTTGTGGTGATGCTGTGAACTTGCTGCTGAGGGTCTGGAAGCAGACGGTGCGCGCGCACCCGTGGCCAGCAGCACCGTCCATCCTGGTGCGGCCCGGGCGCGCTCCGTGCCTCTAACATGTTTGAACATTTTTGTGCGAACGTTCGTGCCACAACTCACGTCTCTTTCCCGTTGCAGTTGAGTGCGCACTTGTCAGAGTGTGTCAATGCCCCCAGCACCTGTAGTTTTAAGCGCTATGGCTGCGTTTTTCAGGTCAGTATCCAACATCTGTCCTTCCCAGTCGCTGACATTCTGCCGTGAGGGAAAGTTGTCACATTAACGTTAAATGTGCTGCTTCTGGCACGTGTCGTGGAACCGAAGTGCCCTGCTGCCGCACGGTGGAGAAAGCCATGCGCAGCAGACAAGGGTGCTCGCTCTCCACGCAGGGATTCGAGACCCCAGGTAGAAGCTGTCTGGGAGGACGTCAGTGCGTCCCAGACGTGGGCTGCGTCCGGAGCCAGACAGTGAGCAGTGAGCGGATGCAGAGGCCTGGCGGTGGGCGGAGCTTCAGGTAGTCAGCCAGGGAAACGCCCCCGGAACTGAATGCCAGCCAATACCCAGCCAGCGAGGCTCTGGCCAGTGTGCGGCACACAGGCCACACCTCCCAGAAGAACAGAGTAGAGAGGAAGTCTTAGTCACTGCCACACCTGGGCGGTGGCAAACCCATGTCTGGCTTTTAATTTATTTTTTTTAACACATCTGAGATTGCTAGTGAATTTGAACTGAGTTTTTTTAATGCGCATCTTAGTCTTAAAACTATAAAAAAACAATATATGTTACTGTCAGAGTACTTTATAGTTAATTTTACGTATTAGCACGATACACCACTACGAAATCAGTTGGGGGATATTGGCTCCCTAGGATTTTCTTAGAAAGTGGACGCGTGAGGAAGAGGACACGGCCCACCCCCCTTGACCTCGTCTGCGGGGCACACAGAGCCCCACTGTCGTGTCGCACGCAGCCCCATCCATCCTGTGTGTGTATGTATATGTTGACATACGGCAGCACTTATCTCAACATACACATATATGACCACTCTGTACAGAGTATATGTTTTGGAGATCATTAACACGCTTTCTGTGGCTTCCTAATTCTCCAGTGTCAAAACAAATTATATCTTCATGCCAGTTATTTCCTTCCGTATGTGAAGTGCAGTTTCCTGTGCTCACGAGCGACCGCGGTGGTCTGCATCTCATGTACTCTGTAGACTGTTTATGTTGTGTGTGACTTTCTAAGTGCACTCAGGACAGTGACGAACAGCACCTTTCTGATACACTGTGTTTCACGAATAACCAGTGTTTGGGCGAGTTCATTAGAACCCTGGTCTGATTACATGTCTACTTGTTTTCGTACCAGTATCTTGCTGTAACTCAGGTGTCTAAACATTTTCCCTTTATATTTTTAATGGAAAACTCACAAAAACGATATGTCTGAAATTTAATTTCTTAACATTACAAGTGTGAGACATAGCCGAGAAAGCACTTGATAAGAAGCGTGAGGAGAGACGCACGTGACCTTGAGGTCACCTGCAGCTGCCGAGCCCTGTCCCCAAGTGCCCTATGCAGCCCTCAGCCCAGCCCACACGCGGTAGAGCAGGGGCTGCCGGGCACAGCCGTGTCAGACTGGGGAGGGGGCCCTGGTGTCAGGACTGGAGTTAGGCATCTGGGAGGCTTCCCATGCGCTCAGGGACCGGGGCCGGCTTCACGCTCTGCACCTTTGCTCTCGCAGGGGACAAACCAGCAGATCAAAGCCCATGAGGCCAGCTCCGCGGTACAGCACGTGAACCTGCTGAAGGAGTGGAGCAGCTCCCTGGAGAAGAAGGTACGGCACGCCGCGTCTTGCTCCCCTCGGCGCTTCCTCGTTCTTGTCGGCTTTTTAGAGGAGCAAAAGCCGTCTTTATAGTTGCTAGTGGTTTGGAGGTAAAAGAAACTGCATCGAGAGATGGTCCAAAGCGTGACGGCTCCTCGTGTGGTCTTGCGCTGACAAATGAAGGTGTTTGTGTTCCCTCTGTTCTTTAATTGCCATTAAGTGCCCTGCTTTCTTTAAAGAAAATCACACATAGTATCTTAGCGTTGCTCTGGAGCACAGACTGGGAAGCTCCCAGGCCCCCCTCTCCTGCCAGTGGAGGCTGGACACCAGGCCTGCTCTCCACATCGGCCACAGCTGCCGTGAGCAGGGCGGCCGGGACAGCATGGACTGCAGAGCCCAAAACCCTCGCTCTCGGTGCTCGCAGAAGTGGTGCCGGCCCTGAGCAGGAAGGGCACCCCTGTTAAATACGTAGAAAAAGACATCTCCCTGTCACCGGTGCTCTGCCAACCTCCTGGCTGCCTGTGTGGGGCAGGCACTGAGCTGGTCCCCTCCCGGACAGATGCCTGTGCCCGGCTGCCCTTCCAGGGCTGCGTGTGGGCTGGGCCATTGTCTGCAGCCCTTTCTGGGTCGCTGGTTCGTGGGGTGCTGCCCGCCCCAGGCTTTGGGGAGCAGCTCGACGATCATTCCCCCGACTCCGTCATACGAATGGTCCCTGCCCATCCCAGCCCCGGCCCCAGTGGTCATGCAGGCTTGTTTAGATCCTGTTTCTTCCCTGGGACCAGAACAGAGGCTGGACCAAAGAGGAGATTCTTAGTTTTCCCAGAGCAGGTTTTATTTCTCAGTCTGGACTGTGCAGCTGGCATCTCAGGTTGTTTTGTTCGTCCGCAACAAGAAGCAGGAAGCTTGCCTTGGTTCAGGGGGACTGGTCACCACATCCATGGTCAGACCACAGAAAAAGAGTCTTGTAAAATTCAGACTTAGAAACCCTGCCCCTGCCGTTTTAGGCCCAGCACGGGCCGGGGGCGGGGCCATTCCCCTGCTGTGTGGGCGTTACCCTGCACTCCTCAGAAACACCTGCCAGGCCACCTCTCCTGTGTGTGACGGCGTTGGTTCCCTGGAATAAAATGTGAACATAAATAAAAACCAGTGTCCATCAGGGTGGAGGGAAAGGGAGAGTTTGCCCTGGCGGGGGGCGTCCTCCGGCGTGGACACTGCTGGTCACCCGCAAGTCACTCGGTTTGTGGTGGGAACACGCGGCCATGGCTTTGGAGCTGTGACTGTCTTTTGTCAGGAGGCTGGTGTGTGGGTGGTCTCTCTGGGAATGAGTCTGGGACTCAGCCTGCCTGTGACAGGCAGGGGTGGGCGAGCTGTGACCACAGGAGGCGGAGAAGGCACTGTGACCCTGCACCTGCCCGTCACGTGGGGGCACCCCAGGCCTTGCGGCATCCTGTTTCAGGAAGGACAGTCCCACGGTACTGAGTACAACTGCAGGTGGCGTTGCGAGGTTGTGCCCTTCCTAAGTACATGCTCATCTGCAGGAGCACAGCCAGGGCGCGGAAGGGGTGTCTGCCCCCAGGCCAGTTGGTTCTTCCTTAAAGGGGCCTGTCACTCCTGGGGTTGAGCCTTGGATACCACGTCAGTGACATCACCTTGGTCCTGGGGTGCTGGTGACATTCCACTCCATCCTGGGTCCCCAGTGACTTAGGGGAAGCTGCCCTTGCCTCCAGGGGAGCCTCCTGGGGGTGGAGGAGGCCTTCCTGGGGGCCGGGGGCCCCGACTCCTCACCCCAGGATTGTAGACCCCTTAACTAAATCGGCTGTCAGGAACCAGTTGTTTCTCCGAAAGAGGTTTTGAAGAAGTCACGGGGGGCTTGGACAGGTGACACCAGGGGAGTGGGCACAGCACCCCGCAGCCCTGTCTCTGCTCTGGGCGCCCTGCTTCCTGCTCTCACCGGGTCGGCTCCTGGTGCTGAGAGCGCCTTCCACGTGCAGGGGCGGCCTGTTGCAGATGTGAAATAACTTTGCGGCGTGTGACTAACACATGTTAAAAGCAAAACAATAAAATAGGAACTGCCAGGGTCGTTGTAGGCGAGGACAAGTGTGGCTTTGTGATTCCTGCCTCTCAGGAACACACACCATGTGACACGGGGTTTCGTGTCTCGGTGTGGAAGCCAAAACCTTCAGGAAGTGCCCCTTCACTCGGAAGTGCAGCAGCCCAGCTCCGCCTTCTCTCCGTCGCGGGGGCGGGGCAGGGGGCGGGGCAGCGCGGTTGGTGGGGTTCCCTGTGGGGCTGCCAGGGCTTCTGTCTCCTGTTGGGAGAGATTTTTTCGTGGGATGCCTTCCAGGGGCTAAAAGAAGGACTATATTGTGAACATTGAATTGCTTTCCTAATTGTTATTAATTTTCTGTCATTAACATTAAAACCAATTTGGCTTAGTGGAAGAATTTCTTTTCCAGGTCTCCCTGCTGCAGAATGAAAGTGTGGAAAAAAACAAGAGCATCCAGAGTCTGCACAATCAGATATGCAGCTTCGAAATTGAGATAGAGAGACAGAAGGAAATGCTTCGGAATAATGAATCCAAAATACTTCACTTACAGGTGAGAGGCTTAAGGCTGCTGGGGCTGCGCTGAAGGGCAGAGGGGCCGGCCGTGTCCTCTCTCAGAAGGACATCCCAGGAGCCCTGCCCTTGGCAGACGGGCGCCTCTGGTACCACCCCCACCCCCACTCCCATGCCTTTGAGTCCCTGCTGGTGCAGCCAGACTTAAAAGGCCATAGTTTTGAACATCAGCTGTTTTGATGACTGTCTCTCGCTTCATATTGCTTGTGTGTGAAGTCTCACTCCCTAAATTGAGGTGACCTAAACTGCCGTTTTGTTCCGAATCTCCCAATGACTCTTGTGCCCCGCACTCAGTCCCACTGTCCAATCACAGGCGTTTCCAAAACCGTAAGCCCGTGGGGCCCTGGGGAAGGTGGTGGTGGACACGGGCCTGGGCAGAAGGCTGCTCCCCACTTCCGCCACCGGCACGTCCAGCACGGGGACACCGGCACGCTGCCACAGCGGTGTCGAGGCTTGTGCCTACGGCGGCGCCTCTCCCTGGGCTGTCTGGAGCAGGGCCCTGCGGCCCATCTGGGCATCTGTGGGAACCCCTCTGCTCCCGCCTTCACGCTGGGGACCTGTCCTCATGCCTTCTGGGGCCACGTGGGGAGCAGCAGGCTTTTGTCTGTGTTACAGTGTGTGGTCAGCCAGAGAGGAGAACGCAGTGAAACGCTGGGTTGTGTTAGTGAGGACACAGCCGTTAGTGTGACCAGTCCGCAAAGCACGGCGACACGTAAAACTCCCTACAAGCCTCCTGGGGGCAGTCCCTGGTGTTGTGCTGAGGCCCTGAGACGGGCAGAGAGTCCCGCCGGCTTGTCCCCACCGCGGCCTCACTGGCACCGACTGCGCTGTGGGGCTGCCGCGTCTGAGCTGGGCTGGGGCATGCGGGAAGGCCGGTCACCCCTTGTTAAAAATGCCAGCTGTGGAAGAAGGTGACTGCACGGTGGGGCCGCGTGTGCTGGGGACATTAGAATCACAGTGAGGCCCCAGGTGCCCTGTCCCAGCCCCCGGGGTTTGCTGTGCGCCCACTCCCTCCACTTCCCGTGAGAGGAGCTGGAATTTTACTTAGCTTCCTTTCTCGTAGAGCTCGGTGGTCCTGCTGTGTGATTCACATTTTAAGGCTGTTGTGACTGAATAAACCCGCGCCATCTAAGAAATGGGGTGACTGCTCTGCCGAGCCAGTTTCTGCCTTCATTAGCGCTCCAGGGCTGGTTATAGAGGGCTCGCTGGGGCCATGCTCCCTGGAGAGGGTCGCGCTGGGGGATGCGTTTGAAGACAAGGGCTCACCATCGGCTGTAGGTGCCCGGTCACTCTGAGGCTAGGTAACTAGTCCCCTGGAGGGTCGCGTGGAAGGGCAGCCAGAAGGGCAAGGTTCAGTCTGCCGCTGGCCCCACCTGTAGGCTGCCAGAACTGGGGTGCAAGGGGGAAGTTTGGGGCTGTGCGTCTTTCAGTACGTCCGTCTCCCAGAAACCCCTGTGGGCTGCGCGTGTGCAGATGTGGCAGGAGGCGCGGCGACGCCGGCCCCGCCCCTGTCCTTACTGTGTTGCTCACCGTCGAGCCCAGGCCATGCAGCCGAGGCCTGGCCCCTGAGCGCCTCCCGCATTGTCCCACTGGGACAGTGTTGGTTTCCAGTCCCCCACACGGATGACACAGGCTGACAGGAAGCACGGGCACGTCGGTCTGGGCATCAGGAGACCCAGACCAATGTGGGTGCTGGGAAAGCCCGCCTGCTGCGGAGGGCGGTGTCCACCGTGTGCGCCTGCGCACGCGCCTCCGGCTCTCGAACCTGCGCCTCGGACACGCCTGCCCTTGGGTTCGTTCCTGTGGAAACACCGCGGGTGCTGAGCGTGGGCTGTGCCTCCAGAGTGGAAGTATGTGCCCCGCATTTTGCAGAGAAAGCTCAGTTTGGACTGGCGTTTGGTTTTGGAATGGTGCAGTTCATACAAATGAGAGGTCACTTAAAAACAGCCGTGGGGGCCCCTTTCAGGTGGTTCCGCTGAGCCTTGTCTGCGGGTGCGCATGCGCGCGGCTCTGCGTCCCTGGGTCGGAGCCCGGCCCAGAGCCCGGCCCAGCGGGCGGCTCCCTAGGTCCAGACCCCGCAGTTCCCTCCTTGAGCGGTCGCGTGTCTGCAGGCTGCCTGGGCATCGCCAGCCTGCCAGGGGCAGGGGCTCGGCAGCCGCCCTTTTTACCTTGGCAGCGGGAGGCCCAGACGGAGCGGCCCCTCTCGGCTGTCCCTGATCACTGTAGGCAGCCTCGTCCCACTCTCCACGCCCAGAGTCCCGTGCGTTTGGTGGAGGCGCCTCCCGGTCTGCCGCTCACCGCAGAGAATGGCGTGGAGTCCGGGGACGGGACTTGGTGAACTCATTCAGTGGCCTCCAGCCGTAACACGCTTAAAAATAGTGCAAAGGAGCATCAGTGTAGTTCGTCAGCGAAATCATCTTTCCTTCTTAGATGTTAGCTAACATCAGGCTTTCTTGGAAAGAAGAATAACACTCTACTTAACCCAAACCTACCATGTTTGTTTCTTCATGGTTAGTCAGAGCCAGCAAAGGTGCCGAAACCTACGCGTTTAAAAATAGGCTTTCAAAAGGAGAAGTGAGCTTGGCCCCGCCCCCTGCCTCCCCCAGCCGGTCACTCCACAGCTTCAGGGGCTGCCCTGCTGAGACCCCAGGACCTACTTCAGAAATGCAGGCTCTCCTTAGAGGCAAAACTCCTTAGGGCCCAGAGGTCTGCACAGAGTGGGCAGGGGTCCTCGCCCCTGCCCTTCCAGTCCCTGTGAGAGATGGAAGTGGTCTGTGTGATTCTGGGAAGAAAGGTTTTCTGAGTTAAAGTCGCCTGCAGTCAGGGCTCCTTGCCCACCGCAGGTGCAGCCGCCCCGCGGGAGCCGGTGGAGGAGGCCGGCTGCCCCTAGGCCTGGGCCCGGGCTCCGAAGACCCACCACCAGGGGCCTTTCTTGCTGTGAGCCCCTGTGGACGCTCAGGCCTCTGGAGCTGCAGAGTCAGGGCAGCCCCTGCTGGTGTTCGGAGCCTTTAGGGACATGGGCCCTCAGATGGCACCAATGGGCATCACTCCTGTGTCCTGAACTTGAAATCCTAGGAAAGAGTGATGTAGGGCCACCCTCCCTGCCGTTGGTCGGGGCAGGCCTCTCTGCACCCCACTCCTCTCCTCTGGGAAGTGAGGGCCCTTGTTACTACCTCTGTCCCTGAGACACATGAGGTGTCGGACTGGATGCCTGTGAGGCTGGGCCCTGGGCTGACCGCTCTGTCCCCGACTAGCCTAGGCCTGGTGGTGGTGGCTCAGCATTTTCCGTGAGTTCTGACTGTGTTTTTCCTCTTTGATGCCCTTGACTTGGAAGCGAGTAATAGACAGCCAAGCAGAGAAACTGAAAGAGCTGGACAAAGAGATCCGCCCCTTCCGGCAGAACTGGGAGGAGGCAGACAGCATGAAGAGCAGCGTGGAGTCCCTCCAGAACCGTGTGACCGAGCTGGAGAGTGTGGACAAAAGTTCGGGGCAGGCAGCCCGGAACACAGGTGAGGGCAGCCCGGCAGGGGCATGGGCTGGGCGGGACCTGGGACCCAGGTAAGGTCTGCGGCTCCAACCCGTGGGGTACACAGTTCGTTCCCATTCGGCCTCAGAGCAGGGCCTCCCGGTTACAGGAGAAGTGTGTGCCAGGCTGATGGCATTTCTGCCCTAGTGCCTTTGGCAGGGACAAATGGCCCCTGGGACTTGTCCAAGGCCATCACGGTGGGCAGTGGGTGCGGCAGGACGCCAGCCGTGGGGCAGGGCCTGTTGGTTGGGTGCATGGCGAGGCCCGGACATCGGCCCATGACTGGCCCCACCCACACATGTCTGATGTTGGCCCCGCCCACACATGTCTGATGTCGGGGAGGGTGCGGGCTGTGACTTCAGGGGCTGAACAGAAGTGCTGCGAGTTTGCACAGAAGGGCTCATGGTGAGCCGAGCACGTGGGCACTGGGCTCAGCAGCTGAGGACCTGGGGTGGGGACAGAAGCAGCTGACGCTCGGGGCACAGGGGACCCTGAGCCTCAGGCTAGAGGACCACAGGGTCGACCCTGTCCCCTCAAGGGGCTCCCTGTTGACCCTGCAATGAGGGACTCCGGGGACCCCAGGCTGTTGCATCTCAGCGGGCGGTCGCCACAGGTATGGGGGCCACACAGCACAGGGGTCTGAGGCCTGTGTCCGGAGGTCTGCACGGTATTTGTCTTCTGCCTGCCGAGAGCTTCAGTGGTTCCCTGGTGTTTAGTGCAACCCCCCGGCCCCGGCCCCGGCCCCGGCCTTCCTGGTCCCCACTGACACCCTCGCCTGTCTCTGCCACCCGCCAGGCCTGCTGGAGTCCCAGCTGAGCCGGCACGACCAGATGCTGAGCGTGCACGACATCCGCCTGGCCGACATGGACCTGCGGTTCCAGGTGCTGGAGACGGCCAGCTACAACGGGGTGCTCATCTGGAAGATCCGGGACTACAAGCGGCGGAAGCAGGAGGCCGTCATGGGGAAGACCCTGTCCTTGTACAGCCAGCCTTTCTACACTGGCTACTTCGGCTACAAGATGTGCGCCCGCGTCTACCTGAACGGGGACGGCATGGGGAAGGGAACGCACCTGTCGCTCTTCTTCGTCATCATGCGCGGCGAGTATGACGCTCTGCTTCCTTGGCCCTTCAAGCAGAAGGTGACGCTCATGCTGATGGACCAGGGCTCGTCTCGGCGCCACCTGGGGGACGCGTTCAAGCCAGACCCCAATAGCAGCAGCTTCAAGAAGCCCACTGGGGAGATGAATATCGCCTCCGGCTGCCCGGTCTTCGTGGCCCAGACTGTGCTGGAGAATGGGACGTACATTAAAGATGACACCATCTTTATTAAAGTCATAGTGGATACTTCGGATCTGCCCGACCCCTGACGAGTCCCTGGGGAGGCGGATCGAGCAGAAGGCAACTCCTCTCGGGGGTTTGAACCACTGTCTCCACCGAGGTCCTCGAGCTCCGGAAGGACCTTTCGGGATGGAGGAGGTGGCAGGAGGCGGCCGCGGGCCGGTGGGAGGAGCCTCGAGGAAGGACGTTTTCTCACAGACTCGCGGCACTTCACCGAAGAATTATTTATCCTTTGACGAGACAAATACTGCTGTCTGAGGAGGTTTCCATTTTCATTTTTACAGATCTAGTTAAGTAAGGTGGAGAACATACATGCTAAAGGAAAGAACCATGATTTTTCTTCCTGAAACTTGAACACCAAAAAGAAACCCACACCCACCCACACATACACACCGGGGTAGCTGGACGTGTCAGCATGCTAAGTAAAAGGAGAATTTATGAAATAATAATGCAGTTCTTATATATTCATTCTCAAATTCAAGAGTGCAGTCTTGTTTCAAATACAACATATTGTCTATTTTTAAGGCCTCACCTGGTCTCTGTTTTAATAATTTGTCAGAAGACCCTGAAGTACACCCAGGTCTTTTTTGAAAGTCTCTAAATTCAGAATCATTTTTTAATTTAAAGTTCTAAGATGATTGTTACTGCAGACATTTTATTTTAAAACAATGATAGACTTATATTTCTTGGAAGAAAATGTAAAATATCAAACACTGGTTATCACTTGTGATAGGAAAGAGAATATCCAACCCGTTGTTATTTCTCGTTAGAAATGTAAACCTTCAATATCTGTCGTAGTCGATGACACTACTTCGAACTTGTCACGGGAGGAAACCGCTCTTGGATGCTGTGCATCGTTCTCAGATTTATAATTGTTTTCACCCTAAACTAGGGCATTTGTTGAACTTTGGAGTTCTAAACAAAACCCTGTAGGTTTTTAAAATTGTGCCCCATGTGTTCTGACGAGGTCTTGGTCGCTGACATCCCCGACCCTCAGTGCGCAGTGTCCCGGGTGGGCAGGCGACTCGTGCGGCAGGCATTCTCCATTCTGTCACGTTGCTGCATTCCGTCCGCGACCTCCGGAAACAGCGTCCTTGCGTAGAGACGGCAGCGTACGGTCCACGTGCCTTAGGCGTGCATGCTGCTTCCCAGCCCGGCTTTGCGTCCTCTGCAGTTCGGGCGAGTGGCCCTGTGGCCAGACCTGTCTTGGCCACTAGCCCCGTCTCTCACCGGCCCCCAGGCAGCTCTGCACCTGCTGTGGGGGCACCAGTCTCCGTCTGGGTCTCCTGGGCCCCTGCTTGACCATCACAGATTCCAGACCCCCAAGGTGAGCCGCCCAGGCCAGGCGTGGGCACGGGCCCTGCTCAAGCAGAACCCTCGAGCATCCCAGAGATGCAGCTCTGGGGGCTGCGCGGGCTGCCTGGCGGGCCTCCGGGGCCTCCGGGACCGCCGCCCTGGGCAGGGTCGGCCTGGGAGGCCCGTGGGCCCGGCCCGCGCAGCCCAGCTGGCCTCTTCTCAACACTGTTTACCTTCTCAATGGTCCAACTGTGATTGGCAGCCGGAGCCCGGCCGGCCCCGCCCTCCGCTCTGCACCGCGCCTCCTGGTGCTTCGACCTGACGGTGCTACACGTGACGGGTGCTTCTCTGAACGGCCAGCGCGCTGCCCGCCGCCTCGTGCCGTCGTCCCGGAGCCGCGCCCACGCCAGCTGGCCGGGCCGCGCACTCAGACTGCCTGCCTGCCTCCGGGCTCCCGCCCGGCGGCCGCCCGTGTCTCTGGTGCTGCCGTCCGCCCTGGGCGTGCCTTCGCCCCAGTGCCTGCTGGAAGCGCCCCCTCGCACACCGTCCCGGGCTTCCGTCATCACCTGCCAGCCCGAGCCCCTGCCGGGCCCCTGGGCAGTCCCAGCACCCCGTCGTGTCCCCTCCCGTCTCCACCACCAGGACGGCTTTGAGGGCGAACGCGTGTCACCAGCTCGGGAGTCGCATGTCCCCACTCGCAGAGGAAGGGCTTCCCGTGGGTGCTGTGGGACCGCTGTTCCCTCAGAGGGGTCCCCGACCTTCAGGTCTCACCCTGGCCCTGCCCTGCAGACCCAGAGGAGAGACCCCCCCCCCGGAGCCCCCACCAGGCCTCAGGTGGCGTCCAGAGGGCCAGGCCACCGACAGGCACACTCTGTGGCTTCCTCTTCGACAGTCTGGTCAGAAAGAAAAGCCAAGATGTTTCCTCTTCCTCTGGGTCGAGGTCCTGTAGGGGCGGGCCACCAGGCAGTGTCTGTCTCTGCGGGCGGGGCTTGTGCAGATTTGCCCCTGGGGCAGGTTCTGGGCTTCCCTCCTCCTCCCAAGGGGGCCACAGGGCTTGGCGTGGGCAGCCAGCACCGTCCCCTGGGAAGAGGCTGTGACCTGGCAGGAGTGTCACCCTGTGGCTAGGTCGTAGTCGGTGGCACTTGGGGTCTGTGGGTCTGGCTGCTGTTCTGGGCACAACGGAGGGCAGCCTCTGGCCACCCGGCGCCCTGCCCACGCAGCGAGGCCTGACCAGGGCCGAGTGAAGGGAGCGGGCGCAGGGTGGTCGGGTGCGTGACAGGGTTCCCCGCAGATACGAGTTCTGACACTGGAGGGAAGCCAGCGGTCTGTCGTGGCCCCCCTGGCAGCCTCCTTTGCCAGAGACCCCACTGGGGCTTGGGGACCAGCGTGTCCCTGAGGGCTGTGAGCCGCCATTTTAGGAGCAGGGTCTTCCGTCCCCCTGGGCTCACGGGTAACAGGAGAGTGTTGGCGTGCACGTGGGTTGCTCTGAGGACAGGGTGGCGCTGGCCCCCGGACGAGGCTCTGAGCGTTCCCTGGACAGGGACAGGAGAGGCCTCGGTGGCTGCTGTCACAGCCTGAAGCCCCGGTCGTTCCCTGCCCTGAGCCCCCACTGACCCTGATGCTGAGCAGCCCAGGGAGCGGGAAGCTCTCAGCCAGGCGGCTCCTGCCTGCCCCGTGACCCTGGAGGCTGTGGCAGGAACGCCCGCCCTGCCTGCCAGCTGCCTCCACCAGGCCCAGTTGCTGTCCGCTGACCCCAGTGGTCTCAGGCGGAACCTACACCGCCAAGGCTTCCCCTGGACCACTGTGGCCCACCTTGGGGACCATGGGGGCAGCCAGCCTGCCTCCTCCAGAGTCGCCAGCTGCCCAGGGTCGGGACCATGGCCCAGCTAACACCTGCGGTCCCCGTGGGCTTCACTCTCGGTGACATTGCAGGGTGGTCCCCCGTGGCCGGCCTGGCAACCCACAAGAGGGGTGGGGGCAACGTCCCGTGGAGGAGAGGGCGTCTGGACAGAGTCTGGAGCACAGCCTGGTCCCGAGGTGGGTCGCACCCTGGGCCCCAGTGCCTGTCCCTTGACCCCGACGGGGTGACCACAGCACTGTCGTTCGGTGCCCATCACAGACGTGTGCGGCCGCAGCACCTCTGCTGTCCTCCCCGGGCTGGTCAGGAGCTCACACCTCGGCCACCGGCGCGTCCCTTGGCCTGGGGTTGCTGGTGCGGAGCGGGCCACCGTCACTGCACGGCCAGCTCTTCACCAGCCGCAGAGGCACCAGGGGTCCCAGCGGCCCCTTTGCTTTCGTGTTTGTGACAAGTGAGGTGTCTGCCACCCGAACTGATTTCTCAGCCAAGACCATGGCCCTGTCTCTCGTGGGCCAGTCTCGGTAGTTGTGGTCCCTCCGACATGGAGGGTGTCCACCGGGGTCCGGGTCAGGTAGGGCTCGTGTGGGCTCCTGTGTTGGCCAGTGGCCTGGTCATCGTTCCCGCCTGTCTGGGCAGTTTCGGTTGTCACCGGGGAGCCAGGGCCAGTGGAGGGCAGGGAGACAAAGCCCAGAGACGCCCCAGGGACATCCTCCGCTGGCCGGTGGGGGGCAAGTGGGCCGAGGGGCGGCGGTGGGCAGCGCTCACATCTCATTCTCAGCTGCCGCTGTGTCTGTGTGTGGGGACACGGGGCATCCGGACGGCCACCCCACTCCTGCGGCTCGTGGCGGTTGGTTTTATGACTCAGTCCCCTTAGAAAAGTGAGGTGACCCGGTCAGTGACCTCAGGAGCAGCACGGTCTTCGAGGACCTCTCCGGGGGTGACACCCGCGATGGAGGCAAGGGGAGGGCCCAGGCCCACGGCTGCCGGCGTTTCCAGAATCTCACCCCCGCCCTGCTGGCTCACCTCCTCGCTCAGCTCCCCGACCCAGAACAAAGACCAAAGAAGGCCGACCTCTTGTTGGACCCTGTGCAGCCTGCCGTTCCACACGCCGCCGGCTGGGAGGCTCTGTCCCGACTGCACAAGTGACTGTGACCAGTGACTCACGGCGTGTTTTTCTGCTCTTCTAAGAAAAAACAACAAAGACACAGTGTAAGTTATTGCTCAGCAATAATCATGTTAATACGAGTCAACAACATGTCTGACTTTCCGGTAGCATTATTATGTTTTATATTTTTGTTTCCTGTATATTGTGTGTGGTTTTATTTGGTATTTATTTGTGTTTTGAGGTCTTGTAATGTTTCTTTGTGTTCCTGATGCTAATAACTGAAGAATGTAGAATGCAGAACTTGGAAATGCTAAGCTGTCTCATTAGAGGAAAATAAAACTGACCGTGGACTCTCGGGCTCTTCATCTCCCGCCTCGCAGGCAGCAGGAGCGGCCGCCGGCTGTGGCCCGGCTGTGGGCTCGGGGCTCTGCGTCCCTGTCTTGAAATTCTCCGCTTTTGACCAAGGATCCTGAGGGCTCGTTCCGCCCTGGGCCCTGCCCTCTGAGCGGTGGCTCTGACCGCGTGTGCCCGGGTGGGCGTGCCAGCAGCCGGCCCTGCAGCTGGCGGTCTGGTCCAGAGTGAGCGGGCGGCCCTCCCCTCCAGGAGGCTGAGCAGGCCACAGACAGTTCTTGGAGTCTCAGCTCCCTCATCTGTCAGGTCAAGGGGGCAGCGCCTGCCTCCTTTTTGTGACCAGGTGGTTTTTTGAAAAGCTGCCCCAGTGCTGACATGGGGCTGGTGGGGGCTCCTGGAGACATCTTCTGAGCAGCCGTCCACTGTGGGAGAGTGACGGGCTCTGTGGCCACCAGGCCGGCCCCACAGTTCTCCAGGTGCTCGGGCGCCTGCCGGGTGGCAGGGAGCCTGTGTCTCCCTGGGGCTGCCCTGGGTCACCCCGTGTGGGGCTGCTTCCGGCCCCTCCCCCACCACGTCTGTGCCACCACCACAGCCCCTCGCCCCTGGAGTGCCACGCTCACCGCCCTTCTGTAAGCCACGGCTTTAGGCCGGGCCAGGAGGGGGAGGCCCCTCCCTCCCAGAGTCCAGGGCCTGGCCTGGATGTGGCCACACTGCTCCTGCCATCCTCCATCCACCTGAGAGTCCTCCCCACCCCACACCTGCACCCTGCAGGGGAGCTCCCTGCAGGGAGCCCAGCTCTCCCAGACACAGCCCAGCCAGCAGCCAGCCGCTCAGAGAACACAGCACTGCTGGTCCCTCCCTCCAGGGACTTCCCAAGTCCATGCACCCCTATGCTCCACCCACCTTCACGGGCAGGTGCTCAGGCCTGGGGCGCCCGGAGCCCCACCTGGTGGTGCGGGGTTGCCAGCCCTGGTGGCAGGGACCAGACCCCCCCCCTCCTCCCCCGAGGAGCGGTTTTGCCGAGCACGGGAGAACACCAGTGGGACAGCTGCGGAAAGGAGCAGCGGAGCTGGAACCGGGGCAGGGGCAGGGCCGCAGAGCCGAGTGCCTTTGAGGACCCTCGGCCGCCCTCCTTTGGCTCAACATGGGAGGTGGCCGCTCTGTCAGGACCAAGGTGGGGAGAAGGAGCTGGGAGGTGACCAGGGGGTGGGTCTATCCCTGCAGAGTTGAGGAGGATGGGGGAGGGGAGGGGAGGGCAGGGGTGCTTCTCGTGGCTGTGGGGGTCTGACCAGGGACGGGGCTAACAGAGGTCTGTTCACCCACAGCCCAGGGCAGTAGGGCCGCCCCCTCCGGGTGCCCCGCCCCTGAGGGACTGCGATGGCCGGCAGAGGGCAGCAGCTCCTCGGCAGGGTGACCAGCTGACCTCTCACTGAGCCCCTGTCTGGGACCCAGCCGGGACCCAGGGCGTCCGGTTGCCCCAGACCACCTTCCTTGCCACAAGGAGAAGGCTGAGCATAGAAAAACCTGCGTGGCAGCTCACAGAGGGTGGTCAGAGCAGGACAGATGGACATGGAGGCCAAGAGACCAGGCAGCCGAGGCCCTGGACCCTCCCATGCCCAAAGCCGCTGCTGTGTGGGGTTCCTGGTCACTGGAGGAAACTCTTTTGGAGACGCTGCGTCCTCCCGCTTCCCACCGAGGAAGCGTGTGCCTTTGTGTGGGCCTGGGCGTCCAGGGCACTGAGTACTCAACGGCCAGTGTGGTCCAGCCACGTGTCACCTCCCATCTTTGCTGCTCTGGCAGCCTGGGCCCAGGCTGGTGCCTGCGTCCGCCTGGCATGGGCTCCTCTGTGGGCCTCGCTCTGACAGCTGCTCGAGGTGGGGAGGTGGCCTGCCGACACCCCACAGCCAGCCAGCCCGACCCCACGACCCAGTCTGCACCCTCTGCCTACAGCTGTGAACTGCAGCCTTTGTGCTGTGGCTTCCATGCTGCCTCTTCCAGGAAGCCCTTCTTGACTGTCCTCTCCAGATAACAGTCCCTCATGGAATGGCCCGCCCGGGTGGTCAGAGCTCCACTTCCCCAGGCTCACCTGTCCCAGCCTCTGGAGCTTCCTCGGGGCCCGGCCTGGAACAGGTTCCTCTGGCCGTTGGGGCGCAGTTTGCTGAGCCTCCGAGCTGCCCCCCAGAGCACAGGAAGCGGGGTTGGGGGACAGCAGGGGCTCTCAGGCGGAGCCACGGTCCACAGAACCACCTCCTTCCCAGCAGGAAGCAAAATGAGGGGCAAAGCCCACACGACCCCCAAACGGCCCCCACATTCTCGGTCAAGGTCACAGAGGGTGGAACCATCTGCCCGACAGGCAGGTGAGGCCAAGCTCTGGGGCTGGGCAGGCCCCCCTCCCCTGTCCCCATGGGTGGGGCAGGCACCCCAGAGCCACTGAGAGCAGGTTCCCCATCCCACAGGGACACCGTGGGTGTGGGGGGACTGGTGTGCTCACACCCTCCTCTCCAGGCAGGCCACTGCCCACCCCCAGGGCGCAGAGGCAAGAGCGGCCCCGCAGCAGGCCCTGTCCCCTGTGACAGCGGCGCTGAGAGGGGACGGAGGTGGCAGGTGTGGGTGCAGGGCCAGGCAGGGCGCCCAAGGGCAAGGAGATGCAGGAGTCCCCAAGGCTGACTGGCTCCCCTCACCCACAGTCCTCCACCTTGCCGTCCACCCTTCCACGTCCCCAGAGCCACCATCAGGCCACCCAGAGCCCATGGCCCATCCACAGCCCCTCCCCCTTCCGTCCACCAGAGGCAGTAAAGGCATCCTCTGTCCATCTCCCACCTTCCACGGACCACCCGCCTCCCTCTCCATTAATTCACAGCCCCCCCCGATTATTCACCTTGCTTCCCCACAAACCCACAGTCCATCATCCACTTCACCCCATGAAATCTGTGCGCCTGCCCACTCCACACTCCGTCACCCACGGACCCACCTCCTCCCACTCAGCCTGGACTGTCTGCTGTGCCCAGCACCCACCCCTCCTGTTAGGGTTAGCCGTCCACCCAGACCCGCCCTCCGGCACACTGCTGTCCATCTGCCCCCACTCGCCACGCGCCTGTCTAGTGTCCAGTGGTCACCTCTATGCTCGTCCGCCCTCTCTCTCCCAACCATCCGCCTGCAGTCCGTCCAAGCCCTGCTCACTCTCCGCCCACCCAACTCCACAGCCCCCTCTGGCCCTCCCATCCGAATGAGCACCTGCCCATGAGCACCTGCCCAAACACACCCACCGTGCCTTTCAGCTGTCCACCATCCGTGTGGCCAGTCGGCACTGCCGCCTCCCTCCTCTGACTGCCCCCTCCCCCGCCCCGCCCCACCACCTGTCTGAGCCTCTGGGCCCTCCTTCCACAGCCCTGCTGCTGCCCCAGCCACGTCCAGGGTCTGGCCACCTCCTGTCCAGCACACACGGTCACGCATCCCTTGTTCTCTGTGCACCATCACTCGGTGACCGGTCACTCAGTACTGGCCTTCCTTCCACTGAACCCAGTACAGGCACCTTCCGCGGCTCCGCAAACCCCAGGCTCCGCCACCCCCGGCCCAGCACTGCCCACCTCCTCCGTCACATCCCCGCCCACAGCCCACCTGCGGGAGGCAGGAGGGCCCCCCTTGAAGAGTGGACTCTGAGCCCCAACAGGTGGGCACCCCGGACAGAGAAGGAACTAAAGGTCGTTTATTCCTCCCCAACACACCCACTTCATGGGGCAGGTGGGTTCCCACGAACCCTCTCGGGACACCCCGGTCCCACAGGTCCCGGGGGGAAGGAGGGTGGAGAGGACCGAGGCCCGACAGGCGCGGCCAAGGAACCTGAAGCTCCGGCCCAGGCGGGTCTGGAGGTAAGTGGGTAACTGTCACTGCCGCCCCCACCCTACCCCGCCTGGTCACATGAGCTCCGCGGTGCAAAGTCCTGGGCAGCGGCGGCGGAGGAGGAGGAGGAGTGGAGATGGGGGCGCTGGGGGCGCCGGGCCGGCTGCTGCTGTGTCTGCAGCTCTGCGGTAAGCGGGGCGCAGGCCCGAGGCCGAGGTCCCTCCAGACCCGGAGGTCAAGGCCTGCTGACGGGTGGGCGGCCCGGGTTGCACCAGCGCAGCCCCAGCGGGGGCGGGGGGTGGGGTGGCGAGGGGCCCGGGCCCGGCGCGTCGCCCGGTGGCGCTCATCCGCGCGCAAAGCTGCGGCGAGCCCCGGAGTCTGCGGGGCTGCGCCGCTGCCTCAGTGTCCCTGCCCACGAGGCGCCGCGACCCGCCCCAACCGCACCCAAGCCCGGGCCTTGTCCCCCGCGTCCCGCGCGCCCGTGGCGAGCCCTGCCGCCCCAGCCCCTCCCACCGCCCCTGCGGCCCTGGTCCTCACTGTCCAGGCCCCGCCCGCCGGGCTCCTGCGCGGGCACCGGGCGCGCTGGGGGCGCGCGATCCCAGGGGGATGCGCGTCTGCGCGGGCTCGGCAGGGCCGGTGGGAGTTCGCCAGGGCGCGGGGCCGGGCTGTGGGGCCGCGGGGGCCGCCCTCCACCCCTGGGTGCGGGCGCGGGGGTCGTCCTCCCGGAGACGGACGTCTGGGCAGGAGCCGGACGCCCGCGGAAACGGGGAGCGCTCAGGGCCCCCCTCCCCAGAGCTGACCCGAGCCGGCTACAAAATCTGGGTCCCCGACACCGACTTCGACACGGCGGACAACTGGAGCCAGAACCGGACCCCGTGCGCCGGCGCCGCCGTCGAGTTCCCCGCGGACAAGGTGCCGGGGCGGCAGGGGCGCTCGTACCCTGAGCCCCGCGTGGTCCGGGGGGGGGGGGCAGTGGGGTCCGCACTGACGCCGCTTCTCCCGGCAGATGGCGTCGGTCCTGGTGCGAGCAGCTCACAGCGTCTCGGACATGGTGAGGGGCGCCCGCGGCCACCAGGGGAGGGCGCTGGCGGTGCGCGCGGCCCCTGCCGTCACTGCCTTTGGCCTCTGAAGGATCCAGGAACCGCGGGAGAGGGGACACCCCTGCCTCGGAAGGGGCAGCGGGCGCCTCCTGCCCACGCTGCCCTCGGCCTCTGGCCTCGGTCCCCCATAGTCTGTGTCCCCTCCTACTAGTGGTGTCCCACCTCCTGGTGTCTCTGGGCCACACCGGAAGAAGAGTTGTCTTAGGCTGCACTTAAAATACACAAACACTAGCAAAAACTGATGAGCAAAAGGAAGGTTTTAAGTAAATTTACGATTTTGTGGTGGACGGGGGTCATAGCCACCCTGGGCTGCATGCGGCCCCGTGCCCTGGGGTTGGAGGAAGGCCTCTCGCCCCAAGCCGTTCATTGTCCTAGTGCCTGAAACCCATCAGACCCATGGGGACCCTTCGCCCAAACAGCTGCCCAGAACCCGGTGTCCAGAGACGACTGGGAACTGGGGGGGCAGAGGGTCCCCAGCCTCGCTGGGACGCGCGGACTGTTCAGTGGCAAAGGCGCTGGTAAGGGCCGTGGGCAGGGCAGGCCGCCTGATAAAGGCAGGTCAGCCAGGTGCCCCCAATTCCACCCCCCAGCCCCGCCTGGCCGCAGCCAAGAGTGGTTTTCAGGTTTTTACGAGGTTGCGTTGGTGGGGTGGGGCTGAAGTGAACGAACTGGGGGACTCAAACTCCGGCGTCTGCGAATAAAGTTCTAACAGCCCCCACTGGGTCCCTGCTTCTGTGGCCACGGCCTCGCTGCCAGGGCAGAGTCAGGGGCTCTGAGGAGGCTGCGTGGCCGTAAAGCTTAAAATACGCAGCCTCCGGCCCAATGTTGAAAGGGTGGCAGACCCTTAATTTGGAGCATCCTTTGGGCGGCGGCCCGGGCTGGGTGGGGGGCCGCCATGCAGGGGGTCAGTGAGGCGGGGCTCAGGGTTTGAACCCTCCCAGGGAACTTTGTCACTTTGATCTTCGGGAGAGCTTGGGGACCTGTCCATCATCCGTCCATCTGCTGGAGAGGTCCCTCTGTCAGACCCTTCTTTTCATCCCCAGCTGCCCAGGCAGGAGCCCCTCCTGTCTTTTGGGGGGCTCTGGGCGCACATGTCCCTGTGCATGGCCCCTGAGGCGTCCCCCTCACCTCCCAGCCTCTCCTCTGCACAGTGATGCTCCGGGAGGACCTGGGTGGGGACAGTGCAGGGAGCAACAGGCAGGCCCCGGAGTCCCCCCTGGTGGCGGGGCAGACAGACCCAGCGCTGCGCAAGCCTGCCCCCCAGCTCGGCTGCACAGGTCCCCGCTTCCAGGGCCCCCAGCACACAGCAGTGTCCTGCAGGCTCGATGTTGCCCTAGTCACAGGCCCGGGGACATCAGTGTTTTAACTTGTACTTGTCACGTCTGGAGTGTCCCTCCCTGGGTTTTCCTTCCTCCTGAGCCCCTCCCCCCATTTCTACCCTTCACCCAGTTTTCTTGTTTGGAGGGAAGCTCCTGTTTTTCCAGCTTTCACCCACTGTCATCTTCCTCCTGGGGACTTCCCCACCACCCCGCCCCATCCCCTTCACTGGGCAGAAGCCCCCTTATAATCAAATGAAAACCCACTGCCTTTGAACCAGGTCTGGGTTCTGTCTGAGTCTCTCTCCTGCTCCTGGTCACAACCAGATGAACCGCCTGTTCTGTCTCTTAAGTCACAGTCTGGTCATCAGGGGCACACATCTGAGTGAGGCTTGCCAGGGGACCGGCTTTTCCTTTTTGCCCTTGGAACATGCCCAGGTTCCCACGTTCTCCTTCAAACCGTCAGCCTTGCTCTTGGCTGGTGGCGCCGCCTCACCGCTGACCTGAGCGCAGGTGCATGCGGGCTCCCTCTGGGGCCCCCAGAAGCCCCTCCGCGCACCTGCGGGCACCACGCTGTCCGCACGCCGCATCTCCGTGGGGTCTTAGTATCCGTCTCTCCAAACATCTCAGCTCACCCGCGGGGAAAACTCAATGGGAGTTTTAAAGTGCTCCCTGTTGAGGTCTTTCACAGGGTCAGTTAATTTAGAAACATTTACGGTTTGGAGTCAGCTGGGAGTGGAGCTCGCTTTGTAAACGTCATATTCCCTAGCAGTTATTGCTCTGGACAGCGGCGGCCCCCCCTCCCCTCCAGTCCTAACGCCTTTAATCTCCCTCTTCCCTGGCAGCATTGCCCACGTTAAGCAAAAGTCACAAAAGGGGGTGTCCCTTTTGTTCCAGGGCGGAGGACGAAGTGTGCCAACCTTCTCCACTGACTGTGGTCGGCTGCAGGGTTCTGCCGCATAAACTTTACTCGGTTCTACTCTCCCGTTAGCAGTTTTTCTAAATCCGAAATAGGTCGTCGGGCTTTCTCAGTTTCCTCCCCGCAGACGAAGGCTGCCTGAGGTCGAACCATCCTTGCCGGCTGCCCTCTAGCGCCATCGTGTGGGTGGGTGAAGGTCAGAGCCAGCCGCCCGCTTCCTCCAGATGCGGGACTTCCCTGTCACAAGGTTCTGCTCTTCCCGGCAGGGGACTCACTGCTGCCACCTGCTGGGACACCAGCAGACATACGTGCCACCTGAAGTCCCAGGCCTGCCTGCTTGCTTTTCTGTCACATGAACCCTTTGAACATCAGGGTTTTTGTATTTTGTTTTTTACTTTTTGTATCTTTTTCTTATCCTTTTTGTATCCTGAGTCTATGTTTACTGATTTTAGAGAGAGGGGAAGGGAGAGAGAGAAACATTATCTGTTACCTCCTGTACGTGTTCCTACCATGGGTTGAACCCGCAGCCCAGATCTGTGCCTGACCGGGGACTGAACCTGCAGCCTTTTGGTTCACGGGATGACGCTCCAACCAACTGAGCTAGCCGGCCAGGGCTGAACACCATGTATTTTTAAAAATACACTGTTGCATCTGGTCAGCTAATACTTTATTTAGGATTTTTGCATATTCCCTTCTTAACAAAATGAGCCCCTAATTTTTCTTATTTTGGAAGGTCCTTCATCTGGTTCTGAAATCAAGATCACCTTGGCCTCGTAAAAGGAACTGGGCGATTTCCACTCCTTTTTTTTTTTTATTTTCTGTTTTCCAAGACAGTTTCTGTAAGAAGAAATTAATTGAGAGTGTAGTAGACTGTACCTGTAAAAACATTCGGACTGAGGATTTTGAAATTAGGAGGATTTTGACTAACATTTTAGTTTCTGTAATGTTTGCTAACCTCCCCAGTTTTCTACTGCTTCTTGTGTCAATTTTGATGTTTTAAATTTTTCTAGAAATTGATCCATTTCACCTAGGCTTTCGAGTTCGGTGGTCCTTTTGAATTCTCAAACCTTTCGCTATTTGTTTCTCCCCTGGACAAGCCAGTCCTACAGCGGATGCCTGTCCTTTCGGTCTCGCCCACCTCGTGACACGTCAGTCCGAGCTTCTACGAATTGTAAAGACAACAGTAGGCCTCACCGGAGCCTCAGCGCTTTACTCCCCAGGTCGCTTCAGCAGCGTCGGAACTTCTTTCCGTCGGAACTTCTTTCCGTCCGAACCTCCTCCAGGCCCGTTCGCAGCGCGTAGGGCGGGTCTTTGTGTGGCGACCATTTGACGCCTGCCTGCCTCCCTGCCTCCCTCCCTTCTTCCTTTTCTTTCCTTCCTTCCCTTTTCTCTTTGCTTTCCTTTCCTTTTTCTTTTTCCTTTAATAGAATAAACACCTGCATTTCATGAGCTGAGACGGGGGCGGGGGCTATTTCCTCGCCTTCCCCGCCGAGTGCCCTCTGCGGGACCCCAGCTCCTGGCCCGCCCCGCCTCACGGGCCTGGTCTGCAGGCCGCGTGCGCAGGCAGCTCGCCCTGCGGGGACTGCTCGGCGGAGACGGCTGAGTCTGGATCCTTCTTCCTGTCATCACGCTTCTTCTGAATTTTCTTGGATCCCTTTTGGTTGAAAACCTCTTCCTCCTCCGGGGCAGCTCGGCCCCCTTCTGTGCCCCAGGGTCGTAGGCAGCGGGACTCGCCCCTCGGCCAGACGGCGCGCTCTGGGCCAGCTCTCAGCCAGGGCCGCGGCGGGGACCGGTCCCCTGTCGGCCACGCCGCGGGCGACATCCTCAGTCCTCGCTTTGCGGGCACCAGGCTCCGAGCCCGCGAGACGTCCCGCGTCCAGCCGCGAGGCTCGCCGCCTGCTGCACGTGGACTGGGGGTCGCCGTGGTGTTGACCCCGCTCAGAGATTCACTCCTTGTTGAGGGGGCTTCCCTGGGCCCGGCCTGGTGGCCCGTGTGCCGCTTGTCCTGAGCCATGCCATGGCTCTGTGTTGGTGGGGAAGAGCTGGAGGGCGTTTTTATTTTGCTCTTGCTTGTGAATGGACGTTCGTCCGGATATAACATTCGAGGTGGGGCCCTGGCCGGTGGCCTGGTTGGTCCGAGCGCCCCCATAAGCCGAAAGTTGGTGGGTTTGAGCCCCGGGTGCAGGAGGCAACGGAGCATCGTTTCTCTCCCACGCCCACGTTTCTCTCTCCCTTCCATTCGCTCTGAAATCCATAATCATACCCTGGAGGAAGGATTAAACTATGTATATATATTTATAACTCTACGTGGGAAGTCCTTTTCCTTTAATATATAAAGTTTTCTGTTGTCTTTCTGAGCCCACTGCTGTGCTGAGAAATCCGCTTTCTCCCCGAAGCTCTCAGTGTCCTCTGTGTCTGATGCTCCGAAGGGTAATGTCACCTATCCAGGCGTGGCCGTCCTTACTTCCTGTCAGGCACACACTGCGACCTTTCCATCTGAAGTCCCCGGCTTTTTTCAAGTCTGGAAAGTTCACCTTGGTTGTTTGTTCGGGCATCTTCTCCCCCATCCCTCGTGTCTGAACGCCGCCCCGACCCTCCCGCTGCTGCTGGGCCTCCCCGCTCGGTCCTGTCCCGCTGGCTTCGGGAGGTGGGGGTGGGGTCCTGAACAGCAACACCTGTCGCTGGCCGGCTGCTCTCCAGCTGGGTCCACATTTGTGTTCATCTCACTGCTTGCGTTCTTTCTTGCAAGCATCACATTCTCCGTAATTTACTTATACTTTACTGTTGTAAAGTCGCCTTTTGGTTCTTTACACAATTGAGTTGCTGCTTCACAGCACTAACACCACCCCTGTTCCTGAGGCCGACCGTGTCTGTCTGTCCCCAAGGCCCATTCTGGTGCCTGCAGGTGGGGCTGACGTGCAGTCACAGTGCCCTCCGGTGTGGAGGGAGTTGGCCTGTGGCCTCAACCCCCCCAGGGGTCAGCTTCTCAGTGCCTGCGGACAGCCGAAGAGCAGTCCCTGCCCAGTGAATTGGGACAGGAGGCCGTGCCCCTGATGAGGTCGAGCCCCCCTGACCCTTGTGCTGGATGCTCCCATGGCTCACGTCCAACCCCAAGGAGGCCAAGAGCAGGAGAGGCGGGCTCTTGCGGCTTGGAAGGGAGAGGAGCAGGGCCGGTCAGTATTTCCTCTCTGGTTTTTCCACCGCTGTACTTCCTTTGACACCTGAGGCCTGGACCGCCCAGCCTGTGACCCTCCCCCGCCACCCCTGGAACCCAGTCCCCTCCCTCGGGCGGTTCAGGGCTGCCTTCAGGCTTCTCAGCGGCTTGGTACAGTCTCAAGGCCCACAGGGGAGGCAGTGGCCCTGGCAAGTGTCACCTGCTCCAAACTCTCCAGGCCCCAGGTCTCAGGGTCAGCTCCTGTTCCTTGGCTCGTGGCCCTGCCCATCCCTTGGCCCAAGGGGCCGCAGTCCAGGTTCTCCTCCCAGGTCACAGGGGCAAGGTGGGCGCAGACCAGACTCTCTTGGTATATTGGACCACCACGTGGCGCTGCCTCAGTCTGCGCTTCTTGCAGCTCCTGCCGCTGGACGGTGAATTCGTCCTGGCCCCGGGAGCAGGATTCAGCGCCGCAGCCTCCAGCTCGGACTTGGACTGCGGAGCAGGTGAGAGGGCAGGACAGGGGGCGGGGCCGGGGCGGAAGGGCTCGATCGCTCTGGAGTGTGATGGGAGGAGGGCCCTGGAGGGGCGTGTCTAGGGGCGGGGCCTGTGGGCTGGCGGTGAGGGGCGGGGCTGGAGGGCAGTTCCCAGCCGGGCTCAGGGATGTGCGTCCACCTGCCCGCCAGGCGCCGCTGCGCTCTTCCTCGACCCCGACCGCTTCTTGTGGCACGACCCACGCTGGTGGCGCTCCAGGGACTTGACGCACGGCCTCTTCTCGGTGGACGCCGAACGCGTGCCCTGCCACCACGACGACGTCGTCTTCCCGCCGGACGGCTCCTTCCGGGTGGGCCTCGGCCCGGGCGCCCGCACCCTGCGCGTGCGCAGCGTCTGGGCCTTGGGCCAGGTGAGGGGGCGCTCGGGGGCGGGGCAGAGGCTCGGGGCTCCGGGGCTCCGGGGCTCGGGCCCCTGGCATGGCCCCTCCCTGGGTCGCCTCCCACCCCGGTCTTCTGGACTTGTGGGTGGCGAGCAGACTCAGATGTTGTCGCCTCCTCGGGCTGGCTCTGCTGGTGACCGGGCCAGCGCAGAAGTTCACACGCGACGAGGACCTGGCTGCTTTCCTGACGTCTCGCGCTGGCCGCCTGCGCTTCCACGGGCCCGGCGCGCTGAGCATGGAGCCCGAGGCTTGTGCCGACCCGTCGGGCTGCGTCTGTGGCAACGCCGAGGTGAGCGGAGCCCGGGAACGGGGTTGGGGCCGGCGCTGTGCCGGGGCCCGCAAGTCTGTCCCTCGCCCTCTCCGCGCCAACCCCGCTGCCTGCCTCCAGGTGCAGCCATGGATCTGCAGGGCCCTGCTCCAGCCCCTGGGCGGCCACTGTCCCCCGGTCGCCTGCCGCGATGCCCTCCGGCCTGAGGGGCAATGCTGCGACCTCTGCGGTGAGCGTCCCCGCCCAGCCCCTGCTTGCTGGGACGTCCTGACCACCCTGGTTCTGCCTGCCTATGGGTCCTGGGCCCGCTGCTCTGACCCCTGCCCTCCTGCCACAGGAGCCATCGTGTCGCTGACCCACGGCCCCGCCTTTGACCTGGAGCGGTACCGAGCGCGGCTGCTGCAGGACTTCCTGACGTTGGTAACGGGGCCGCGCCCCTGTCCCGGCCCTACCGCTCTGCGCCTCCGTCCGGCGCTCCCTCTGTCAGGGACGCTGAAGCCCCACTCCACCTCCTCATGGATGCGTTCACTCTCCGCCCACCTGTCCACTGTATGTCCCCACCCGAAACGTCCCGGCAGGTCCCAGGAGTCCCCGGGCTAACCCTGTCTCCCTCCTCAGCCCCAGTACCAGGAACTGCAGGCAGCCGTGTCCAAGGTGCGGCGTCTGCCCCAGTCCCTCGAGGCCACCGGCTCGGAAGCCGACACGGAGATCCAGGTGGTGCTGGTGGAAACCGGGCCCCGCACGGGCGGCGCGAGGCAGCTGGCCAGGGCCCTCCTGGCGGACGTCGCCGAGCACGGTAACCGCGGGCGCCCCTCCTGTCCCCCAGCCCGGTCCCGCCGCGCCTCGCCCGGGGGAGACTGAGCCCCGCTCTGCGTTGCAGGAGAGGCCCTCGGGGTCTCGGCAGCGACCGTCCGGGAGTCGGGTGCGCCCGCTGGGGGCGGTCCGGCGGCAGGGCTGGTGGGCGGTGTGACGGCCGCGATGTTCCTGTTGCTACTGGTGCTGCCGGCGGGGGCGCTGTTGCTGCACCGCACTGGGCGGCTCAGGTATGCGGCGCCCGCACTCAGGTGGGCGGGGCCAGAGCAGAAGGCGGGGCCTCCGGTGTGCAAGGCTTGTGGCAGGGGTTCAGGTACGCGGGGCGGGGCCCCAAGTGGGCGGGGCCAGGGCTGGTGGCGGGACCTTGTGCGTACCCAGTAAAAGTAGGCGGGGCCTCGGGTACGCGGAGCAGGAAGCGGGGGCTCACGGGAGTTCGCACCCCTAGGTGGAGGAGGCGCGACGTGGCGGTCGGGCCGCCCCTGGGCTTCCCCAACCCGGTGTTCGGCGCGGCAGGTTCCGAGGAGCAGGTGAGTGGCTGGGGCGCTGGGGCGTGGGCCTCCCCGCGCCCGATGCCCCCTGACTCTGCGTCCCCGCACCCTCCGTCCCCGCAGCCTCCAGCCCCGCAGGCGGACGCCAGGAGCACCAGCCAGAGCTACTTCGTTAACCCGCTCTTTTCCGAGACGGAGGCCTGAGCGTGCGGATCCCAGCCTGGGGGATTCCGTCCCCGCCGGCCACGCACAGGGCGGCTTTGCCCAATAAAGGCATTTCCTGCCCCTGCCGTCCTCGGACACACTGACTACTGCGCCGCCACCCCCGTGCCCCTGCCCCATGGAAACTGGGGCCAGAGGGGTGGTCCTCAGAGCCCATCCCTGCAGGCTGGCCGGCCCTGCCAAGGGCAGCCCGGAGGACCCTCGTGAGTGGCGAGAGGCTTCCTGTCGACGACGTTGCTTCCGCAACTGGGCAGGTTGTGCCCCTGGTGCTGGAGGGGCCCATGGCAGCAGCCAGCGCCCGCCAAGCCACTATGCAGGGACAGGATCAGGGTGGACATGGACGCCCACCAGCCTGGGCCACCGGGAAGGCAGGCCCTGGGGCTCCTCTTACAGGGACAGGATGGGCGGACCCCTTCCTGGATGGGGGCAGGCGGCCCGAGGACCAGGCCTTGTCCCTGCCATCCGAGGGCAGCTCTGAGGCCACTCGCCAGCACAGCACGCGGCTGTGTGCCTGTGAGATGGCGCCTCCAAACGGCCTTTCTGTGGAACCAGCGTCTGGGTGTGGAACTGCCCCCTCCCACCCGCTGCTGGCTTCAGACCCACAATTAGATGCTTCCTGTGGGGCTGTGTTGCCTTCCAGGCGTGGATGCCGCCATGCCTCGTGCTGCAACAGCTGATAGTTTTTTTTTTTAAATGGCACTTCGTGCCTGTTTCAGACCTGTGACGGGCACTGTAGTCCATGTGGCACAGACAGGGGCCAAGATCTAACCCGTCTGACCAGAAGCCTGGCTGCCCACTGCCCCTCCCAGCACCTATCCCTGCTTATTCCTCCGTTTCCCCAGCTGCTGTGATTTCCCTTGTGTTTCTGAAAGGCCCCACCTGTGCCTCACGCGGCCCCCACAGCTCCCACACCCCAGGGGAGGCTGCAGTCCACTTCTGGGTGGCCGGGGCTGCCGGGACTTGCTAGACAGTGGGGGCAGATGGGACGGGAAGCCCTCTGGGTGGAACTCTGCAGCCAGTTCTGTACCTTCCCCGCGGTGACCCCACAGTGTGACGGGCCTGGGTCTTCAGCGACCACACTGGTAGGCAGCCAGCGTCAGTGTGGGGTGACGGGGAGCGCCACGCTGCGGCCCATCCTCCAGCAGACCCCGTTACTGCCCGTGTCTTACCAGACGTGTGTGTGTGTGGGGGGCTCAACAGGGCTAGGACAGCCCCGCCCACCAAGGGTGGCTCCCGGCCTGACGGGGGAAGCACCCAGCAGGGCCAGAGCCCCGAGAGTCCCCCAGGAACTCCGGCCTGCCCCCTGGAGCGGCTGCGGGCCAGCGCGCCTGCGGGTAGACAGGGTGCTCTGCGGATCCAGACTGTCAGCTGTCGCCACGCAGCTTTCCCCAAGGTGGGCACCCCCACTGCCTGGGCAGGAGAGAGGTCCTGCTCCGGGGCCAGTCCAGCCCCATGCGCACAAGTGCCTTTGGTGTGGCCCCTGAGGAAATGCCCCAAAGGGCCCTTACTGCCTTTGGGGCACTTCCAGCACGAGGCACTGCTGGACATGACCAGACACAGTCAAGAGACAGGTCAGTCTATTCAGACAAACCACTGAGAACTTTAAAACTGCCATCTTATGCTTTATTGACAGGTAAATTATTCAAAAATGTTCTCACAATTCAATAATTACAAAGACTCAGACTTACATTAAAAAAGTAAAAACCAGGCCCCCAGCAGGTGCCAGCCCCCGCAGAAGGGGCGGGGCAGGGCGTGGCGCCCGTTGCTCAGTGCTGACTCAAGGTGCGTGCCCATCTTCCGCAGCATCTCTGAGGGCATTGACTGGGGGACAGCAGGGGCAGCCCGTCCTAGGTTGAGGACGAGCTGTGCGCTGGCCAGCTGACCACAAGCCTTCGAGGGACAGGCCACAGGCCCCACGGCTCCCACGAGACACAGGGAGGATGAGGGCACACCCGGGCACCGCAGGAGGAACGGTGAGTGGGAGTGTTGAAGAATCTACGCGCTCCTCGCGGGCTCCGTGCCCAGGGCCGGGCGGCAGGGTGTCCTCCCCCTTTCATGGAGGAGGCGGAGCTGGGAAACGGGTGGGGAACAGCACAGCTGACTTCACAGTAGTAGATACTGGTGACGCTCCATGGTTGTGACCGGGGAGAGACTCACACAGGGGACCCAGGGCAGGGCGGGCGTCGCTCACAAGGGACCTGTGTCCATGGCTAAAGGAGTAAGGCCACACACTAACCTCCACTGGCCCCTGTCTGCAAAATTCTAGCCACACTGCATGAGACAACTTCCTCCTCTCCTCCCACGGGCTTGGCAAAGTCTCAGGAGAGGGGCGCTGCTGGTGTCTCTGAGCAGGTGGCCGAGGCCGGCCCTGGGCACCTTCGAGTGCAAAGGGAAGGGCGTTGCCTCTCAGCTGTGCGGACGAAGGCTCCGGTCTACTGCCCTGAACAATGTGGTATAAAACTGATCGTATTATAATAAAGATCTTCTTCATCTCCACATCTACACCCGATACTACGTGTCCTTGCACAACACTGGAGGGTCAGCTCGGTCTTGGCACTGGCACTGGGGCCGCGCCCGGCTCTACACCCCGTGCTGGCGTCAGGCGTCGCAGGCTGGCTGCTCCAGGCCTTCGAGGGGCTGGCTCCTATGGGGGGAGTTGGGGCTCGGCGGGCCGCTGGGGTTGGAGCTGTTGGAAGGGGTCGAGTGCTTGGTGGAATCGGAATCGGGCTGTTAACAGAAAGGGCACAACATGAGCCCCCGCACCCAGGCCTGTGCTGTGGGGGGCGAGCCACCCAGCCTGACGCGCATGTTTGTGGGGGTCGGGGCTGGCCACTGCTTTCTCCTTGGACAAGGACTTGAACAAACGTCCCTCTGAGTGGCCACCAAGCACATGAGAAAGACACTCAGTATCAGTGACTGTTAGGGAAATGCACATCAAAACCACAGTGCAACACGACACGTGCCTGCTGGGATGACTGCTAAGAACAGGAAAATCACAAGTCCTGGTGCACGTGCAGAGAAACAACCCGTGTGCACTGCCGGTGGGAACGTGGCCTGGTGTGGCCGCCGCGGAAAAGTCTGGCGGGTCCTCAGAAGTTAGCGTCGTCTTGTGCATGCCCAGAGGACGTGAAGACGGGCTCGCACACATGCACACACGTGTTCCTAGCAGCACTCTGTGACAGCCGAAGGCGGGAGCAGCCCAACTCAGTCGGGCCACAGACCACCGGACACACACTGGGAGTCTCATACAGGGGAAGACTTGCAACACCAAGCGACGACGTGAAGGAACCCTGAGAACACGGCGCCCGGTGACGGAAGCCAGACATGCGAGGCCCCGAGCTGCACGACCCCACCCACGAGGAAGGCCCAGCACAGGCAGCTCCACAGAGAAGAGGCCGGTGAGCGGGCGGGAGACGAGGAGAAACTCTTTACGGGGAGGCCTCACTTTGGGGTGACGGGAGGGTGGAGTGCCAGTCAGAGCTGGCAGCTGCACAACACTGAATGTACCCAACAGCCACCCAGCCTCACCCCTGAGGACCCTAGGTCTCCTGGGAGGAACTCCAGCCCAGGACGCACGACCTGAATCTCAAGACAAACCCAAACCCGAAGCTGTTGGAGAGCAGCACTGTTGTCCTGGAGAGAGAAAATGAGCCCACTCCAGGGGAGGGGCCTGATGGGAGGGGTGGCTGAATGCAAGGAGAGCTTGGCCGGGGGCCTGCACTGGAGGAGGTGTGGGGGGACTCCGTGGGGACGCCGCACGGACATGCAGCCTGCTCCCAACTGGACAGCTGGGCCGGCTCTGGCTCGGAGGCAGGGCTCGATGGCAGCCACCTCCTGCCAGTCCAGGAAGTGTGCGTGTGTGCGTGCAGTGCACACAGCTACTCTCACACACCTGGGAGACTGGTGGCTGGAGAGGGGCGGGGGAACCACCATTTACCCAATTTAAAAATCAGACAAGCCTGATGAAGGGACGTTCTGCAAGAGAACTAGACTTGGCAAAACAAATCCAAAGCCATGAACAAACAGTGGCCGGACAGGCTGACGACTGAGATGGGAGGCCACGTGCACCCCGAACCTGCGCTCGGACGGAGAGCTCCAGGGACGTCACCAGGACATGGGGGATGGACAGGGTGTCAAGGGGACGGGGAGGCGTGAGGCGAGCTGCCTTGCTCTCGGGGACACATGGGGTAGTAAAGCTTACTGGGGTTGTTCACTCATTCTTGGAACTTTTCTGGTGGTATGAAAATTTCAAAAGACTATTGAGGGTAAAACAGTGAAAAAACAAGACCTCCCTCTAAAGTCATCAAAGGCTATAACCGTGGCAGGAGAGGCACCCCCACACCACAGTAACCAGGGACGCGGATGCCCCAGGGCAGAGCTGCAGCCGGCACAGCTTGGGGACAGCGAGGGCCACCTGGGTCACCAGCACGATGTCCAGACCAAACGCATCTGTGGGCCACGCGGGGGCAACTCACCCCGACCGGGGGGTCGGGTTCTCAGGAGACCCACTGACAATGGCAGCAGGGTGGGGACAGGGACCAACGTCGCTGCGGAAAACGTCTGCAAGCATCTGGTTAACACCCACCGCCACTTCCCGACTGGAAGCTGCCCTCACATTAAGAAGGGGGTGACGCTGCCTCAGCAGGTGACGGAGGCGCAGCAGGGACTCTGGCCCTGCACACACACACCCTCACACTGCACGTCACACATTCTCTTGCACACATTTGTGATAAGATGCCAGACAGTAATGGAAACCCTGCGGGGCCCTCCAACAGACCTCGCGAGATCTGTGACTCATCTGAACTGAAGAGACCCGCAGGCCGGGCTGCGTGAAAGATTGAACGTTTCTGTAGGACGGAGCCCCCAGAATTAGACGGGCTAGAGACGAGTGGTGTCGGGAAAAGCATTTGCAACAGATGACAACCGTGACTTAGTTTCCGAGAGTCACCAGAAAACAGGCTCAGCAGTGAGGTGGGTGGGAAGGGGGCGGGGCCTCGGAGGGAGGTGCGGCCAGTCCCTCGGCGGAAGGGGGCGGGGCCCGGGAAGAGCCAAGACGCGTGATCCTGGCAGTGCTTAGGGGGGCTTCCGGGCGCAGTGGGCAGGGCATGCAGCTCCCTGCCTCCCACGCATGGTGCCCGAGGGCACAAAGACCTGCACTCGTGAGCCGCTGCCCTCAGTGCCGAGCGCTCCCCACGTCACGGCCCCAATGGCGGCAGTGGTCTCCCACTGGGGGGCTCTCGCCGCAGCTCACCCGGAGACACCCAGAGAGCTGTGCCTCATCCTGTGCAAGTGCAAGGTCTGGGACACGTGAAGGAAACCCAGTGCCCCACGGCAGCCCCCAGCTGAGGCCCCCAGAAGCCGGCGGCGGCGGCCACGGGGAAGGCTCTCCAAGGCGCAGGACACTACTAATCTGTGTATCACAAGGTCGCACCCCTGGCCTGTGACATCTAAGGCCGTGAAACTGCACAGAGGAATCTGAGGGAGAGCTGGCCGGATGTTTTTAGGACAGTGCTCATTTCTCAGCTGTGCAATGACGCCCCCCAGTCAGCGCCCAGGAGGAGAGCCCTGTGGCCCTCTTGGCACCTGGGTGGGCCAGCCTCACCCATGGCCTGCATGGCTGTCCATGCAGCCATGGCTGGTGCCATGGGGCAGAGGACACAGGGGACTCCGGGGAAGAGCCTCCAAGGAGGCCCTGCACTCGGCTGTGGAGACTCGGCCCAGCCAAGGGACTGGACGGTCACGCCTCCCTGCCCCCAGGTTCACGGCTGGAGCCCACCCTGCCTGCCCTCCCTCGGCACAGCCCAGGCAGGAGTGCAGAGCTCCAGACAGGCTGGTCATGGCGGCCCAGGGCCTGTGTCGTCGGGCTGCGACTCGGCTGCACCCCCATGCCTTGGCTGCTCCAGGGGAGGGAAAGGATCTTCCGAGAAAAGTGACCCCGGGGTTCTGACGCTCCTCCCCATGGGCCGCGGCCCCTCGCCAGGCAGGCCTCACCTCTTTGTCGAAGTCCTGGTCGGGGTCAGACATGCTTCTCAGGGGCCCCGCCACGCTGGGCTCAGACCCACCTAGGGCACAAGGATGCCCTCGTCTTAGGGAAGAGTTCCAGCTGAAGGGCCCGTCCAGAGTCCATGCTGCCCAGCCCCGCACCCCCCCTCCGGTACCTGACGATGGCCATGAGACGTAGGGCTTGTTCCTGGGCACAGGCTGCCGGGCCAGGCCAGGGGCAGCGGGGCTGGGCCTCTCCTCCTGGGCCGGGGGCACCGCGCTCTGGGCGGAGAAGACAGTGTGAGAATACCTGGCGCTTCCTGGCAGGCGGGCCGGCTGCTGGTCTGCAGCCCCCACAGCTGGGCCAGGAGGGCTCTCCCAATGACATCAGCTACGTTTTGAGCTAAGAACTGGCAATAGTAACTTTAAACCAGTTGAATCCTACAGAAAACCCACATTTAAGAATGAGAAAAAAAGTTACCTGCTCACACTAAGATGTTATCTAGAAAAACTTTAAAAAAAATTTTTTTATTTATTTATCTTTAGAATGGAAGAGAAGGATAGAGGGAGATAAATATCAATGTATGGTTGCTTCTCCTGTGTCCCCTGATGGGAACTGGCCCCTGCTAGGAACTGGCCTGCAACCCAGGCATGTGCCCTGACTGGTAATCGAACCGTGATCTTTGGGTTCAAGGCCCGTGCTCAATCCACTGAGCTACACCAGCCAGGGCGAAAAACTTTTCTTTTTAAGATTTTATTTATTTTTAGAAAGAATAAATAAAAGAAGGGAGGGGAGAGAAACATCAGTGTGTGGTTGTCTCTCACGTGGCCCCAACTGGAGACCTGACCCACAACCTAGGTACGTGCCCTGACTGGGAATTGAACCGCCTACCCTTTGGTTCGCAGACCAGAGCTCAGTCCACTGAGCTACACCAGCCAGGGCTGGAAGTTGTTTTTGACGCTGGTTTTGTCACAAAACCTTAGCAGTCACTGAACAACGTCAGGGCCCCTTGGCAGGCGCTCCCACAGAAGCGGCAGGCTGGGGGAAGGGCCCTGTGCCAGGTGCTGAGGGTCTGCTCAGAGCGCCTGGACTGCTGGCGGGCTGGGGGGAGCCGCTACACGCCCCAGACAGAGCCCCGCCCTGCCGGAGCTCACCAGAGGCAGGTCCATGAGCACCTGCAGGCCGTCACCAGGGCCCATGTGGGCCACATGGTTGAAGTTGGTCGGGTTGGATATCATTCTGGATCTCAGTTCTGGGTCTCTGAGCATCTCCCTGGGGAAAAGAAGGTGTTTTGGGATCTACACACACGGAACGCAGCCAGGGCTCGGACACGGCAGCCCACAGCAGGGCCGGGGCCGCAGCGCTCACCGCCGCTGCTGCAGCCGCTCCTCCTCTGGCACCTTGAAGACGAACCGCCTCTTGCTCCTGGTCCGAAGCATCTGCTTCCTGCTGTTGTCAGAAGTGTCAGGCACGGTCAGCACTGCTCCTGCAGGAACCGGGAAGGTGCGCGCTCAGCCACCTGTGGGTGCACGCCTGGCTGTGCAGAAATGGGGGGGTGGTCTCCGGGAAGGCCTTCCCACCCCCTCCGCCTTCAGAGAAGGGTTCACCTGAGAACTTGCTCTTAAAGTAGATCAGGCGGGGAGGCTCGCAGTTCAGGAGGTTGAGGGTCCCCTCCAAGTTCAGTGGTCTGATCTGTGGGAACCAGAGAGGGACAGTCGCCTTGTGGCCGGCAGACGGCAGCGGGAGGAAGCTGGCGTAGGCCCGGGCCTCACCTTCCGCAGGCCAATGGTCTGCACCCACTCCATGGTGTGCACGTCAAAGACGTCCACGCCGTAGTCGCTGTACACCGTGACGTGTGAGGGGCTGCAACCTGGTGCAGGCGGGGCAAAGTGAGGTGAGGGGGCGGCACGGCCAGGCCTGGCGCCTCCCGCCCCGAGGGCAGCGACCAGGCCCGCCACCTGGGCGCCTCCGGAAGGTGCAGGGGCCACACCAGCCTGGGCCCAGGTGGGGGCAGGGGTGGCCACCGGCGCTTGCCCACGGTCACCCCAGGAGTGCCAACCACACCACCAGGCGTCAGCGCTTTCCCACCCCTGCCATCACAGCAGCACGTCCGGCAGCGCGGCACCAGCGCTGGTCTCGGCCTCCACCCGCCTGTGCCGCAGCCTCCACCGAGCGCGCAGCCTCAACGCATGAGGGGCCCAGGGAGGGGCCAAGCGTCGTTCTGTGAGGCGAATTCCTTCCGCGAGAGGTGCCATGAAGCCAGGCTTCTGAGTAAATACTTAAAAGCACAAAACCAGCGCTGAGCTCTTGGGCAGCAGCCCCGCCCACGTGCCCCAGAAGGATGTCATCTGCTCCGACACAGGAGGTGGGACTGGGTCTGTGACAGCGCTTCCCTGCTCAAGCTCAGTGACAGCACCTGTCCTCAGTGACTTGAAAAGCCGCCTAGAGCACCAACGACCGAGCCCGAGGACTGAGGGCCGTCTGGCCTTTGAAGCCGGGGGCGCCCCCACGTGCAAACAGCAGCAAGGACGCCCGGCAGAGGAAACAGCAGGGACATCTGTGCCCCTCACGACTGGACACATGCTGTCCGTGGTCACACTTGGCCTCACCCGGCTGCCCCCAGCTCACCCTGGTTCCCGGCGCCTCCACTCGTGGTGGTTCCAAGTCGGTCTTTACCAGGCCCCAGGCTACAGACCGTGGATGGCCCTTTTAAAGCCTCTGCAGGGCTGTTATGTCCCAAAAGACCGGTGTAATGGCCTTTTCTTTTGGAGGGAAAAAAAAAAAGCACAGGGAACTAGGAAGCAAGCAGGACGCTAATGCTGGCCCCCAGGCCCTCTCAGAAGCGAAGCCTGGACGAACACGAGGCCGTCCTTCGGAGGCCCACGTGTGGAGACGCGAGTGGAGGACCTGTCTTGGCGGGGCTCCCAGGCGGCGCGGCACCGCTTCCGCAACCCCACAGGTGTTCCACGTGCAGGAAGCCGGGAGGACATCTTTGGGCTGCAAAGCACTGCAGAGTCGGGCGGGTCTGCAGTTAACCTGACTGCCGTGGCTCGTACCATCCCCTCACCTCTGTGGCCCCAGCGTCCTCTTGGGGTCGTGACGGGGAGGCTGAGCACACGCAGGCACCCAGCTGACACTTAGGGCTGGTGCGCGGGGTCGGCGCACCGGCCCTGAGACCCACGGAGCGTGGCCTCGTGCAGGTGGAGGGGGCACCAGGTGCCCCACAGCTCAGGCACCGGGAGCCTGGGCCCTGCAGTCACTCTCTTTCTAGCGGAGAAAGGCCTGCTGGGCGGAGCCAGCGGTTCTGAGGGTATTCCTGCACCGCTGTCCGCGAGGACGGTGGAGTATGGCAGGGAAGCAGCAGGGTGTCACAGCAGCTGGCTCTGGGCCGCCTGCTCAGCCCCAGCCAAGGACTAGTAAGTTGCCCTTGAGCCCCAAGAGCCAACGGTGGGTGGCGCCTGGTCCCAACACCCCAGGCTCTCGACCAGCTGGGCAAACCCAGCAACATAGGGGATGAAAGGACTGTGCTTTTAGGTGATGAAGGGAAAATGAGGCCCCCACCCCCACCCATTACCCCACTTCCACTGCCCCTGGCTCTGCCTGGCCTGCGGAGTGCTGCAGTGCAGGGTCTTGGAAAGGTCAGAAGGCGGGGCTGTGGGGGCCGACTCCGGGGACCCCGTGACTCCCCCAGCACCCCACGCACTCAGAGAGCCACTTGCATGATGCAAGCTGACTCTGCTCTTTCCCAGAGCAGCTCCTGCCTCTCAAGATGACCTCTGCCCCGGGGGGACTTCGGCCCAGACATGGGCCGCACTCCTGCTACACCCCATTGCCTGCAGCGTGTCGTGACCAGGTGTTTACAGACGGCCGCCGTGGGCAGGCGAGCGGAGAGGGGCCCGAGGCTCCTGCAAGTCCACCCCGGGCGGCCGAGGATCCAAGTCAGGACCACGTCCCCGGGCAGCACCACGGGGCCCACCCTCCCGGCGCCGTCCCCGCTCCCCTGCTCTGGCGGCCGAGGCAGCAGAGGCGAACAGAAGCAGGACCAGCACGTGCTGACGGGCGAGCAGCGCAGCGGCGGGGGAGGCAACAGAAAACATATACATACTACAGGCAATGGGCACCGCAGGCCACATGAGCTCCTGCGCGCGCGACCTCCGGCCTTGCGGGTCCACGTACACTCCCACGTGGCTGAAGCAGAGCAGGAACTCCTCGCTCGCCAGCTCCACGGCACAAAGGGCGTCAAAGGGCTGTTGTGAGAGGAATGCAAGCGAGGGGTCGCTGGGATTTACCAGGGTCAGAGCCTGCCCATCTCCCTGGGTGCTCAGCAGGGCGAACCCTGAGGGGTAGCCCACACAGAGCCTGTCCTTGAGCGCGGCCATCCACTGCACGGTGCCGGGGGCCACAAGCTCTGCGACCTTCCGGTGGAAAGGCTTCGTTCGCTGGACCTCATAGTACAGGACCAGCCGCTTCACCGCCACGAACAGGCAGGTGGCGGCACTCCTCTTCAGTGTCCCCGTCACCACGAGCTGGCAGCCCTTTGTTTCCGGAAGCTTGATGTCAACGTTGCTTTCGGCGCCATCAAAAGCAGACCACGAGCAGAGGTGGACGTGGTGATTCCGGCCGCAGAGTAGCACAGCGACTTTCTCTCTGGGAGCGAGCTCGATCTGGTACACCTTCTTGTAGTCCGCCACTCGGACGATCACTGCGGGGAGGACAGGGCGTGAGGCCCAGCGCAGGGGGGCGGGGGTGAGCGCAGCGCCTGCTCTCAGACATCTGCTAAGGAGCCCCTCCACTCCTTCCCTGTGCAGTCAGCCTGGCCTCTGCTACCTCACATGCAACCTCGTGGCCCCCCAGGCAGACCTCCTGCCTGCTCATCACTGAGGCCAGCAGCCCCTGGGTTGCAGCTGGGGAGCAGAGCACTGTCTCCAAGCTCACGGGATCCTTAAACAAACTAGGAGAGCACTTGCCCTGCCCTGGGCCCCCACAGTCCCCCACTCCTCCCAACACCCTCACTGGAGCGGGGACTGGACTGGACGGTGCACCCTTCCTCCACACCGTGCCAAGTGCAGAGACACTGGCCGTCAGGAAGGGGCACCGTCCTCTCTGGAGCAGAGCGGGGCAGGGCCCCTTAGGCCTTGTCCAATCCCAACACCCTCCTGTCCCAAGGCCCAGGAGGTGAAGAGGGGAGACATGGGTGCATCTGCTTTTTCTCACTGGGGAGAGTGAAATTTCAAAATCTCCAGTAAAGGAAGTCTCAGTGAGGTGCCAGCGGCCAGGACCAAAATGGACCCCATTCCTGGGGCGCTCTCCCAGCCTGCCTAGCCGCTCAGCCCCATCCTTAGAGTGGAAGCCACACAGCAGCCCACCCAGCACTGTGCCCGTGGGCGGCAGCCACCCCCGTTGGAGGCCCCCCCCCAGGGCCCACCAGGGACACTGCAGTTGCCGAACACCAACCTCGTTGCAGACCCTTTTCCCTGGCTGCTGCCCCTCCCCCTTGTCATAAAGTTCCCTGAGGGGGCAACAGTCCCCCCACCCAGTCACGCTGTCTCCACCCCTGCAAGGTCCCCGACGGGGCCCACTCACCATCTCGGGTCACCTCGATGACGTACAGCCCTTCTTCTAAGCCGACCGCGATCCTGTCGCCGTCTGTTGAGAACAGAAAGCCCATCAGCGGTGGTGCACACAGATGGTCTGCTCCGTGGGGCCCCGGAGGGCGCCCAGCTCCAACACCGGCACAGTGGGGGCGCGCCCACATCTGAGTCCTCTGCGCCCCACAGGGCGGGGCCCGGGGCACACGGCACATACCCAGGATGGCGGCCGTGAGCACGGCCTTGATGAGGGGCAGCGAGCTGTCGTAGGCCTCCTGCGGCACGTGCACCGCCTGGTTCCGCAGGCGGTTCTTGTGCAGGATGGAGCGCAGGCCCTCCAGAATGCCCACCCACTTCCTCTTCTCGTTCTCGTTCTCTGTCAGAATGAGCAGTGAGCTGGTCTTAGAAGGGGCTCCTAAGAGGGAGGCTGTCACCTTCATGACGGAAGACAAGACAGGGAGAAGAGCCGTGAGTGACCGGAGGCCAGCACAGTGCCGGTGAGGCCGCCATCGCCCTGGCGCGGGCGCCTGTTCCGAAGGGGCCTCTGAGCCGCGCCCAGGGGGCCGCTGGGCCCAGGCCACCTGCAGCCCTAGTGGGGCCTCAGACATCTCCGCTCTTGCCCAAACTGCGGGCAACGCCCGTGCTGAAGCTGCTTCCCTGAAGGATCTCATTTTAATGCAGGGAGTCCCAGAGCATGGCCCCGACAAGGAATCTCCCTCCAACAAATGCCCGCTCCTGAGAGCGCCCCCAACACAGCGACACAGGGACACAGGGACAGCCTCAGCTGATACTGCTGGGCGCACAGCAATGGCTGATCTCGGTGACGGCTGATCTCAGTGCCATACACTAGAGGTGCTGTCTGAATGCAGACGCAGCTTAACAACAGTGATGGTGACGATGATGCCGGCCCAAACTTGACTGTGTTTAAAGCTCCTGGCAGAGGAGTGAGGCAGTTCTTTCCCCTGATCCAGTCTCCTTGCACCACAACCTCTATGGCAACTGGGGGTGTGGGGAGGTGGAGCTGCTCTGCCTCGGCCAGCCCAGCAGGTCTGCTTGAGTGGGGGCGGCAGGGTGTTCCCGCTATGCTCCAGGTCCCGCCCAGCTAGTCACAGGGGGGGCCAGCCTCAGGCACCCTGTGGCTGGAGAGACTGGGGTGCAGTGTGCTGTGGGGGGTCGGGCCCCAGGGAGCGGGCAGCGCAGTGTGGAGTGGGCACCCATGTGCTGTGATTTTTTATGATTAACAAAACGTCTCTAAAACGCAGGAAAGAACCATACCCTGAATATACAGGGAACATCTCGGCGCGAAGCATGTATGACGTCAGAAGCCAGGACCGAGCTCACCGAGAGGGCCTCGTCCCTGCAGAGAAACGGGGCACTCAGCAGGCCGAAAAAGACACCACCCTCCCGGACCGGCCACCCCACGGGGAGGGGTGTGTTCAGGGCCGTGCCCGTGCCGTGAGGTGGCCCCGCGCCTCTGCCTGGGTCAGAACCTGCTTCCACGGGCAGAGCCCACAGGCAACCCGCAAACCCCGAGCACACAGCTCCCATTCCTTGCAGCCATGCTGGTGACAGACTCGCCACCTCACTGAGCAGGCCCACATGTGGCTACACCCGGCAGTCCCTCTGCTGTCCCTCTGCAGGGACAAGCTGAAACCTTCTGGTGACCACGGGGCCCCATTTCCGACCCACTCCAAACCTGGGGCTCGAGCCCGGCACATTGCCCCGGGGTGTCTGCCAGTGGCCTCTGCACAGCCGGGCCAGTGCACACCGACCGACACACACACAGCAAGGGCGAGCAGGACCCCCTGCGGACTCTCCAAAAACAGAGGGCCCCCGCTGTCTGCCCCGCCCCAGGTGATGGGGAGCAGGAGCCGCTGTGCAGGGACTCGGACACATGGCTGTCCGCCAGGGCGCCTCCCAGGGCATCCCTCGCCCCCAGAACAGGGCCGGAGACTGAAGCTCCAGGCCGGGCCCTGCTCCGAGCAGGCACCAGCGTGTGCACAGTGTTCGCCCGTGCCGTCCCGTGTGGCACTGGGGGTGGGTGGCGAGGGAAGGGAGCTGGCCCGGCAGCGACAGCAGCTCTGCACGCCAGGCCCTGAGCCCACCACGCCTGCCTGTTAACATGCGTTGTTCTCACAACCGCCCTCCACCCCCATCATGTCCATTTTACAAATGGGGAGCAAAGTCAAGAGCCACGAAGGAAGGAGAGTGCTTGGCTGCCACGGAGTGTCTGCAGACAGGTCAGAGGTGCCCTCACGCAACCTGAGGCTCAAGGCTGCGGCCACAAACCCGGATACTTGTCAGGCACCAGAACACGCAACACATCTCTGGATACTGTCTACTTGTTTGGGGAGCATGTGGTTTTCTTACGTCTCACAGCCATTTGGCAAACTGTTCATTGCAAACCTACGAAGAGCAGGTGGTTTCTGGCCCACACCTGAAGTCCCCGTCGTGGACCAGCGCGGTGACAGAGGGGTGGGGTGTGACTGAGGTTAAAGGTCATCAAGCAACAGACTCTCATTTCGCTGGAACACCGGCAAGTGGGCACTTGAAGACAGGCACACACCTGAGGTCCAGCACCTGGCTGGCGACCACTCCCGGCTGGGTGGACTTCCCCTCTGGCAGGTCGTACAGGAAGAGCTTACAGTCACAGACCACCGCGTAAGCCCGCTGCCAGCCCTTCTTCACGCCGGTCGGCTTGGGGACCTACAGTCGGAGAGGTGCTGTGTCACTAGGCCAGCGAGGCCAGTGCCAACCCTGTGGGAACAGCCCCTGAAGGGCCAGGCCATGGGGGACCTGCTCATGAGGACACCGGGCCCCTCCCGCTGCTGCACAGCGTGGCCTCCCCACAGACCAGCCCCGCGCCTGGCCCAGGCTGGTGGCCAGTGCCTGGCCTAGGCCAGGAAGGTTAAGGCGCTGCTGGGGAGGACACTCCACACCCAACAGGGGACATGGGGACAAGGCGAACACCTCAGCAGACAGGCAGCCTGGGAGAGCCGCAGTGGGGGGAGTTAAAGACAAAAGGGCCCGGTGGTCTTCAGGCGGCACCTGGCGCCAGCGCCCCGTCGTCAGACGCACGGCCTGGAGGCAAGGATGGGCGGGCCGCACATATGTGTCTGGGGTCCCGGGACCCGGGGCCCCAGGGTGGGCGGGGGTCCTACCTTCACGTAGCCCTTGTAGGCAGTCCCTATGCCGCGCTGCACGTCCACACCGAGGGGCCGCTTAGACTGCTCTGGGGGGACGGGGCACACCTGGGGAGCGCTGTCGCGGCAGGACACATGGCAGGCGAACGCACACACTGCAATGAACCGACGTGGTCAGCCAACCGCGCCTGCGGCAGGCCCCGGGGACCCCACGCGGCAGCTCCTCGACACTCCCCACCGCAGCTCGGGGCTGTGGGAGCGACCTCTCAGCGTGCCCACGGGGCACAGCGAGGCTGCAAGGTGACGTGCTGTGGAAGACAGCCACACAGCTGGGTCTCTTGCTCTCCCACATGGTGAAGTTTCAAACCCATCTGACGGGTGATGGTTTCGGTGACTTACGGGGCTGGGGGAGGCTGGGTTGCCTCTGGCAGGCAGTCAACAGGCTGGCCGTGTTTAGGTTAATGATGGGGAAGGCGTGTGCCAGCATGGATGACGAGAACACAGAGCTCTTCAGCAGAGCAGTCCCACCCACTGACCAGCGAGGGGGTGCCGAGGGCTGACTCTGGCCCAGCAGTCCTGGGCATCGTGACCTGGCCACCTGCATTGTATGGGTCACATCCCCAAACGTGAGGGCCACGCTGGCCTGGGGCAAGGGCACAGCACAGGCTCAAAAAGCAGACAGTGGCTACGGTGAGGGGTGCTTCCTCCAGAGGAAAGAGGAGACGCTTGCTCTCTGCTGTGGCTGATTTTCTAAGGCAACTGTGTACTGTGGTGTCCAACCCATGGGCCACATGTGGCCTAGGATGGCTATGAATGGGGCCCAGCACAAAACCGTAAATTTACTTAAAACCTTTTCTGTGCCCTGGCTGGCGTAGCTCAGTGGATTGAGCTCGGGCCTGCGAACCACACAGGTTCGATTCCCAGCCAGGGCACATGCCTGGGTTGCGGGCCAGTTCCCGGCAGGGGACTCATGGGAGGCAACCACACACTGATGTTTCCCTCCTTCCCCTCCTCTCTAAAGATAAATAAATAAAATCTTAAAAAAACACCTTTTCTGTACTCATCAGCTTTTGCTAGTGTTTGTGCATTTAATGTGCAGCCCAAAATGACTCTTCTTTTTCCACTGCGGCCCAGAGACGCCAGAAGGTTGGACACCCCTACACACAGTACGTCCATGAGCCAAGGTCACGGACAGAGGCCTCAGTCACCCCGGACCAGAGTGTCCGCCCGCATGGTTTGGGCTCAGCTCTCAGCTCCCAGCCTCTCTGGAGCGCCATCAGAGCTGACGAAGGAGGAGCTGCCCTCAGCCGGCTCACCACCAGGCTTCACCGCAGCCCTGCCTGCCTCCAGGGACACTGCCCTCCCGAGAAGGCACCCGGCACCGCCGGCAGACACTCACCTTCGCAGGCGTAGCCCTGGCGGACGAGGCCCACCATCAGTGAGGTGCAGTGGCTGCACTGCGTGGGGCTGGAGAAGGACTTGATGCCGAACTGGTGCGCTTTGGGCTGCAGGGAGAACACCAGGGGGTGAGCGTGCATTCTGCCAAGGGCGTCAAGTTCACAACCGTCTCGAAAGGTGGAGACGTGCAGCTTCACCCTGAGGTTCATATGGTATTGGGCCATGCAGACCAATGCCTGCGGACTTAACACCCACCCAAGGAGCCAGAGCCGAAAAAACGTCACCATGTGTTTCCTACAGAGAGAAGTCTAGCACAACCACGAGGTCGGTGGGCGCGTGAGCGGGAGCAGGGCTGCCACATGCTCTGGAATAAGCCCCTGACCTCCGAGAGGCTCTGGGGGGCCTCCCAGGGCCACGTTAGGGGCTGAGCTCTCACTGGGGGCAGCCCTCCTACTCGAGACCAACAGACGTGCAAGAAACAAGCAGCAGCCCTGTTGTAACAACAGGCCCGGAAAGGCCCCGCCCCTGCTAGGAAAGGGGCGGTGGGAGGTGCTGTGTGCAACTCGGGGCGGGGTGCCTGCAGGCTGGCACTGCAGAGTCGGGGAACAGAGCCGTGGTGGGACCCCGGCAGGAGGCAGGAGGGATCAGCCCAGGACCCAAGGTTCAGGCTCCCCGACCCCTGACCGGGCAGGCCACCCGACAGTCTCAGACACGCTCAAGTGCCTCAACTCCAGTTGGCTTGGCTGTGGACAGCTAACAGCCTGCCAGAGACCAATGTCTACGATAAAGGAAATAAAGTCATCTCAGGCCAAACGTCAGCTAAGCTTGAGACTTGGACCATGTGATGCCTGGAACATTCTGATCTATGTTGAGCCTGCGTGCACTGGTGTGCACAGATTGCCAGACACATTTATGGAAAAGCACAATCATTAAGTGCACACTCAGCACAGTTCTGTTCATGTTGAGGAGGGCGCCGCTGCCCAGGTCTCTACGACTCTAGGAGCTGAGGGGTGAAGGGGACAAACCTGGCAAAGAGACTCACTGGACACAGAGCGGAGCGGCAACCTGCAGAGGGGAGGTGGGTCTGGGGAATGGAGAAAGGGGCCTGGGCTGGACGTGGACATCCCCCAGTGAGAAGGCGCTCAGGGAGCACCGGCGTGATGACGGAAACACAGGGTCCCAGCACTGCCCGGACCGTGTGCCGCCGGGAAGAAACTGTCACCAGGGCAGACGGGCTGAGTCGCTGGGTTTGCGAGAAGGACACCTGCCTCGTCCACGCAGCAGTGCCCTTCCAGGACCCAGGAGGGCCCACGGGGGAGACCACGGCCTACCTTTGGTCCAGCCAGAGTGAGGGCCTGAGGGGCGGGCGGCCTCTGCGAAGCCCGAGCTGCGTCCTGGGAGACAGGCGGGGAGAGGTGAGCGCCGCCCCAGCACTGCCGCCCCGCTTCCCTCTCCAAGTGGCCCGCAGGGAGCAGCTTTGCATTTTTAACACCCCTGGCGGTGGCAACACTGCCCCACCCTGCCCATCTCGCTGGCACACCAGCAGCGACACTGAAAGGCACACGGGGCTCAGACCCGGGGGCTGGAGGCAGGTCCAGGGGCAGCAGCCTTACTTCCTGCTGGTCGGTGCTTGCGGCCACGGGCGTCGACTGGGACACCTCCGGCTTTAGAGCCTGTGTTTCTTGCTCACTGGCTGAGCCGGTCTATAAGGAAAAAAGGTAAAGAAAGAGCGGGAGTAAAGCAGTTCATTCTGCAGAACTCAAACCCTAATGATGTGTTCTTTCTTTAAAAAGTGCATCCCTAGCCTTGGCTGGTGTGGCTGCATGGACTGAGTGCCGGCCTGGAAACCGAAGGGTCAGCGGTTTGATTCCCAGTCCAGGCACATGCCCGGGTGGCAGGCCACGTCCCCAGTCGGGGTCGTGTGAGAGCAATCGATGAAGTACTTCCCACGTTGATATTTCTCTCCCTTTCTTTATCCCTCTCTAAAAAATGAATAAAAACCAAAAAACAAAAATAAAAAGTACACTCCTTGAGGACCTGCGGTCCCAGCACGGGTTCTCATCCCTGTGGCACCAGGCGGCCGGCCCGCCCCACTCACTGTGCACTGTGGGTTCTGAGCCTGGCACGCGGCCGCTGGCTGGGTGGACTCTGCGGGCACAGCCAGGCAGCGGCAAAGGCGGAGGTCACCTGGCCTCACCTCGCCCGCAGCCCGCACCCCCTCCCCATTTAAAGGGAAGGAAGGGGAAAAGGCCGGCCCTCTGAGGTCACTCACAGGTGATTCTGCCTGTGCCTTGTAGCCTTAAGATACAGCAGCCAGAGCTTCCCGGCCTCACTGCCGGGACCAAGAGGAAACCCCGACATTGGCAGAGGTCCCCGGGCCTCCAACCAGAAGGGCTTCCCGGGAGGGTTACGACAGGGAAGCGAGGCTGTGCTGCAACAACTCGAATGAATCGTCCAATGTGCAACTGAAGCTGAAGCTTTGAAGCTAATCTAAAGCTAAAGCTGCATTCTAAAACCACTTAAAATTGGCCATATTTTAACAACTACTCCCGACACCAGACCAACACCGCCCCATCGAAGGCTACTACTATGTCCACCTACTACTGTGTCCACCTACTACTGTGTCCACCTACTACTGTGTCCACCTACTACTGTGTCCACCTACTACTGCGTCCACCTACTACTGTGTCCACCTACTACTGTGTCCACCTACTACTACGTCCCCCGATGCTCAAACCCCGTTCCCGTGGGCGGGAGTATCGTGAGCACTGGCGCTTTGCGGGGACGCAGACGAGCGAGCAGAAGGCACCCATTTACAGCTGTACCTGGTGCCCCAGAGGAAAGCCCACCCAGCCCGACCAGAGAAACACTCTGCAGCAGCTGCAGTTAGTCCGGCGGCTCACGCAAGCCCGCACACGACCACGCTGCCAGCTCCGGATGGGTTTGCAATCAACTTCACAAGGGAAAGGCTGGGTCACTCAGCTGACAAAGTACGCTGACTGCCTAAGCGAATTTCTCCCAGGTAACCTGATTGTTACCACGAACGGCCGCACTGGTTTCATTTAGCTGCTGGCTGATCGGAAGGATGCGAACTGAGGGAGGAGGCGCCCCCGTCGAGCCGTGAGCACAGCCACAGGGGCACCAGGGGCTGACTTCTTCCCCAGCAGCTGGCCGACAGGGTGGGGAGACACAGCAACCCTGTCCCCCGGTAACCACCTGTGTGAGGGCCTGGTTTCCTCATGAACGGAATGTGGGCGGGGGCCAAACTCCTGAAAGGCGTCCCCAGTCCGACCCCACCCTGGCTGAGGGCAACGCTCTCCACTGAGTAAACGTCCTCTCTCCTCAAGCCAGCGTTGTTCAAGAACGACGGAAATTAGCCACAAAAAGGTGGACACGCTGGCTGCAGAACACGGGGGGCCGACCTCGGCCCCCCTGCAGGCTGCAGCGCCATCCAGTGACGAGGGTCCAGCCAGAAGCCACCTGTAGAGCCATGACATCACAGAGAAGCCGCTGCTTTCCTGGCCATCGCCCCCCAGTTAACAGTCCCAGTCTTTGGCCACCGCAGAGGGGTCTGGCCCTGCAGTGGCAGAAAAGGCCAGGGCAGCAAGAAGCTGTGACAGAATGTGAGGAAGAGGCCCGGTGCGCCACTGAGTTCCTGCACCTGCTTCTTATACACGGAGGACACAGGGGAGGACGGACGCGGCCAATCTCACCAAAACCGTCTCAGCAGACGAATGGAACAGCTGTGCACCCAGAGGACGCGTGCAAACCTGCGTGGGTTTTGTAAAAACTGACCTAGGCAGGAGTCACTAGCCCACTGGCGAAGGCTGCTAGTGACGGCTCCCGGGGGCCTGTCCTGCATTGCCCCTCCTCGACCAATGCGCAATGTCAGCATGGCCGACCCTGGTGGGCAGCTTCCACGGGGCATGGGGTCCGCATCCCTCCTGGGCAGAGCTCCCACCAGATGTCCGGCCCAGACCTAACCCAGGGAACACCAGACAGACCCAAACTGCTGGACACTGCATAGGACAACTGGTCTGGACATGCTGAAAACGCCCACGTCCCACCCAAAGGGGCAGGGGAGGTGGGGGCGCCCTGCCTTTCCAACAGGACAAGCCGGTGGGGCCCTGAGCTCTGGCTGGACCCAGTGCTGGTCAGTGCCACACTGTGCACACGACAAGGACGTCGTGGTCAGGCAGGGTGGCTGGGACCTCAGGACACACAGTCTGAAGTGCCCCACATCACGGGGGCTCATTGCTCAACACCAGCAAGCTCCGGGAAGGTCTGTGTGTGCTAGGGGACAGCAGGGACATGCTTGTGGCACGAGGCCGGACGAGGTGCCAGTGCTCACCGGACAGTTGCTTCAACTTCACCACAAGTGCAAAGTTTTCAGTAAAAAGTGGGAAAACCCACAAAAACAAAGAGTTCCCAGAGGTCCCAGGAATGAGCTCCGGTTCCATGATTTTAACCTGTCCTGCTGTGTGGGGCTCCTAGCGAGGGGCGCACTGCTGTTTCTGGAACAAGTGGAAAGACCGCCACACCCCCACGGCTGGCCCTTCACAACGACGCTCCCGAGGACAGAACCCACCCCCCACCCCCAGGTGCCTCGGCAGGACTTTCTCAGGAGCCGCCTCCTTCCACCCCCGACGGAGCCACCGGCACAGCCCTGCAGGAGTTGCCAAAAGGAGGCTGCTGCCGACCCAGCCTCCCTCTGTGGCAGTGGGAGGGTCTGCACAGGACGCCCGCAGCACTCCCTGCTCTGGCAGAGGCCGGGCGGACGTCCTCCCTGAAGACACTGCACACCCGCTGACCCAACTTTCACTCGACTCCCGGGAGCCTCTCCTCAAGCATTCCCAGTACCCGAGCGTCTACACCCACACACCCGACTCCGGGTCAGGTGGCAGGGTTGACGACAGGGTCAGCGTGACCAAGGCAGAGAGTCCGGCGCTGACGCGCTGCTGAGTCTTGCGGTGCCCGGGCAGCCGGATGACACCGCACGGTCTCCGACAGGTCCCTGCTCCCTCTGCAGGACAGTTACTCACGCGGAACGCCAGGTCGTGGGCCAGAGGCGCAGCGTTGAAGTACTCGAAGACGGAGTCCTGGAGATCTGGGAGTTTGAGTCCTGCGAGAAAGAGGCCTCGGGTCAGGGCACAAACGTCCAAAACTGCCCTGCGCCGGGACGGGGAGGGGACAGCGTCCGACAGGTGGACGAGACGGCGCAGCGCCAGACAGGTGAGGGGAGAGTGTGCTGTGGAGAGTAAACAAAGATGACTCTCTCGGAAATCTCCGAGGAGGAGGGGGCCCGGGGTCAGACCAGGGGTCGTGGCCGTCTCGGGTGTGGGAAGAACACTGGGGAGTCGGCAGCTTTCCAACAACTGGCCCTGAACAACCGGCCACAGGACGAAGGGACGAAGACAGGCTGGACCCGCGCCCCAAGCTGCGCATCAGCACGACTTCCACATGGATCGGTCAGGCTGGACCCGCCCCACAAGCTGCGCATCAGCACGACTTCCACATGGATCGGCCAGGAAGCTGCGTCTTAGAAAATGAAACCACCTGGCTGGTGTAGCTCAGTGGACCACACGATCGCGGTTCGATTCCCAGTCAGGGCACATGCCTGGGTTGCAGGCCAGTTCCCAGCAGGGGACTCACGAGAGGCAACCACACATTGATGTTTCTTTCCCTCTCTCCTTCCCTTCCTCTCTAAAGATAAATAAATAAAATCTTTAAAAAAAAAAGAAAATGAAACCACACGTGTGACAGGGAAAACACGGGTGAAAATTATCTGAACAACCGGGGATGCAGGAGTATCTCCCTGTGACAAAAGGGGGGAAATCTGACACACAAACTTTTTAAAAACCTTATGCATCCCCTCCGAAATCATTAAAGACAACTGGCGAGAATATTTGCAACTTCTGTCACAAACGCAGGCTGTGATCCTCCATAAAGCTTCTGAGGATTAAGAAAAAGACTTAGAGCCCTGGCTGGTGTAGCTCAGTGGATTGAGCACGGGCCTGTGAACCAGAGGATCGCGGTTCAATTCCCAGTCAGGGCACATGCCTGGGTTGCAGGCCAGTTCCCAGCAGGGGACACATGAGAGGCAACCACACATTGATATTTTTCTCCCTCTCTCCCTCTCTAAAGATAAATAAGTAAAACCTAAAAAAAAAAAAAAAAAAAAAAAGACTTAACGACTTGTGGTTTTTCAAACGGGCAAACTCACACACAGGTAAGTCACAGGTTAAGAACAGCGGCCCCCACACGTGTGGAAAGATGCTCCGCCTTGCTCAGGACGCAAAAACACAAACCAGGTCCACGCCGCGGTGCCGCCCTCGCCAGGGTGTCTGGCCACACCTGGCAGGCGGGCAGGACCCCGCGCCGCGGCAGGGACACGGACATGCCGGCGTCTGCGGCAGGGGCCAGCGACACCCAGGTGCAGGCTGACCCCCAGACCGACAGTCCATGTCTGGGCGTGAGTCCCCGAGGCCACGCATGGGGCCAGTCACGCACGCTGAGCTCTGTGACAGCGAAGGCGGAGTGGCCGACACCCAGCCCCCAGGGCCGGCGCAGAGAGCGCTGAGGGCGTGAAGTCTCATTACACTCCCACGTACCTGCTCTGTTCTCAAGACAAGGGAAGGGAAGGGAAGGGTCGACCAGGAACTGGGGGTAACTTTGGGGAGGGGATCATTCAGAATTTTGGCTCTGGGATGAGTAACTGCTTTCTTTATGTAACTAAAAACTATTAAACCTAAAAGAAATTAAATGCAAAATAAAACCATTTCATCAAAACAGGCTCATACTTAAAAATGCAAAAACTTGTAACTTTAACTTACCAGTATCTGCTCTAAACTTTTCTTCTATCTTCTTCTTCAAAACTTCCATTTCTTCTAACAGCTCTCTATTTTTGGTCTCCGAATCCTTCAGTTTACTAAAACAAGAAAACGGCGGCTTTAGGTCACCCACGGGCTGGCTCCGCGTGCAGGTGGTGGGGGCAGGGGCTCATCTACGGGGAAAGTGCCGGAATGGGGCCGGCCCCACAAACACTGCTGGGCAGACCCGTGGGCCACCCTACAGGGGCCAGCCTGTCCGCTTAGCACACTATGCACAGTGCACACGTCAACATTATGAACAAGGACTTAAAAATCCCCGTTTAGAAAACGTATCTCATGGAGCTAATGGAGTTTTGGACATTCCTGATATCTTTGGGGACAAGTCCTCCGTCATCTGAGGACACTGGGCCCAGGTGACCCAGCCATCAGGCCGGGAAGTGCTCCACTGTGGCCAGGGTGGTGGGCTGACGCCTGCTGAGTGCTACCATCTGCCTAAACTTGGACGTCTCGTGGTCCGAGTTTTCGTGGAGGAGATACGCACAGTCTGCAGAGGTCACCATCTGCCAGGACTCGCGCAGCAGGCCAGCCCAGCCCAGCACCAAGGGGACCTGCCATCGAGTCCTGGCCCCGCACCCACCCATGCGTGGGTGGTGCCTGCCTGCACCTCTGCCCGTCACTCTAAGTGAGGGGAGCGAGGGTGCAGCCACGAGGACAGCTGGGACACGCCGGAGGCCCCGCTCCTGTGCAGAACCAGGCGGCAGGACCAGCACCTTTCAAAGGAGAGGTTCGCGTCCTTGACCTTCCTCAGCTCCTCCTGAACCAGCTGCTTGGCCCGGATCTCGGCCTCGAGGGCAGACTGCAGCTCCAGCCGCGCGGACATGTCCAGCTTCTGACTGCGGCGCACCTTCCAAAGCGGATCCTGCAGACACAGGTTCAGACAGCGAGAACACACTGTAAGCCACCAACGTAACAATTCGCATTTTTCTGACTTTCCACTTTCTTCATCATATTCAGATATCGCCTCTCAAATGTTAACAAAGTCCACCGTGTCTGACTTTCTTTTTTTACGGCCTTTAATCTTTCTCGGGTTTTCTGAAGAATCCCCTTCTTCACGCTTTTACAACACCGTGAGCCCTACGGGGTGACTTGCATTCGGCCACCAGACCCTCACAGACCTAAGTGCATTATGGGGCCCTTTCCATCTTACTCCCCACATCCCAAACATCTGCCGCTTCTCCGTCCTAGGAACTGCGTCCCTCTTCGCCAACTGCTCCTACTCCGAAAACGGAAGCAGGGGGAGCGTGAGAGCGGAGCTGCCGCTGCGCAGGCACCTGCCCAAGTGCAGCCCCCTTCCCCCCGCCCCCCGCTCACTGGGGTGGCCCACGCGGCCCCCCGACTCTCAGGGGCGGTAAAGGCCTGCGGAGGCACTGTTTTTAAAGTCTTCTCTGAGCAGAGCTGAGAGTTCTCATTCTCCTTACTCCACAGTGAGGGCAAGGAAGCTAGCAGGCACACTCCCCCATCATCAGTCAGAAGGGGGTGCAGGGCAGAGGGCGACTGGAGACACTGTGACCTCGATCGAGGTGGGGAAATCTCAGGGGCCCGCCCACGACTGCGTCCTGGGTGGCCGTGTGCGAGGATCAGCGAGTGCACAGCACACCGCTGGGGAGAAGGGGAACTGTGTCCTCATCCCAGCTGCCCTTCAGCAGGGAACATCTACACAGTATTTTGCAACAAGATCTCAGACGCCGTCTCGCTAACGGGCCCTGGGCCGGCACCCTGTCCTCTTCTCTGAGGCTTGTGCACACGCGTCATTCACGGTTGTTCCTAAAGGCACCATGTACATAAACGTGACCCATGACCGAAAGAAAACAGCTGAAATTCACCGATTGCTCTAACCGGTGTTCACAAACCTAAAATCTAAAAATCAACACTGTTTCCGATCCCAGGGCCAAAGCGTGTCTTTAAAGAGCACGCAGAGAAATGCAGACGAGAGGGAACTCGGCTGATGGGGTCCCAAGCAGCCCCAAGCTCGCCATGCTCCCTGGTGCTTGAAACGCAGGCCGCTGGCCAGTGGCTCAGGTTAGCCACACGACCCCTTGAGGACAGACCCTGTGCGGCTCACTGGCGCCCGCTCTGGAGCCAGGGTTTGGCGACCATGGCAAAACGACTCAGAAGCACAGGGAGGCTGATTTCCCGGGAACGATGCTGGCGTTCCACAAACTGGCCTTTCCCACCAAAAGAGCCAGCGTGGCACTTAACTGTGGAGGCCACCACAGAGGCCCCTGGCGAAAGAACATGGCTGCAGGACAAGACCCACCAGTGTCCTCGAGCCCAGGCTGCAGCTCCTCAACGCCTCCAGCTCTTCCGTCATCTTGGAAGCAAGAGCCTGCAGATAGCCGCGTGCGTCTTTCTCGTCGCTGACCCTGCAGGAGGGGGTGTGGGTGAGTGTCCAGAGCCCAGAGAGGAGGAGTGTGTCTCGCCCCTGCAGGCCCCAGGAGCCTATCACCAGACAGCAGTCACCCATGAGAGTGTCCTCGGGCAGAGGCTGGTCCCCGCCCTCCCCTTGGTCTTCCGTCCTTGTGTGGCGTTTCATAGAAGCTGCACCCCCGCCTCAAGGACAGCGTGCGTCCCTGCACAGCCTGACCCCCAGCTTCAGCGACCTGGGGCGCTATTTCTCCGCCTTCATCCAATGTGAAGGCCACTGGCAGAACTGTGCCCCTAGACCTCAGTGGTCAGGGGACACAGCGGTGAGACCTGTGCCGAGCCCGCAGAGCACACAGGACAGGCTTGGAGGGGCGGCGGCAGGAGCTGGGCAGGGTGCAGGCGCCCCTGGCCGCCGCCCCCGGGGCGTGGCCTGCACGCACCACTGGATGATCTCCGCGATCTGGGCTTCCCAGTGGGCCACCGACTCCTTCTTGGCTGCCAGGTCCTGCAGCTCGTCCTCCAGCTGTCTGTTCTGGGCTGTGAGTTTGTCCACAAAGGCGCAGAGCTGAAATGACACAAGTGTGCCACACAACGTGTCCGGTGGCACCCGGTCCAGAGGCCACCATTAAAACTAGGAGTGCTTTTGAAGACTTGTAAAGTTTCCCTCAACCAAGTTCAGGACGTGGACTTCTGATTGTACTTAAGTCGCATTTCAATGATGATCTGAACTTAGAAAATAGAGCTAGTGATTTCGGGTAATCAGTAGCTTTTAACCTAATGCAAACATCCCACTTGAAAGATCAAATATATCACTACTTAAGTCTTTTTTAAACATTAATTTTTGAGGAGGGGGAATACTGATTTGTTGTTCCACTTATTTATTCACTGGCTGATTCTTGTATGTGCCCTGGTCAGACTTTGAACCCTCAACCTTGGCAAATCGGGACGATGCTCCAACCAACTGAGCTACTGGCCAGGGCCCTATTACTTCATCTGGAAATAAAAATACTTAAACTGCCGCACTTCCCACACAAAAGAGAGAAAACGCTGCGGCTCCGCGAGGCGACAGCCTGGGCGTGTGCGTTACCCGCTCCTTCTCCGCCGTCAGCTTCCTGTGCTCCTCTCGCAGCGAGGCCCTCTCGCGCTCGTACTTGTCCCGGACGGCGCCCACGGCCTCCTCCAGCTCGCTGTGCCTGAGGAGGGCGGGAGCGCGCTCAGCCCGCAGTCCCCACCGCGCCCGTGCTCGGGCTGCAGCCTGAGCACCGAGGGGCTCGGGAGAACCTACCGCTCACGCTTGGACTTCTCCAGCTTGTCCTTCAGCACTAAGACTTCTTTCTGCAGGGCCAGCTGGTGGCTCTCGGAGTCGTGCACCTCCTTCTTCACAGTCTTCACTTCCAGCACGTGCGAGGCTTCGCGTCTGACCAATTCTTCTTCGTAAAATAAGACTTTCTTCTCGAGCTCGGATTTTATTTTGGAAATCTCCTGCTGATGTTCTAAGGAGGTACCTGGTCCGTGGCCACCTTGATTCATCTGAAGGTGAAGGTTAAAGTCAGTCACACACCTCTGCACCCTCTCGAGGGTCACGCTGCTGTCACCCCTCCACATGTGGGCACTTGGGGTGCTGCTTCCTTTGCCCTTCCGATGACAGACACCACCCCGTCCTTCTCATACCCACAGGGCAGATTTTGGGGTGACGGCATCCACCCTGCAGGAGGAACACACCTGACCTGTCAGGGACCCAAGGGGCAGTGTCACACTGACAAGAATGGCCTGCTCACTCCCACACAGTGTCCCCCTGTGGGCCAACTCAGCGCCAGGCACCCTGTGGCACAGGGCTCAGTGACGCCTCTGCTCTCGCAGGGCAGAGGGGGAAAGACGGGAGACAAGCCAGCAGACAAACGACAAGACAACGCAAGGTTACATGATGGAGAAGAGGGTGTGGTGTGACCTGCTTGGCTGGACCAGGTGGCAGCAAGGCCAGTGGAGAGGAGTTGCCCGGGGCCCGGGGACAGGAGGGAGCGGGCAGCCCTGTCCTCTCTGTTCAGACGTGGAGACCAGGCTCAGCGGGGGAAGGACCTGGGGCCTGGAGGCTCCCTGGGACCCGGCTCATACCGCACCCTGCACCCTGCCTCTGGCCACAGACGACTAGCTTGTCTCTTCCTTGCAAGTGGCAGGACATGAGCTTAAGGCACTTCTCCAGAGGGGGCCGTGAACAGAGAGGCGCGGGCTGGGAGAAGGGTGCGGTGTGGGCTCGCAGGGGCACGCTGCAAGCGGCCCGACTGTCCTCTGGGGAGAGAAGGGACCGCGCCTGGCTCCTGCAGGCTCAGGCTGCCACGAAGGCAGGTTCCCGGCCCCCTCCGGCCCCAGTGCATCCGGAGCTGCCTGGCGATGTCGTGTCCCAACGAGCACCACACTTGGGACGAGCGGGCCACGGGAGAGTCAGTGAGGGGCGCCTGTGGCCGCAGGAACAATCAGGCCCCGCCCGGCTCTACCTTGAGGGCCGCCAGCTCACTCTCCATCTGCTTGGAGAGGCTCTCGCTGCGCTCTCGGAGCTGGCGCTCCTTGGAGGCCTCGGCCGCGGCGTCCTCCAGCTGTGCCTCCAGCTGCAACACAGGGGACGCGCTGCTCAGGGACGGCGAGCAGGCTCCTCGCAACACCCCCCCCCCCAAAGAGGCTCCAAGCAAACAAAATCCGGGAGGGTCTCTAATCCCTCTTTCTCAGACTTCATCACAAGTAAAAGACTGAAATACATCTCAGGGCTTGACTGGAATGGCTGGTTAGAAAAAAAAAAAAAAGAAGAAGAGAGAGAGAGAAGCTTAAAATCTAATTCAAACTGATAACTCGATAAGAAACCTCAAGTCAAGACAGTGACTGACGGAAACAAGTACTCTGCCACCTGTGGGACCTGGACTCATTTCAGTGGCTAACGTCAGACCCACGCACACGAAAGCTCTTTGGGGACTCGCTCACCAGCACGGCTGAGGCCTGCCAGACTGAGCTGACGCAGGGCTTGCCGGCCGACACTGGCCCTGGCCCGCCGCCCCACACAGCCAGGTGCGCACGGCCCCGCGAGCCGCCCGCACCCCGTTGGGTGCGTGTGTGCTGCAGCCCCTGGGCATCGACACGCTGCCTGTCTGCTTCCACAGGGAGTTTTAAACGCCACTGGACTCTCCTTCAAGCTCACAGACAGGGGCAGCGGGCTGAGAACTACAAAACAAGTGCCTGCCAGATGGACCCACTGGGCCTCACGTAAAACTCAGGATCTGCTGTGAAGTACCCGATGTGACCAGGGCAGCTGCCTTTTGAAAAGCGTCTGTTACACCCCACAGGAGTCAATCACTGCGGCCCGGGACGCGGCCCGGCTACCTCCTTCCTGAGCTTCTCGGACTTGCGGATCTCCTGCCGCATGGAGTCGACCTTCTGCATGGCGGCCTCCACCTCCTCCTCCTTGTCGCGCAGCTGCCGGGACGCCTTCTGCTTCTGGGAGCGGAGCTCGGCCGCCCGCTCGTTGAGCTCCGCGAGCTCCTGCAGGGCCAGCTTCCGCTGCTGCTGGGCCTCCCTGAGCTCTCTGGCCTGGGACTTCAGGCGCTCCGAAGTGTCGGCCAGTTGCTGAACAAGAAGAACGACAGGGGTCCGACGTCTGTGTAACAAGGGTGTGGGGGACGGCACGTGCTGGCTGCGGACGGCAGCGCAGTCCTGGAGCCCTCCCGCCTCACACGGCCCCGGCGCCAGACACAGCCCGGCCTGCCCGCACAGCCACGTGCAGCTGGGACGTGCACCTGAGCCAAGGTGCTGAGCCGACCCCGCTCCAGAGGAGCCTCCACCTCAGGTGGAGCGGCACCATCACACCCTCGCGCACGGCAGCCAGTCTGGCTCAGCCACGCCTGCCTCTGTGCTGCCCATGGAACAAAGGCAGACAAGGCACGAGTGTGGTCACTCACCTCACTGCTCAGACACAGCGGGACTGGGGGCTGCGAGTTACAGAAACACTTAGGAACCCGACCAGAGTCAAGAACTGCAAACACGTGTGCTAGGCCGCTCTTCACTGGAGTCTGCAGCATGGACACCACTGTCCCCTGCACTGCACTGACCTCGCCACCTGGCAACTGGCCCCTCAACAACCAGGCTGCTTGCCCCAGGGCACCCAATGAACGAGCCTGGAAGCGGCAGGACTGGACCAGGTAGGGGCAGCCCCTGCTGTGGAGAGGGGAGCGCCCGCCCCAGGCCCCAGCCAGCGCAGTGGGGCCTGCTGTGACATGTGGGAGCGGAATGGTCCCCACCTGGGGACCAAATAGACCGAGAGGCCCCGAGGGGCTCAGGAAACACCAAGTGCTGGGACACCAGGGTGGGCCCCCCAACGAGAGACCAGACCACAGCCTAGGCCCCAAGGCCTGAGTGTGCGCCTGAGCGTGCTGGCAGGAGCTCCGCCCTACGTGTGCACACACCGCGGCTGAGCCCACAGTCGGCCACGTCTGACAAATCCAACGGCCTCTTCGGGGGGGACTCTGGGAGGAGAGCACAGAGGCCACTGCGGGGTGGCCCGGACCAGTGGGACAGGCGCACAGCCAGCAGGGCCTGTGACTGGGGCCCCCAAGACACAGGGAAACCCTCTCATCTGGAGCCACCACGTCCCAACCATCCGTGTGGCAGGGTGCAGTGGAGCCTGAGGATGACGGCAGCAGCTTATGTGCCATCTGCCTGGGGCTGACGGTCATCGTGCAGCAGGGCCCTGGGGCCGGGGCTGCCGTGGGAGCCGCAGGCCATACAGCCGGCACACAGCCCTGCCCCCGTGTGCCACGCTGCTGGGCCGAGCCGGGCCCCTACCTTGTGGAGGTCCTCCTTCTCCTGCCGCACCACGCGATGCTGCTTCTCCAGGCCTTTCAGCCGAAGTGCAACGCTCTCATGCTCTGGGTGGACTGTCCCCGGGCCCTCCAGCTGTCGCTCGAGCCTGCTGCAGTCTAAGCAAAGGAGAAGATAGATGGGGCTCCCTCACTCGAAAGGGCCTCGTGCTCTGACTCACCGACAGTGAGCACAAGTGGCCCCTACATACCCATGTCATTTAGAGGCTGTCTGACTGTCCCACGTGGCACTGTGCCACCAGGACACTCACAGGACCCCACTCGGACCCCGTGGGACTGTGCCTCTGGTGGTGCCCACCTCCTGCCTCCTCTTTGCACACCAGCGGAGCTGGCACAGTGCTACCCAGGGTGGCAAGAGCTTTTACTGAAAACCAGGCCCCACCGAGCCTTCACTGGGCCAGGATGGCAGCAGATGCCGCAGCTTACTCACCGAGGGGTCACCTGCAGCATCGAGTCAGGTCAGGGGTCAAGGATTGAAAGTGATTTGGGTCTTTAGGAACCTGATGACCCAGGAACCACAGAGAAGACGGGACCGTGGACCTAGCAGCTAAAATGGTGAGACGCGGGGCCCGGCAGAGAGAGCTCGAGAAAGTAGTTCTGGAAGAGACGTCTGCCAAGATGGGGCAGTAGGTGGAGACACTCTGCCTTCTCGCACAACCAAGTTTAAAAACAACAAAGTTTTAGCAACAAAAACGCAGCCAAACCACAGAAAATTGAACTACACGGAAGCCAACAACAAACTCTTCAGCCAAACCGGTAAGAGGGGCAGAGCTAGCAACAGAGCGGGGTCAGGTGAGAAAGATCCACCGGACCGACCCAGGCACGAGACCCAGGTGGGCAGGCAGCTGTGGACGGATCCTAGGTGTGGAGTAGCAGCGGAGGGACCCACTGAGAGCACAAGGTGGCGGACCCACTGAGAGCTGACCGAGGTCACACATTCACGTGCAGATGAACCGGGAAAGGAGCGAGCAGTGAGACTGAGACAGACCGCGCAGGGCCCAGCGGGGAGAATCAGCAGAGGGGACCGCCATTGTCCCTCTCTGACCCGCCCCCACATACGGCGTCACAAACCAGCAACGTGGGTGGCCCCGCCCTGGTGAACATCTAAGGCTCCGGAGCACCCCTCATACATAACAAGCGAGAACAGAGCAAAACATTATGGCTCAAGAAGAATAGCTCAAAGACCCAGAGCCCATAACTCTAAGCGACGAAGAAATAGCAAAACTTTCAGAGGCACAGTTTAAAACACTGGAGATCAGGATGCTCAGAGAACTGGTTGATTTTAGCCACAAATTAGAGGAACAAATGAAGCCTACACTATGTGAAATGAAGGAAAATGCATAGGGAACCAATAGTGATGGAAAGGAAACTGGGACTCAAATCAATGGAGTGGACCAGAAGGAGGAAAAAATGACCAAACAGAAAAAGATGAAGACACAAGAATTCAAAAAAATGAAGAGAGGCTTAGGAACCTTCAGGACATCTTTAAACGTTCCAACATCCGAATTATAGGGGTACCAGAAGGGGAAGAGGAGCAGCAATAAGTGGAAAACTTATTTGAACAAATAATAAAGGAGAACTTCCCCAATCTGGCAAAGGAAATAGACTTCCAGGAAATCCAGGAAGCTCAGAGAATCCCAAAGAAGTTGGACCGACCCAAGAAGAAACACACCAAGGCACATCATCATTACATTGGCCAAGATTAAAATGAAGGAGAGAATCCTAGAAGCAGGAACAGCTAAGGGGACAGTCACCTACAAAGGAGTTCCCATCAGACTGTCAGCTGATTTCTCAAAAGAGACTTTACAGGCAAGAAGGGGCTGGAAAGAGGTATTCCAAGTCATGAAATCCAAAGGCCTATAACCAAGATTGCTCTATCCAGCAAAGCTTTCATTTAGAATGGAAGGGCAGATAAAGTGCTTCTCAGATAAGATCAAATTCAAGCAGTTCATCATCACCAAGCCCTTATTATATGAAATGTTAAAGGGACTTATCTAAGAAAAAGAAGATAAAAAAGATGAACAGTGAAAAGACAGCAAACTCACAGTTATTAAGAACCACACCTAAAACAAAAGCAAACTAAGAGGACAGCTAGATCAGGAACAGAACCATAGAAATGAAGATCCCGTGGAGGGTTAGCAACAGGGGAATGGGAGGAGGAGAAGGGGGGAGAAGGTACAGAAAATAAGTAGCATAGATGGCAGGTAGAAAATAGATAGGGGGGCAAGAATAGTATGGGAAATATAGAATCTAAAGAACTTGAGACACATGGTCATAAATTAAAGGGGGGAATGGTGGGGGAGGGGTGTGCAGGTGGAAGGGAATGAAGGAGGGAAATAGAACAACTGTAATGGCACAATCAATAAAATATATTTTTAAAAAAAAGGAAGCAGTTCCGGCACCTCTGTCTCAGAGCTACAGAGAGGAGCGCGCAGCCCGGGGGGCCCACCCACCGGAAACTGACTCTAGCTGCGGCTGTAACACTGTATTGGAGCTAGGCTTCCAGAGAATGACTCTAAAGAAACCTACGAAGCCCCAGAATTCCTCCCAGGTCTGCTAAAGACCTGGTGGTCTTTTAAAATAGTGGTCTTACCACTTTTTTCTGCTTTTGCTTCTTTTATGGAAAGGATTCTAAAATTTTCTTCCCAGAGATTAACTCCCTCTGAGAAAAGACAGCAAGCAAACTTTAAGATGTACCTGAAATTTTATTCTTCAATCGCTCGATTTCCTCATTTAGCTTTTTGATTTCTTTATCTCGGGCTGACCCGCCCAGAGTCCGTGCTGAGCCGTGGAGGGACTGGACGGTCTGGGTAGACTCTGCGGGGCGGGGGAGAGACGCTTGAGCAGTGCCGGCCGGCGCGGGCGCCTGAGGAGGGGGGGTCGCCCCACTCACCCTGCAGCTTCCTGCTGAGCTCCAGCTTCTCCTGCTCCAGCCTGCGGATCCTCCGCTCGTAGGCCTCCGCCTGCAGGCTGCTCTCCAGGTCGCGCTGCACGCCCTCGTCTCTGGCCAGCACGCTGGGTGGCAGCGTGCCCTTCAGAGAGCCCCGGTCAGAGAGGCAGCTGCAAGCACAGCACAGGGTGTCTAACCTGAGTACGGCCACCTGGGCAGGGCATTCAAAGACTTCCCAGGGAAAACTAAATGTCTTTAAACTGGCAAACACAAACAGCTGTGAAAGATTTCATTGTCTACAGAGCCAAACTCAGGCGGGAACCTTCCCGAAGGCAGTGGCGGGGAGACAATGAGGAGGACACGCCCTCTCACTATGTGTCCTCAGAGCTGGTCGGAGACGGGGAAGCGCCAGGCCTGCACCAGCGCCCACAGGACAGTTAGTGTGGCCAGCAGGGGCTCCATGCAAGCAGTGGGGCCTGCAAGGCCTCACCGGACGGCTTCCTGGTTCTGCCACCAATGGGGAAAAGTTCCTTCCAGCCCTCTGGGGCTCGTCAACCCTGTGAACCAAGGGTCCCTTCCATTCCCATGCCCTGACCAGCACCGCAAAGCTAGTCACCATTGACCAGCCAGCAACAGACCTGCTGCGAGCAGGACCACGGTGAAGGTGAAGGTGAAGGCACTCTGGCTCAGAGCTTCACTCCTGGACTGTCCCACCCGTGACTTAGCTCCCTGTTCAGCGTGACAGTGAGAGCAGGGGGATGCCTGAGCCCTGCACTAAATGCCACAGGCACTGGCACATGGCAGCGCTGACGGGAGGGCCTGGCAGGGTTTCTCAAGGGCAGCCTAGGTGTTGGGCGTGCCCATTCTACGGGGTCTGCTCCAGGAGAAGGTACCTGGGCCTGACCCACCAAACCGGCGCCAGGGACCCGCAGGCAGGACCAGCGCCTAGTAGGCTGGTGTGCACCTGGAAGGTCACTAGCTTCTGCCCGTAGGACAGACACAAAGGCAGCACACCCTCCACTCCTGGTGCATCTCCTAGGCACTCCTGTCAGAGCAGTCCCTGCTGCGGAGGATGCTGGGAGCCAGGTGCTGGCTCCTTCCTGCAGGCACAGGGCAGCTTCATTCATGTTACCCACCCTTCATCCTGACCCTCTCCTCCTGCCCCAGCGTCCCTCGTGAGATGAGGCAGATGGGACCCTGAGGGGCCCATTCGAGATACAAACACGGGTGGCGCCAGCGCTCTCGGGCCCCTGCTCTCAGCGCTGCAGGCTCCAGGCTCCGGCCCCAGCCACAGAGGCCAGAGCTCTGGGCCCTGGGTGCCAGCAGAGCACCCGAAGGAAGGAAGGGCAGGCGGGGCTGGGTCAGGATCGGCAATGCACAGCCTTCGGCCACCTGCCCCCCCCAAGAGCCAGGAGAGGTTCCCACTGTTACAGGACAAAGAACATACAACAGAGACCACAACGCCTAACTTCTTATCAGGCTCTTCACGAAAAGTCTGGCCCTGCGGTGTCATTTTGGTTTAGAAGATAACACTCCAACCAACCCCGAGGCACCCACCTGGTCACTGGGTGTGTTCCCTGGAAAGACAAACACACCCCCACCGCCCAGCGCTCCGGCCACGCACTGTGTAGAAGCAGAACCTCAAACTGTCCCCAGGCTGGGGAAGGCTCTACCTCGGGAATGGAAGGACTAGACGTACCTTTCCGTGGTGAACGTGAAACCAATGAACGGCAGATGTAACCCGGAAAAGCCTGTGTGAGACCCGGGAGGCAGCATCTCCTGCAGGAGAGCACAGACAAGACAGTGAGAGCACGGTGAGGCCGCGGGAACGCGACGATGAAGGTGAGGGTGCACAGGGGATGGCAGCGTCGCCTGCAGGGAGCTTGGTGCCGGCAGACTCGTCCCGCCCCCCCTCCCCACCCCCTGCTTCTGACTCCGGCACACTAGTTAGGAGAGCGAAAACACAGCTTTGACAGTGATACTGGTGCAGGCCAAACTGGGAGCAGGCCAGGCGTCTCCACACCTTTTAAAGCCACAGCGTCTGTGCTCAATGGGATCCAACGCAGCGGGGGCAAGTGCTGCCCCCAGCGACCAGGGCCAGGGGCCGAGTGAGCTCTGGAGCCCACAGGCAGACTGTTTTAGATGACTATTAGTTACAACAATAGTTTCCAGCTTGATAATCCTTCCTCCTTAGAAATAAAACCAAAGTGATCTGGGAAATTTCAGTGTGGAAATGAGTCTCTCTGGAGCCCGGAAAAAGCTCTCCTGGCAAAAAGCTCCGGCTTGTGTCCCACGGACTAGCGCTGAGCTCCTCCTTCAGTAAGTCACGAACAGTCGAACTTCCCTTCTCACACGCATCCTCAGTTACTGTGTCCCCAAACCAGGCCTGGGGACAGGTCAGAGGTCAAACGGTCGGGTCTGCCAAGGCCGAAACGACTTCACAGTGTGGGACACGGGCCTGCCCCACCAGCTCACACCCTGGACGGGCGCCAGGGCCAGGACCAGCCTGGACACACGGGCTCTGCGTGGTGGCAGCCGACTGCCACCACACGGGAAGCACACACCCGGGGCAGGGAGACCGGACGGCCTGCTGGTGCAGGGACGTGGGAATTGGACAGGGAGCTGAGAGGCTCCTCCCTGGGGCTTTAAACCTACGAGTGGTAACAGGCCTGCGGTGACACTCAGAAATGACAGTGCAGGTGACACTGCTTTGAAAACTCACAAAGTGCCATAAAGACAAAAGTATTTCTGATGAATTCTAAGACAAAACAGCTTTTTTACTTATTTTTCCTTAAACTGTAACCCATTATTTAAAAAAGGGACACTGTCCTGACTGGTGTGGGACAGTCGGCTGGGCATCGTCCTGCAGACCAAAAGGTCTCTGGTTCAGTTTCTGGTCAGGGCACAGGCTTGGGTTGCAGGTTCAGCCCCCAGTAAGGGGAGGGCGAGAGGCAACTGATGGATGTTTCTCTCTCTCTTCCTCCCTCCCTTCCCCTCTCTAAAAGTAAATCAGTAAAATCTTTTTAAAAAGGGACATTAAAGACCCAGCTAGAAGGTGCATTTTCTTGAGACCATCGCCTGACCCCTGCACATCGGTGCAGCTGTAGAACGCACTGCCGCTCAGCAACCCCCCGAGCCCGGCGCTGCTGAGCGAGCCCACTTACCACGTTCCTCAGCACGTCGTCGTCCACGTCGAAGTTGGACGTGTCGGAGGGGCTGCTCACGTCCGGGATGTAGGGTGCCTCCAGGTTCCGGATGTTCTCCCAGTTCAGCCCTTGGAAGAAGGCATGCTTCTTGAAGTCCTCGATGCCGTTCTGCCCAAGCCGGTGCTCCCTGCTGCAGATCAGCCTCTGCATGAGGTCCTTCGCCTCCTCAGACACATCAGTGACATGGGACGGGAACTGGAATCGCTCCTGGGGGGAGGGGGCGGTCAGCGGACCGAGTGGGAACAGCCCCAGAGCCTGAGCTACCCGAACCCAACCCTTGGGAGAGAACCTCACACTTGCCAATCGGGTGGCTGCTGTCACTCACAGCGGACGGGTCAGCCCCCACCACCCCCCACCCCAACACCCCAGATGAAGACGCAATTGACGTTCGCCTCTCCAGGAGACAAGGGGTGCCGACGACACTTGGGCGGGGACAGGAACCACACCCACGGCAATCCTACTCGTGGACATTTATGCCGGAGGAACAGCCACCAGGGGAAGCACGTGTCCCCTGACTCAGACATCTGCCAGCTACCCAGGTGCCCTCGAAACTTGGAACAAAACTCGGAACTCGGCTTGTGAAGACAGATGTGGGACAAAGAAAGGCCATCTCTGTGCGCCAAGTACAAAGTCCACAACAACGCAGCAGCAGAAACCCCGTCCTGCGCCAGGCGGTGCCATTTATCCGAATGCACACGCCCCCACCCCAGCCTAAGTGCCCAAGGGCCACACAGCACAGTGGTCAGGCCACCTCCCCAGGTGGCTGCAAAGACTAAATGCCCACGGGCACCGAGGGGACAGAGCAGGCCCCGGGGGCTCTCCACCTACTGTGTGCACACTGCCTGCAAGGCCCATGGGTTTACAGTGCATGTTAATTTACAAATAAAAGATTTACTTCTACTTTGGAACACGTGTCTGAGGGGCACAACCTGCTCTGATGTGCAGCAGGAGGAAGACAACCCCCCACGTTAGTGCTGATCCCTCCCAGGCAGCAGGGCGCAGCCCAGACGAGCACACGGTGCTGTTTCCAAGGGGAGTGTTTATGTGTGTGTGTGTGCGTGTCTGTGTACATGAGTGTGAATACCTGCGAGTGCATCACAGTGTACACGTGGGAGTTCAGGAGTATGTACCTTCGTGTGTGAGCATGAATACCTGTACGTGTGTGTACAAGAGTGTGTGTGTGGATGTATGAGAGTGTGTACAAGTGTGTGAGAGACAGAGAGCTGCGTACGGGTGGGGCAGAAGGTCAAACCAGCATTAGAAAAGAAGTATTTGAGCAAAGACCACAGAGAAACAACCAGGGGACAAAAGCATTAGAAGAGGAAGCGACAAAGGACCAGCCAGCACAGGAGAGTGGGGCGGGCGACAGCCAGGAACAGGGAAAGGGAGAGAGGCAGAGAAGTGGGACCGCCAAGGGACGCTGGGCGGCAGTTGCTGACCACGGCTCTCTGGGACACCGACTGAGACCAGACTGACGGGGCTGGGTGACCAACCCAGACCCACGGCCCACGGCCCCCAGGCCGCCCTGGGCCGGCTCAGGAGAGGCCGCCCATGTGTGCCACCTCCGCCAAGGCCAAGTCTGCTGCAGGCACTCAGACCTGACAGACACCATCACCCTGCACCACAAAGTGGGACCGTCCGCAAAGCCCCACCGGCACCCCCTGGGGCACAGCCGCTCCCAAATCTCCCCCCTGCTCTCCAGGGCCACGAGCCTGCTCCAGCCCCAGCCCTGCTTCCCCAGGACTCCACCAGCTTCCGAGCTAAGCCCCACTCTCGACACTGGCACCAACGGGCTGGTCCGCCACGGCACTGGCGTACCTCGTGGTTCATGATCTTGCCATAGGTCTCCACGAGCGACTCAGCGTAGAACGGCGTCTCTCCATAGAGCATCTCGTACATGCAGACGCCCAGCGACCACCAGTCACACTCGGGGCCGTACTTGCCCATGCCGTCCTCCATGGCCTGCAGGATCTCTGGCGAGATGTAGTCAGGTGTGCCCACGGCCACGGACGACTGGACCTTGGGGGAGAGGGCGTGCTGAAGGGAAGCCTGGGGCATCATTAACATCAAGCAGCTCACGCGATGGTGACACACAGCCTAGCGATCCAAAGTTCAGTGTGTGTCAGTGTCCCTGCGCACTGCGCGCTGGGCAGTCTCCCAACGCCCGCAGCCACCACGGCCAGATGGCATCGCCGTCCCCCAAGGGGGCACCGTTTCCCACTTGCTCCATCGCCACCCAGGGTGGCTGGGGACCAGGCACGCCCAGGCCAGCCCTGCTCCGACCTGCATGTGCAGAGACCCTGGGCGCTGGTGAAGGAGGCTCTGCCCGGCAGCCCGTCTCACAGCCCGCCCTCCGGTCTGCCCAGCGGACGCCTGCACGCAGGTCCAGGGGCAGCTGGGTGCTGACGCTTCCCCAGACAGGAGACTCCATGGCTGAGCCCGAGAGGGAAGGGACGGTTGCTCAGCCAGGAGTGGAATGGGCCCGGATGTGGTGACGCCTCGGTAAGCAGCAAGGGCAGCAGCCACCACGGGCAGAGCAGGGCCTGCAAGTTGGGGAGGCGCGGATTCGGAAGGACCAAGGTCTCCCTCGGGTCACGTCTGAGAGCCCAGGAGAAAAAGCAGCGCTCGGGGCAGTCAGTCAGTCAGCAGGGAGTTCTGCCTCCGACATGTGTCAGGGCCACTTCTCCACACCTGGGGCCCGCGGGGCCCGACATGGGCAGCGGAGGACTGGGCACCAGGGGTCACCTGGGGCACATGTGCAGGACCGTTAGGAACCAGGGGGTCTGGCTTTGAGGAGAGAAAGTGAGTAAATCTCTCTGTTTCTCTTAAAACACTGTCATCTGACGGTCGCACGCCGAGGCCTAAACAGGCGGCAGAACCGGAAGGACAGCCTGGCCCAGACCGGAGGCCCCTCAGCCTGCACCCAGGGCAGATGCCACGTCCCGGGGCTCGGCGCTGGACAGTGGCCACAGGACGCTGGACGGTGGCCACAGGAAGGCACGCAGACAGGGCCCCGAGCACGGGCACCCCGGCCATGGCCTGACGGCCCCCCGCTCAGCAGCAGGGTGGGCTGGTCTGTGGAGAGCTGGCACCCAGGACCCCACCTCCAGGCCAACTGCCCACGGGGAGAAGCCGACTGGCAGGAAGTCCTCGATCCCCAGACAGGAATGTGAGTCCCGCTGGCATCAGTCCCACTCGAGGACCCGAAAGGGGCGCTTTAAGAAGCACCTGGAGCTGCCTCTCGGTGCAGGGCTGGCCCGCCTTCTGCTGCCCGGAGGGGGGGGGGGTGCACAAAGCCACCTTCAGAAGGCGCCTGGTAACTTCCGTAAACGTAAACTCCTCACCAGGTTTGTCTCGATTCACGTTAGTAAAGTGGGTTTCTTAACTTTACCTGAAATGTTCGGCCTGTTCTAATTGCAAGCAGACCCCGAAACCAAGCAGAAAGCCTAAAAATACCTACAGTTCCATCGTCGTTCATCTTCAAGCAGGACCCAAAGTCGGCCAGGCGGATGTGGCCGTTCGCGTCCAGGAGGACGTTGTCAGGTTTGATGTCCCTGCCGGCAGAACGAGTGTGCGCGTCACCCATCCGCAGGCACTGCGCCGGCCGAAGCCCCAACCGGCAGCGAGGCCGTGGCTGCAGCGAGTGGGTAGCGCTCCCTGCTCAGCGCGCTCAGGCGTGGCTGCCAGTCGTCACCAAGCCCCACCCCTGTGCTCCCCGTGCCACCGCACAGCCACGCGCCCCCACCACAAAGGAGCAGGAGGAACAGAGACAAGGTAAAGGGTGGGTCAGGTGGAGAGGTTAGCCAGGCCCCTGCCACAACCAACCCACCAGGGGCCCCAACCTGCACTTCACGGACAAAGACAGGGGCAGCTGGGTGGCCTGCCCAGGGACAGGGCAGCTGGTAGAGGGCGGCGGACGCGCCCTGCCTCCCAACCCCTGCTGTTCTGTGCACCTGCAGGCGCAGGCAGGGAGGACTCTGAGCACCAGCCGGCTCCCCGGCAGCCAGCTCCCCTGACTGGACAGCGTGAAAAGGGAACCTGAGCTTTGAAAGCAAAGGATGGTGTCCCCGCAAGGAGCACAAGCATGTCCCCAGCAGCATGACTCCCACAAGCTAAGTGTGGACTCCAGGGCCATCCCCACACGGTGGAAGGGGCAGGGGCCGCTCCTCCCAATGCTGTGAGCCTCACCAACAAACCAGAGCCAAGGGCCGCATCCCACTCGGAAGAAGCAGCCTGACATGGCCCCCGGCGCCCCACCCCCTGCAAGCCCAGCGCCCTTCTGTGAACATCTGTGGGTGCTCGAAGCCACAGGCCCTACGGGGTCGGCCTGACGAGGGACAGAGAGGGGGGGCACCGGGCGGGGGCCCCACGAGGCTGAGGTGTGCAGGGGAGGGGGTGGGCCAGCGTCTGCTCCACATCAGGACCGGGGGCGGCTCGGACAAGCATGTGGTCTCTCGTGGCGGCAGTCGGGCTGCCACCGGCAGGTGCTGGACTTCACAGGTGCTGGGTGAGCGGCTGGCACGAAACCGTGCAGAGCGAGCACTGGGTGCACCTCTCGGAGCAGGCCGGCCCGGGCGCAGCCCGTGGAGTGGGACGGACAGCGGTTACCTGTGCACGTAGTGGAGCTGGTGGATGGAGTCGATGGCCAGCACCATCTCCCCGATGTAGAACCGCGCCATGTCTTCCGGAAGCCTGTCCTCGAACTTGCTGAGCAGGGTGAGCAGGTCACCGCCCACGTAGTAGTCCATCACCAAGTACTACAGACGGGGAGGGGGGAACAGCATCCGGTCACCGCCTCACCTGCCCACCCAAGGCCGACGTCTGCCTGGGCGCTGCCGAGCCTCAGGGACCGTGGGAGGAAAGGCTGGTGGTCCAGCCGCGGGGCCCGCCTTCCTTTGTGCGGCTGCTTCCCAAGAGATGGACGCTCTCTCTGAGCAGTGACTCCTCAGTGGGGAAGAACCGCCACTGCCCTGACGAACAGCTGCGTGATGTTTACTGGAACCTGTAACAGCCACCATTCCCCGAGCACCTGGCACCTCCCTTCAGGCCCATGACTCCGCCCAGAACCCGGTCACCATTGACCATCCCCCCCTTCCTCCCCACTCCACAAGGCAGGAGCGAGGCTCAAGGTCACCCAGCCAGAGGGACGCAGCGAGGAACTGAATGCACAAGGTGCCCACCATGACGTTGTCGTGTCTCCTGAAAACGAGGCACGGGCCCCGCGCTCACACGGCTTTGCCGGCAGCCCCTCCCCCGGCCTCAGCCCCTCCCTCCGGGGCTCACCACCCCCCCTCTCTGCCAGGCCCGGGGGCAGCCTCAGGCAGGCCTCTCTGCCACCTGCAGGGTGACTCGCATGCAGGGACGTGACCACAAGCGAGGCAGAGCTGAGCACAGGCCTGTGGAGCCGCAGGTACGGAACCAGCAGCAGGTGGACCGCTGTGCGGAGGCGAGGCCTGAGTGAGATGGAGGGACGGGTGCACAGAGGCAAGAGGAGAACGACCGGCCGCTGTGGGAATGGGAAATGGTGGCTACGGCCGGAGCACGACCAGGGCGGAGAGCGAGAGGCCGTGGCAGGGAGCTGAGACGGGACTGGTTGGTGCCACGCGGTGTCTTGACGCTGCCCTGTGAGGAGGGCACCAGAGGGGTTGGAGGCGGGTCGTGACCCGGGCGGCGGCGGACAGAGGAAGGCACAGGAGAACACTGCAGACGCAGGAGGAGGAGCCCACGGCCCGTTACGGATGCCCACAGGGTGAGGGGGGCCCAGGGGGATAAAGAGCCAGGGTCTTCGGCCCCCAAAGAAAGCGGCAGGAAGGGGCCAGGCACCATGTCCAGACAAGCCCCGCGGTCCCCACGTCTACCCACACACCTGAAACGGACACCGCAGGCCCGCTGCACCCCCGCCCCGCGCGGCTGACGGGGGCTGGAACGGAGCTGCGAGGAAAGTGAGGTGGGAGGGTGCGCGCGGCCGACGGGGAGACCCTCACGCTGGGCAAACACCCGACCAGTGAGCTCCGCGGCCACGCCCCACAGGAGCTGTCGGAGAGACACCGGGTCTGCGGGTGGCCCGGGAGCCTGCCACCGGACGTGTGTCCATACAGCTCGGGGTGCCAGCTGTCCAGGCCTGCCTGTCCCCATCGGTCACCCCACAGGGTGGCAACCTGCTGTGAGGCCACAGCGGCAGGGACCGCTGGTGGGGTCAGGGAGAGCGGCCGGGCTGGGCCTGCGGACCGCAGAGGCGGGGCCGGCTCCGCGTCCAGGTGCTGAAAGGCCCCGGGCCCGCGCCCCCCTCCTCTGCCCAGTTCCCACTGGGGCTCTAACTGGGCAGCTCCACACTCACGGGGACGGCCTCTGGGCTGCAGCCCTGACTGGCCCGGCCGAGCGCCATGCCAAACACTGCAGAGACCACAGGCCATGCTGACTTCGGGAAAAATAGCACAGACAAAAAAACATCGTTTCCCCTCGTGAGATGCGTGTTGCCTGGTGTGCCTTAGAAACCTCGTTCAAAACAGGAAGCGAACAGGAGACAGTCCATCGGAGCAGCCACACTGGTCGTGGAAGCCGGAAGTTACGTGGAGACGGCCCCGAGCACCAGGCCTGTGTGGGGCGCACTGCTGGGCCGCGCCCCCTGCCCCAGACACCCTTTCTGTGCAGCGAGGAAGTCAGGGTGCCTGACTCATTGGCCACCACCGAGAAGGCCCACAGGCCGGCACTCCTTCAGCAGAAGCTGCCCTTCCATCAAAACAAGAATGAACATTTTCAATTCTACGTAAAAGTCAGACAAACCGTTCTGCCTAACCACGGTCATCTGAACCTACAGCATCTCTTGGCCCTCGAGAGTAAACAACGGAGCCCGCACTGTGCCGCGCGTGGTGAACAGACTTGACCGAGAATGCACATCAGTCATCACAGAGAGAACACAGCTTAAGTCCCTGACCTGAGGCTGCAGTGACCCTCCAAGTGGCCACTGCCAGCCATGCACTAGACAGAGGGGCAAGGCTGAGACCCCTGTGCACCCGGACCTCCCCAGTGCGGACGTTTTTTGGGTTCAGGCAAAGCTGTGGGGTCGGCTTCAGAGTTAAAATGCTGGCAGAGCAACGGTGCCTCTGTCAGAGCACGAGCGAAGGCCGGTCCCTCCTCTGCCACCTCACTGGGGTCCACACTCACCCTGCGCGCTCGTGTGAGTCAGTGCCGACGAGTGAGCGCGGACAGTGAGCCCCACCTCGAGTCGGAAGGGTAACCGACGACAGAAACCAACAGTCACCCGAAACTGTGCCGGGAAGCTCCCAGGGGCCAGCGTGTCCCCTGGGGAGGACTGGACACAGCACAGGGACGCACACACCCACACGGTGGACACGCCTGCAACGTTTTCACTCCCCACAGCCATTTCCCACTCTTATTCAAAACAGAAAAAGTTGACGCCCCCCCCCCAATTTATTTAAAGGTAATGAACCCAGAGAACCAAGCGACTGGGGATCCATCCAGTGAGGAGAACGCCACGGTCCGCTCTGGAAGACGCTGCGGACAGCAGCGCGGTCCGAGCTGAGCCCACGTACCAGGTAGTTCTCGTCCTGGAAGGCGTAGTGCAGGGTGGTGATCCACTGGCAGTCTCCGTTCACCAGCACGTCGCGCTCCTCCCGGAAACAGGCCGTCTGCAAGGCAGTGGGGGAAGCCGCTCATCCCTCCGTGCCCGCCCCGCAGGGCGCCCTCTTCAGTAGAGGGCCCTCTGCCCTCTCCCAGAGCCAGACACCCATCTTCTCCCCGGGCGCTGCGGTCAGCAACTGCTTCCCGATAGAGCCCCTCCCACCCAGCATCACACGACTTCTCTACACCAGGTCGGCCACCGGGGGAGGCCTGGGCTGCGGCCGCCCCGGGTGTCTGCCTGTCACAGACCCTGCAGTTCAGCAGCCACACGGCTGGCGGGATGGGCACACACCTGCTTACTCACCCGGGGGGGGTTACTTTTAAGAGGCGTGGTTTATCTGCAGGACACCGGTGCACACATCTTAACAGGACCCCACTACGAGGACCCACGGCCTAGAGCGCACGGGCCAAGGCTGACCATCAGACGGCTGTGGTCTGTGTTCACTGAGCACTTCAGTGCACGGGTGGCGCCTGAATTTAAAAGTGACCGGGAGCAAGGACGGGGAGACAAGGGAGCCCTCACACACGTCAGCGGCACTGCAAATCAGTGCAGCCACTGTGGAAACCAGCACAGCCCTCAAAAAATTAGAAATAGAGCTGCCATATGACTCAGCAATCGCACTTCTCAGTATTTACCCAAAACACCAAAAAACATTACTTCGAGACAGTGTGTGCGCACCAGTGCCCATGCAGTGCTGTTTACAGCAGCGGAAACAGGGGGACAACTCAGCGCCCATCAGCACACAGAGAGGGAAAGGCAGTGTGGCCTGTGTACAAGACGGAACGTCACTTGGCCACAGGGAAGAGTGTGAGCCTGCCACTCACATGGGCTCCGGAAGGCATCTGCTCAGCGCAGCCGGTCATATGGCAGAGGACAAATACCGTACGACCTCACTTGCACATGACTCAACAAAACAGAAGTGCACCCACAGGGACAGGGAACAGGCAGACGGTGCCGGAGGGGAGGCGGAGCGCAGGCGACGGGGGAAGCAGTCCAGCGGGTGGTCACCTGGAGTGGGCGGCGCGCCCAGGGGAGCAGCAAAGGGCGCTTTTAAAAAATTAAAGTAACCTGGCCTTTGGACGATGAAAACAAAACATCCTCCTCACCAAGTATCTCACAGAAGTCTCGCACCCCCCAGATGTGAAACGTGGGAGCACAGAAGCACCCCAATGGGGACCCCGAGTGCAGGGCACCGGGCAACGTGCTACCCGCTCTCCCGTCTGAGTCTCACCACGGCCTTTGGATTTGCTGCTTCTGTAGGTTTTTCTGCTCTGAGCATCTTTCAAAAAGGAAGGACTGAGGTGGGTGTGTCCCGACTCAGGGATCAGAAGGAGAGACAGCAATGGCAGGGCAGGGGCCCCGCAGGCCTCGAGGGCCGGCCCAGCCCCGACAGTCCCGGGGACGCTCCCGGTGCGTCCCCAGCACCTGCCTATCCGCATGCAGAGTGAAGCCATTTCTGAACTGGGGTGTGGCATGGTGGCTCACACAGGAAGCACACCCATTATTCAGCAGGTTTTTCTTTAACAGCTTTCACTATTTTTTTCTCATCACCAGAAAAGCTGAACTAAAAGCCAGCCTGGTCAACCAGCTGTGACCTCCCACGGCTCCACGCCTCTCCCGTCACCCTGCCCACCTCTTCTCTCGTGTCACTGGGTCTAACTGCAACCGGCAGTGTGGCCCTGACCTGGGCGTGCTCACCCTGGTAAGGAGAAGCTGCCTCTCCCTACCCTTGGGACTGCCACGGCTTTTTTTTTTTTCCTTGAGAGAGAGAGGAAGGGGGAGGATAAAGAGGGAGAGAAACATTGATGGGGATGTGAGGTTGCTTCTTGCACGCCCCCTACTGGGGACCTGGCTGGAAACCCAGGCACGTGCCCTGACTGGGAATCAAACTGGCAACCCTTCGCTTCACAGGCCAGCGCTCAGTCCACTGAGCCACAACGGCCAGCTGTCAGAACTTTTAAAACCGAAACACACACAGATGCTTCAGAGGTTAACCTAACAAGATCTATCAAACACGCTTGGCTGTCTCCTTTCACTTGCTCCTGTAAAAACGGGGCCTGGAATGGCACCTGACCCTCCTCCTTCCCTCCCCCAAACATCCACGCCACAGCGGCCCCCCTTCTGCCCTCGGAACACTGAGTCCTCGCAGATGCCCCTGCATTTGCCCAAGTGCCCGTGGCAATGTGAGGAGAAACGCTGGGCCGAGGCCGCGGGAGGTGGGGGTGCGGCTTGAGGATGGAGGAGGCTGAGGGTGGCTTGGATGAGACAGAAGGAGCTGGGCTGAGGCAGAGCCGTGGGCCACCAGACCTCTGAGCCCAGGCAACCACAAAACCGTCCCACACGCAGTCAGCCGACCTGCCTCACTGGGCACCCGGTGGGTGTGAGACCCGGAGCAGGAGCCACAGCAGGGGCAGGAGGGGCTTGGGGGTGGAGCAGCCCTCCTGGTTCAGACGCGGTGGGCGTGAGGCCCGCTGTGGGACACTGATGGGTGGGATGCTGGGGTGAGAGTGCCCACCCAGAACATTGTGACAACCTGAAGCTCAGGGGAGCGCTCCCACTGAGGGGCTCGCACAGCCATCTGCCCGGGGCAGGAGCTACCGTGGGCAGATGAGAACTCCAGACCAAAAGAGGGACAGGCCAACTCAAGTCACAGAGGGTCTCGAGGGAAAGGATGAGAGACCGGAAACCAAAGGAGGAAATTCCAAAAGCAGGGGTGGCCGATTCCAGAGGGAGAACCGGGTAACACCGTGTGCTAAGGGCGTGCTGGTGGGGAGTGGCCCGAGAGGACAAGGGCAGGGCAGAAAGGGCAAGCCCGGTGGTGACCTGGCAGCACAGCCTGGGAAGGAAGGCCTCTTGGCTCTGAGGCGGTGGAGGAACTTTGGGGGGAGGGAGTGGGTGGGGACGGAGACCGAAGCCAAGGCAGGGGTGAGTCTGCGGACGCCCGGAGCGAAGGCCTGGGCTCAGCGCAGCCTCGCCAGCCTCAGCAGGGGCCAAGCTCGGGGTGGGCAGAGGGCGCTAGGCAAGAGCAGCTGCCACAGGGGCGCACACGGAGCAAGACGGGATCAGACTGCCAAGCAGCAGTCACCCGCTGTCATTCACAGTCTTCACTGCGCCTCTAGGAGGGCACACAAGGTCGTTCCCATCCCTCAGTGGGCCCCACCCCCAATCACTCCCTTTCCACACGCAGCAGCACTGAGACACGCCTGACATTTCCGTGAAGCTTCGCTCTGTCCTCGTGGCAAACGCCACTCTGGCCCACAGACCGGGACGGGGGTCTCTCAGGTGGGACATGGGGACATGCGTGCCCACCAAGGCAGAGAAGCAGCCGCAGCAGCGGCTGGCACCCCGAGCGCAGAGAGCAGCTCCTGCCCGGGGAGGCCCAGCTCACGCGACGGTGGGTCTCGCCCCCATCACGCTCACCTCCGCCCTTTTAAGCATCTCCCACTTGTTGAGGATTTTCATGGCGTAAATTCGTTCTGTGTTCTTCATTTTGACGACAGCGACCTGGAATACAAACGGAGTTTCAGAAAAGCACACTATCATGAAACTACACTGAAATCTTGCCTGGAAACCCTAGAAAATGAGCTGTAAGGAAACTCAAGTTTTCATGTAAATGAGGAATTGCCCGTAAAGTATCAAAACTTGATTTTAGCCACACAACAGCTTGAATGATCACACCTGCTCAGGTGAAAAAAGAAACTTCGGTGCTGAGCACTGGGTGTGTAGGGCGCAATGAACATGCTCCGAATGAAGTCAGGCACAGAGTGCTCAGCATGCTGGCTGCCAGCCATACTCTTCACAGTACGACTCACACACCACCTCTTCCAGGAAGTCCTCTTGGACTGCCTGGTCCCTACTAAATCTTGAATCACCACCAACACCAGATGTGACGTTTGCACCATCACGAGTGCTCTCTACCTTACGTGAACCTATCATTCCACGGCCTAAGTCTCCACCACGAAACTCTAAGCTACACATTGGCAGTGACAGTAACTTCTGTGAGAGGAACAGACCCTTCTGCTGCCAGCGGCAGGCGGCCACACACCACGCACGAAACAGGGTTCCTCAGCGACCTGCCACCTCGCTTTCTGAACAGTGCATAGCACGCAGTGATGCCATGAGGGTCCCCACAGCACACCTAGGGCGCCGGCACATGCCGAGAACCACACTGAGCGATGTGTCCGCACGCTCTCCGCTCATCCTCAGCACGACGCTCGCCAGGGGCTGTGGTTAGCACCTGGCGTGCAGACGTGAACTCTGAGCTCGGAAGGGTTCGGGCGAGGCCATCTCACCCTCGGGCACGTGCTTGTGCAAACGACATCACAGTGACAGCCACGCCAAAGCCAATCTTCCTGCACTGGGCGTGGAGTCTGCAAGCAGCATGTCCTGCTAGGACCCCCGGCCTGTCATTCGAAAACAGTGGCTCCATCAGAACCGTATGTGAAGGGCACTTCAGGTCCCCACACCACTGAAGAGTGTCCTCATTTCTGTGATCTGCTTGGTGCCATTGAAAACAGAGAGGCTGAAGCTGGGCCCATTTCAGGTAGGGGATGACGAGAACATCCGGGAAAGGCCACGGGGCATGAGTCAGGTTCCACAGAGTCCAAGACCCTAGCTCTGGAAGGGAAACCAGTGAGTACGCAGGGTCCCCACACTGGTCCAGGGAGTGGGTGAGGAGTGCTGGTGCCCAGAGCCCAGGGCGGGTTGACTGTCGAAGTGGGACAGGGGCGCAGAGAAGGTGGTAAAGCCTGAGGGAGAAGCAGGGAGGGAGAAGCGGGGGGCTCCTGCAGAGACAGGGCAGGACGTGCTTCTGCTGACCTGGAGGGACGCGGAGGCGACCACTCTCACCTCCTCGGGGACTCGACAGCCGAGTCTTGCACTGGCGCTCCGGAAGAGGGGAGCAGGGAAAGAGACTGCCCACCACCAGGCACAGCAGGGGCCCCCTCTCCTCCAGAAGGCGCCTCCCCATGGCCCCTGAACACTGCAGCCTGGGTGCTGTGACAGCCAGACCCAGAGCCTGGCACAGTGCCTGGGGCCAGGGTGCTGCCGGCCTCAGTGTGCCCTGACCCGACTCAGCTGCGATCCCAACAGGCTTTCTCTTTCTTCTCACTAAGCCACGACAAAGCCACACCTTCCTCAGAGAGCTGAGGCTTCTTCCTTCAGACCAAGTTGCCTAGTGGCTGATGGGGCCAATGGGAGGAGGGGACTTTCCAGGGGGCAGAAGGCACCACTTCCATCGGGGCGCTGGTTGCACAGGTGTGAGCATCTACCGTAATTCAGAACGTCCCCGCAGATCTGGCGAGTCATGTGTAACCGAACTTTAGTGTTAACATGACAACAGAAACTGGAAGGAGAGCGCCCTGCGCAAGGGCCACCGCCAGCGGCGCCTGGGGTGAGGACGTGTGCCCACACCGCGTGCACCCTGGCAGGCCGCCTGCTTCTGACCTGGGAAGGTGCACTCCGAGCGGGCACGACTCCTGGCAGCTGCCACAGATAATGAGAACCACCGTGATTATACCCTCTGTGTATCTTAAAGAGAACTTTTAATTAACAAATGGGTTTTTAAAAACAGCCCTGGCTGGTGTAGCTCAGTGGACTGAGTGCGGGCCTGTGAACCAGAGGATCACCAGTTCAAGTCCCAAGTCAGGGCACATGCCTGGGTTGTGAGACAGTTCCCAGTGAAGGACACACAAGAGGCAACCATACATTGATGTTTCTCTCCCTCTTTCCTTCCCCTCCCCTCTAAAGGTAAATGAATAAAATCTTAAAAAACAAAACAAACAAACAAACAAAAAAACTTGTCCACCTGGCTGCTGTAGCTCAGTGGATTGAGCGTGGGCCTGTGAACCAAACAACCAAGGTTCGATTCCCAGTCAGGGCACATGCCTGGGTTGCAGGCCAGTTCCTAGCAGGGGATGCATGAGAAGCAACCACACATTGATATTTCTCTCCCTCTCTTTTTCCCTTCCCCTCTGAAGATAAATAAATAAAATCTTTTCAAAAAAACTTGTCCGTAAGAACCTCTTTAGCCTGAAGGATATTTGGGATAATTCAGCAGGCACAGCCTCCGTTTTATTTTCCTCTCCCCGGGCCTCCCTGACTGTGTCCAAGCACCCTCCAAATGCTGCCGCCACTTGCCGCACCCCCGGTCGACGGGAGGGCCCTAAGAATGTCGGGCGTGGTTCTGGCGACGCAGGCCAGGCCAAGGGAAGGACGGAGCGACGCTCGTCTCACCTCGCCGAACGCGCCTCTTCCGATCACCTTAATTATTTCGAAGTCTTCTCGGCGAAGCTGCATCTCCTTCACCAGCTGTGTGAACGGTTTGGCTAGAAGTTTAAAGAGACAAAATTAACACTTTAATAAGCTGACGCTGTGTGAAAACTTAATTGATTGAGGTATTCCAGTAAGTTATACTCTTTATAAAAAAACGCTTCCTTTAAAAGTAAATCCTTTAAAAACCGTGTGCTATCCACAAGTCCCGCAGAGTGAGCTCGCACTCGAGGTGAAGGTGGGTGAGCGCCACCAGCGCCTACGCGCCGCCCCCGCCCCATCACAAATGCTGTCACCGCAAAGTCCCGACTGAGGACCACGGGAGGACTCACATACCAACCGCCACCTGAGCCCCCGTCCGCCCTGCAGCAGCTGTGACCGCCAGCTCGCCAGGGGAGTGAGCGCTGAGCTCACCTGACCCGGTGGCACAGCTGGGGGCGCCCTGGGGAACCGTAAGGGACCCTGTGCTCACAGCAACCCCACTCACACTGCGTTTGCATGTCCACACGGCCACTCTTCCACATTAAGTCTGGTTATTACCCTTATTCTAAGGAGAAGAAAAGACAGAGCCAAACTTCTTGGACAGCAAATCATGTCCACCCAGAAGCTGTGAACGTGACTTATTTGGAAGTGGGGTCTTGGCTGATGTTCCCACACCGACACGGGGACATAACAGGGAGGGACAGAGCCCTAAATCCAGCATGAACACCGGCCCCACACAAAGAGGGAATGGGGACCCAGCAGGGGGAAGGGCCATGGGAAGACAGACGCAGGGATCGGAGTGGCCCAGGGGCTAAAGTTTTGCCTTTTGAGACACAGATTTGAAGCTGGTTATTGAGGAACAAAAGGCGCGGGAAGACCCCTTGGCCCTCCTGTGTGCTGCCTCAGAGAGTCAGGCAGAAAAACCTGCATAAGGGAGAGGGGCGTCACCCTAGCGTCCCAGCCTGAGCGAGGTGGGCGGACTGGAGAGACCCGGCAGAGCCTGCCGGCCCAGCTGGGATGCGCCCGCCAGTCTGCTCTGCCCACTCTCCTTTCGAGTCACCTGCTTCCCCTCAGGCACCCAGCCCTGCCTCCCTCTCCTGAGGCCAGAGCAGCACGTGAGCTTCCACGGCCTGCTGTCGCTCTGAGCCTCGGGCTCCCGGCACCGACGCAGACGTGGGCCCCGGAGTTCGTCCTGGGCCTTCCTCCTGTCTCCTGTGGATCTGACCACTGGCCCAGCTAGAAGAACTCGAAAAGTGGGTGGACGGTCACCTCTGGTGCCCCGCGCTGCTGCCTCAGCAGCTGCAGGAGACAGGGAAGGCTTCCTCCCCGTTCAGGGGGAGCACGGCCGGCTCACTCCTCATCTTTGGACGCTGGCCTCATGCACCGGGACAGAAAAACCTGTCCTTCGAGCCCCGGGGGTTGCACGTCTGCTACCGCAGCTCCGGGAAACCCCTCCAGGGGTTGTGCCGTTTCCTTCCAGGACTACGGAGCAAGTGGAAGAGCCAGGGAGCCACACCGTGTTCTCCAGACCGTCACCCACCCCACCCTCGGTCTGGCCGCCGCTGGTCACTGCACCCCGTGCATCTGTCCTCGTTTCCGCCTGCAGGTCTGGACCCATGTGTGCTGTGCCAGCTCTTGTTTTTCCTCTGCAGGTCTTCTTCACATCTGTCACCACGCCCACTGGGGGGACCCGGCAGGGTGCCCAGAGGGCCCCTTCCATGTTACTCCCTACATGGACGCCTGCATTACCTCCAAAAGCAGCCCTGCCATCGGACACTTCCCGAGCTTCTAAGTGACTACACAGCGGTCACCTAATTCTACACTGCTTCTCCTTAAGGAGCTGCCCACATCACTGAGGTGGGACTCGCACAGCTCACTGGCCATGGTGACGGCAGTCAGGGCCCCAGAAGGTTCTTGGTGCCCGCCCACAGGAAGCTACTGCCCCTCACTGGAAAGCCCCTCCGGCACAGAGGTTAGGAAGCAAGACACACACCCCCGGAACTTTTTTCCTAACCCAGGGTAAAGAAAGTCCTTGAACCAGAACTTAAGGTCATCTGTGATACATCTTTCTTTGTTTCAAATATTACTAACAGCCAGTAAAGACCACACACAGCCTCTCAGAGCTTCTCCTGGGGGAACTGAAAGGCACCTTGCGCTCCCCACCATGAAGAAAGCAGTCCCACTCATCTGCTGAGTTCTGCCTCACCACCAGGGGGAGCCCTCAGAAGGGAAGCCACGTCCAGGGGCCGTGAGCGCACCACCACCGGGGGACACTCTGGCAGGGGTCCAACACAAGTCTGCACACTGCTACAAAACTCCAGGACACACACAGCTGGCGGGCCAGTTTCAAACGTACAAACTGAACACCAACGTTCATGAAACAAGAAAACATCCCCCCGGCAACTGAGCCACATCCACGCCCCCCCCCCCGACACACTCAGCGTTTACGTAACCTGTATTCCACTTCCGTTCGACTTCTTCTCACATTTCCATCCTCCTCAATTATCGTCTCGACAGATGCACAACATTTCACTGAGTTTGCACACCAACAATCTGAAAATCAGGCATCTGCTGCGCGTGCCAGCTCAATGTTTAATTTTCAAAATTGTTCCTTTCTTCTTGTGAGGAAATGCGCAATGAACACTTCCAGGCACTCAGCACTTTACCGCTTTAAAACCATTTTTAGGTTGGCATCCCAGAGCCCTCGGGGGCACTGGCGTTTCTGCGGTCTCTAACCTGCCCCCCAAACTGGGTCTCCTGAGTCCACCCACGACATGCCCCGTCCTGTGAAGGGGCAGCTCCCTGAAAGGCCAGGCCCTCTCCCTGCTGGCTGGGCGCCCTATGGTGTGGACTGTCCAGTTGGGACCCCTGGCCACTGACTGCGTCTCCTCTGTGAACAGGACGAGCGGGAGTGCTTTGCTCCAGCCCACTCAGACCTAAGAGCTGGGAGCACCCCCCCTCCCGGCCTGCTTTTCACCTTCATTATGGTGCATGTAGCTCACATAAAGTGCCACTTTCAGTAAGACGGAATCAATTCATTTTTCCTTTGTCATTTTATTAGTAAAGCTTATTTAGAAAGTTATCAACTCTTTACAGATCTGGTATTCAATCCTTTTTTCATTTTGCTAAATGGCTTAGTGAGCCCATTACCCATCTGTTGTTTGGAGGACTCTGGAGTGGGGTGTGTTTACTTTTGATTCCAGTTTAGCGTCTCTGTGTATTTAAGTGGTCAGTTGACTCCTGCCCCCCTGGACAGCGGATGGCCATGCCCGCAGGGACCCAGGGGAGAGCCCTGGCTCAGGCTGTCAGGAGGGTCAAGTCCTGAGGATACCACTTGGTGGCCATCCCAGCTAGAAAGTCACTTGATCCTTTGTGACAAAATTTCTTCATCCATAAAATGGGCAACAGGGCCCTCCCACCCACCTCGGGGACCCATCAACAGTGACAGCCAAGGCAGGGAGGAGCTCGAGTTCCAAGGCTGAAGCCCTCGGGCCCCTCCCTCCCCTCCCTTCTCCCCCCAGCGCTTATCCAACAACTCCAGGCCTTCCCTGTCAGGGGTCCCTCCCACTCTCTTGACAGTATTTCGCTGCCCGCACACTTCCCGCACAAGACCAGTGACAGTGTCCCCAAGAGGACAGACACGGAAGTACCAGGGCTGGGATGCTGAGCGGGGGAAAGACAAGCCCGAGGGGAAGCCTGATGAGGGTGCTGAGAGCGTCGGGCACAGAACATCGGTCATGAGAACAAACGCTGACCTTTACAAACAAGGGTGCCGGGCACGATCCAGAAGATGGCTTCTTCTAGAACATGGCGCCCGTTTTCGAACGGTCCTAAGGACACGGTGGAAGCCCTGCACTGTCGTGTAAAAATTATCGTGACCGATCGGCTAAAACCAGCTCAGAACACCACTCACAGTGCAGACCCCACAGGGCACTGACAGGAGGGGTCAGAGCCTGTGGGGGTGGGGGGTGGTGAGGAGGACATGCGTGCCAGGGCACAGGGTGAGAGTGGGGAGGGGGCCTGTCCCACGCTCGTGGGGGGCCAATCAGGTAAGTAACCAGGCTCCGGAACCTGGAGGCCAAGCCCCTCGCCGTCAGGGAGGAGCACAGAAGCTCGGGGCCGGCACTGCAGGCACCGGCGGGAGCCCTCAGTGAGCGACACGTGGGAGCGTGAGGAAGCTCAGACAGTGCAGCGCCGGCCCGATACCAAGCACAGCCAGGGTCAGGTGGTGGTCCCGAAACCCCGTCCCGCAGCCGAGGAACGGGTCCCAGAGCGGGGTGGGGAAAGCACAAGGTGAAAGTGCCCGGGAAACGAGGGTGAGCCCCAGTCAACACTGGCAGCCCCAGGTCAGAGCCCGTTAAGCCAAACAGGAAACCAGGAGTCCACGGTGAGGTTTATACAAATTTAAACCCTGACGAGAAATGGGACAGTTACGCAGCTCCAAAGTGCACCCCACAAATGCTCCAGACCACACAGGGAGTCGGTGGCCACACAGTGAGGCCTGGCAGACGTGGCTAAGAATCAAGTGGTCCCGGTGGACCGTCATGCTGTGTGACAAAGGAAAACTGTGTGCCACCTGACAGGACACTGAGAGGACAGTGTCACTGCTGTGCTTTTCCTGCCGAAGTCACACCACCTGAACTTTACCATGAGGAGGCAGGAGGCAAACCTGAGCTGAAGAAGGGAGATATCCAGCCTGCAAGGCTCACCTGCTTCAGTTTCAAGGTCACCCAAACCCAGGGTGGAGGACGGACTGGCTCACGCTGACAGGAACTACAGGGATGAGGCAGTGTGGCTCTGTACCAGGTCCCTCCCCTAGAGAGGAGGGTATCAGAGGGCCAGGGACACTTCAGTGCTGTTTGAGGAAGAGAAGGCAGCAACATGCCAGCGTTGAACCCGATTCTGGTGGCCACAGACGAGGGTGACGGGCGTGGTGCAGGCACCTCACTCTCGGCTGGGGGAGGAGGTCTTCCTACCGTCGTCAGCAGCTTTTCTGCAAGCTCGTGAACTGTTGCAGACAGTGTGGACGTTTTTTAAAGACCGCCTATTGCGACGCAGAAAACAGGCGCGGAGA